GGAATCGCATTTCTGGCCATTTCCCTATTCCGGAAGCACTCTGTCCACGGAGGTCCATTACCACGACTCAATCACGATATTGCATCGTGCTATCGTTTGAGACCGGCCATATACCGACCCCGATCGGCAGTTGCAACGCCTACTCCCTGGCCACTGACTGGCACACCGGCGGTAATCTGAAACTTCATGTCCTTGTTTAATTTAACTTGCGCTTCTGCCGGGGCCTTGTTTTTGAGGCAAAGTCGCCAGGCTGGGTAACTAGTTGGCTAGTTGACTAGGGAAAGGAACCCCGCTGCCGCAAAAGGTAAATCTGTATACGGAACACGGCAGGCCAAGTTGGGTTTACTTTGGCACCGGTGTCTGGGGAAAGCTTAAGATAGCATGGCGTGCCTTTCATCAAGGTACCGACTTACTCGACAACATGTTCCATCCGCCAATTGGAAGGTCAACCGCAGCAGGGATACAGCTGCATATTCTGTATTCATATATTGCCAAAACTATCGTACAGTGTCTATTTTAACTTGACCAGCGCGAGATCAGCACAATGTCTCACTGCCGACCATCACCAAGACGTCCGTTCCTCAGCGGCCCCCGACCGTGATTCGTATTGCACCGTGACGTTGTCCGTCCGGTGAATCTGGCTCAGTGCAAGTTCGTCCGGGCGGAGGATGTTTTCTTGGCTTCCTACATTGGTGATGGTGAGATCTGGTTTCCGGGGATTCGACCGTTTACTTCGGTTGTAGGATGCGCCAGGCATGCTGCTGCTGCTGTTTTTGTAGTTGTCCCGGCTTGCGCTCCAGGAGCGTAGGGATCGTCTTCCGAGGGTTATTTCAAGTAGAGGGTGTAGGGTGGGTATGCAGGAGGCCATGATGACGACATTGGATTCGATACTACCGTTCCACATGGTTAGACGAGAATCGATCTCGATCTGGGAGCAGAGAGACACATACCATGTCCAGATGACGAGCTCTGCGGTTGCGTCTACAAGAGTCAGCAAGGCGCTCCACCTCGTGCGATACAGCGGATCACTCACAAGTAGGGTCCGTTTTATTGGAAAGACCAGGCAGTTGAAGGCATTTAACAACGGCCATAGCACACGCTCTGCGAGAAATCAGCATAGTTGACATCAACATTCATCACTATACTCACATTGAACCCAGTCCCAAGGCCAAACACAAGGCAATCTTCTTCCGTGCAGACATATTAAGTCGCAAGAGAATAACACTCGGATAAATCGCAAGATACAGATCCGTAAACGCAGAGAATGCTGAAAAAAGGATCGTTAGAGCTCATTATGCTCTTCAGAGATTCTGACAACTCACCACCCGTAAAAATGGCATAATCAATCAAAATCCAAACATTCCGACAAGTCGCACCCTGCATAACCAACGACGTATCCCACAGTGCCTCTGGTGGATCGCACATGGTAAACAGCACGATAATGCAAACCCCAGATGTCAGCGCGACCAATCCAGTCAAGATCCATAGAGCTGCTTTCTGCCACCAATTCGGGTTCACGATGCGATTTAACAAGGCTGCGACTGCGAGTTTGGGAAGCGAGAAAGAGACAATGCCCAGCGTGAAGTCGATATAGTTAACCAGAGATACTTTGACGAGACGTTCGGGGGATAGAGTATCTGCGTGTCGGCCGTATCCGAATGCGACGTTTACTGTTGTCAAGGAGGTGTATGCTAGGCTCATAACCTTTTGAATAGTTGGTTAGCATTGTTTCTCACGACCGATACTATTTTGTGAATTGAACTCACCATCGACGCTGCAATCAGCCAGTCATCCGATCCCATATTTCGCAACACACCTGCTCGAATATACAATCTCGAAACGACCATCACCAAAGTAAGACCGGCCATTACCCAGAAGACACCAATAATCTTTGGGCCTTTGGTCTGACTGAGATATTCGGCAGAATGGGAAGCCATTGCGCAGACTATGGAGAACGAGATCGACGTCTGGAAGAAAGTAAGAGAACGACCGTGGGACAGTAGCAAAATATCCAGCACAAAAGAAGTTCCCTTGACTAACATGTCCATGCGGCAAGAAAGAGTTTTCTATTTCAAGGGACCATACTATCGCAATCTGAGCCAAAATCAATACGAGTTGCTGCCCATGCAGAACACTTCAACGAAAGGGGCCGCCGAAAGGAACTAAACATGCAGGACATCCAACGACATCCAACCTGGAACGCCATTAGACACTATGGTTGGGAAAAATGTTTGATCCTTTGTCGTATACCCTTAGCTGCAGGGGGACAGACATCGCAATTGGATGCTGTCTCGACCGATGGGTTTGACGGTGCCGTCAATGTCAATCCCTATATCAGGGACATTTCTAGACTGATAATGTTTTGCTGCTGTTAGAACAATTGACCAAAGTGCCATGACTCGACACGATTCTAGTCTGTAGCCACGTAAGTCTAATATGCAAATGCGCCTAAGTCAACTTTTCCCTGGCTGCATGGCGTTGGATTGGTCCTTCTACCTGTCATGTTATACAGCTGGAATACGACGGACCATGATGGCGGTACTACCAGTACGAAGTTTAATCGCACGAATTATACATACTCTGGATGGAATGAGAAGTACGACGAACTTTACCCCGTCTTGGTACATTCTTATGTCCCCACCACCTTCTTCCATAGCGAGGCTCTGCATGAGGCATGGACCAATCGTGATAAATGGTACATCACCGGAATGTGCCCCGACCACAACATAAAATAATAGCTTGTGCGCATGGACAGTGGCGGCCACCATCGGTGGGGACCATATCAGACCGTTCGCGCCCAGTCAGGTTTAATGATATTGGCTCTTTGGCATTTCCCTACCCGGCTAAGGACTGCCGTTGACGATCTTCCTTCATTGTTAGCCGAGCCGAGATAAATGGGGATAGCAAATGATCTTTACTCCGGAGCATCCGTACAAGTACAGTATCAATATACTGTGCGTGCTGGGTCCTGTGCGCTTGCACTCGATGGATGGTATTCTGTGCATGCCTCGTATAAACGTTCCTTATGATTATGCAGGAAATGTTTCCGAGCCATGGGGCATCACTGGTATAAGTTCTTCTGTACACTGTGCCTAAACTTGGTAACATCACTCCGCCACGAGAAAAAGAAAAGCCAAAGAAAAAAAACAAGCATTGGCAATTAAATGAGACTCCACTCTTCTTCGGGTTGTGGTCCGTTCGACGATCGTCAATCCGTCATGTTGACAGCTTGCATAATTTTATTCAGCCTCTTTTTTCTCTGCCACTGTCATTATGCCTTTGTCATTACTCGGCGGGTTTATCTCGGGTGTTGCTTGACGCCCCTGACAGGGATCCTGCACCCGCAAGTCAGATAATTGAGGCATTTAATGCTCTGAGACGGCTTAGGGTTTGACGGCTGTATCCGAAGGTGCTGTCAGTATATAGAATAAGGGATCTGTACTTTTGTCATAACAGAAGACTTGCTCCCGTTGCTCTCTGGTGGTGGCTTAAGCCAGGTATTGGAACAAAAGCATAATCCAAAAATAGAGGGAACGTGAACAAAGAAAGAAGGTTCTGATATACCAGATACCCTATTCATCCTCTTCATGGCTCGCATGCTGGTTGTTCTCGGACCGAATCGTCTCCGATGGGTTTCTTGCCGCAGCATTCTGCATGTCCGAAGTAGAGATTACGACTGCAGCCTGAATAATATGACAGGGAAAAAGCTTCAAACGATTCGCTGGTTAAGGAAACGCTCTGTCTCTCATTTTTTCTCCACGCTCTTCCTCCCTGTCCTTGTAAAGTTTACTTTACCGTTTATTGATGGACATGTCGGCCAATGGTCCAGAATTTTTCTATCTCGTATGGCATCTGCATATGAGAATGGAGGATCCTTCGTAATCAGGGGCTATGAGGATGGCATTTATATTCGTATCCGGCTGAGAATTCCCGAGCGTCGGTTGGAAGCTACATTCCACTTATATACCGACTCACCCTTTCGTTACCCTTCCCAGTATTGTCCTGCTATCTAGATACCTCACTATGACCGAGTTAGCTGCGATACAGAGCAAAAACGGTCATGCTAATGGCTATGCCAGCGGACATTCCAACGGCACAGCAAATAGCCACAGTAAAGAAGCATCACCTCTCACGAACGACCAAATCCCTATCTCTCCAAGCGCTCCTCAAGATGTTCCTGGATTACTCAGTCAAATAGCTTCGCATGGAGATGCCTTTCTTGGCATTGACCCTGATGCGCGGTTGAAATTGCTGGAGGACGCTCGGGCGTTGGTCAACGCTCTTGAGACTCCTCGTGAGTCAATGATCAGATATTGCTGGGCGCAGGTTTGTCACCTCCCTTATACCAGAAATAGATCAGTCGCTTATAGATCGCGTTGGAACAGTCAACAATCTACGCAGCCATCGAGACCGGCGTAGATATTGAGCTCTTCCACAAGTTGTCGCTCAGTGACAAACCTAAATCTGCTGCGGAGTTAGCAGAGGACACAGGGTGTGATCCATTTATGTTGTGTAGGTTCCCAGAGCTTCAACTTGCCATCCGTAATTAATGGTATACTGACTGTAACAGCCCGACTCCTGAAACACCTTGCCGCAATGGATGTGATTGGAGAGGCTGGTCCGGATCTGTACCGTCGTACGGGCTTTACGATAGCCCTATGTTCGGAGAAGTACAGTGACGGTTTCCCTCTTATGTACGCTCATGCGACTATAGTCCATTCGATACAGATACTGATTCACTGGCACAGGACACGTCGATTCACAGCTGGCATCCACGCTCTCCCCGCCTACCTAAAGAAGAACGGCTACCGCAATCCCACCAATCCTACAGACACTGCACTCCAGCTCGGATTCAACACAGACCTTCACTTCTTCGAGACCGTAAAGCAGGATCCGGTCACAGCCAAGCAATTCAACAACCACATGTCCATATACAGTCTTGGACGACCAAGCTGGATGGATGTTGGCTTTTTCCCGGTGCAGGAGCGACTTATCGAAGGCAGTAATACAACCAATGACAATGTCCTACTTATCGACATGGGCGGGAGTATCGGTCACGATCTTTCTGAATTCAAGCGGAAGTGGCCTGATGCCCCGGGACGCTTGATTCTGCAGGATCTCCCGACAGTAGCCTGCCATGCACAAGGTCTGGATCCCACAATCGAAGTAATGCCCCATGACTTCTTCACACCCCAGCCAGTCAAAGGTATGTCCTCTCCATCCCTTCCATTCGTCCCTTCTATTCGTCCCTTAACTAATATCCAAACCAGGCGCACGAGCATACTACATGCACTCTGTCCTTCACGACTGGCCCGACGACATGTGCCGCAAAATCCTAGCCAATTTAATTCCAGCCCTACGCCCCGGATACAGCAAGGTTTTGATCAACGAGAATGTGATCCCAGATAAGGGCGCCTACTGGGAAACGACCAGCCTGGACCTGATAATGATGACGATTGGATCGGGAGAGCGGACGGAACGACACTGGTACACGTTGTTGGAATCGGCGAGATTGAAGATCATAAAGGTCTGGACGGCGCCTGCGCAGAAAGGAGAGGAGAGTTTGATCGAGTGTGAGTTGGCGTAGTCTGCTGTCTTGCAGGTTCAAATAGCATGTATTAGTATAATAATTGTTCTTCTGCTTCTCGAGACGCACTATACATGAATAGAGATCAAAAGTAAGAGAAATTTAGGAAGATAGTACCTGTAGGTGGTGAGGTGAAACGTTGAAGAACGCGAGGGTGGAGAGGAGAGAAGGACAACTAGCCGAAAATGGAAAGAGGGAGGGCTGACGACACAATGAAGCATCACCGAATTGCTACATAATCCCCCCCAAAAACTATACATTTTCTTAAGAATATTACGCAGGAGCAATGTTTTTTATTAGTATGTATTTGGTCCACATTGAAGTGAGAGTTTTCTAGACCAACCCTTCGTCCCGGACCTCTACCACATCCTCGTTCGCCTCGAGCTTACCAGCAAGGTTTTCAGATCCTCTTAAGCACCATAGTTGTTAGTAGCTTTCAAATTCCAGATCTTTTTTTGAATCAATACATACTCAAACGTAAGCGCCGGAGCGGAAAGCCGACGCTGAGGCAGTTCTTTGCCACCATTGTCATTGATTTGACTAGCAGGATGAGCAAGAGACGTTTAACAAAACAAGGGAAAATAACGTACGTGCGAGACCATGACATGCCTGAACCAGTCAGGAAACATATCATATACCTATGATTCTGGTGCATATGGATGTTAGCTTGATTCTTGTTTGACATCCACTGGTGTAACCAACCGCCATAGCTGAGAGAATGGGTAAAAGCTTATGCTTAGTGAAATAACGTGGATGATGCAGTCAGAAAATAGATGTCCCGGGGAATATATATGGCGTCGTTGCTACGATGTAATCAGCATGTCATGCAAATGATCAGAGCCGGGGAACAAAACCGTGGCTTGCCAAAAGGAACCAGAAAGGTTTCCACGGCTTGCTCCTATTCTTGTATTTCCATTGTTAAATCTGGTTTTGTTCCATGGACCATATGACAAGGTTTAGAACAAAAGGATGCGCGCATGAATTCGCAGCGGCGGAATGCCACTGAGAGCAAATGGCGAAGTTAGAACTCTAGGAAAAGGCGCATTTGGGTCCTAATTATCTATCGGAGGATGCAGAGAGTTATCTGTTATTAGTGTTATTTTGCTCATATGCTGTAGGCATATTCCAGGTAGCTTCCATGGCAGTCCATTGCGAGCATTGGCCAACTACAGAGGGGGCCAATCAAAGTAGTTTGGATCACAACGATGCGGTCATGAAACCTTGCAATGAACTAAGATAAACATATTTGAAACTAGAGAATATACCGGGACGCACCACTTCAGAATAATATTAACATCCAAGGCCGATGTATTGATGATAGAAATTACCATGAGAATGGCATCCATCGAAATGATTCGCGCATTCTTTAGCAATTCCTAATTGACAAATGCGTGGATTCTGTTAACCCTGATTGAATATACCAATTGGGAATAATACTAGCAGTATGAGAAAGCCCAGCAGTCCCTCTGGGATATACAAATGCAAGCTCAGCAAAGCAACAGCCCTCTATCGATAATTACTTAATCGGGCTAGCGCGAAATCGGTACATTTCCCCCCCGGATTTGCATTTGTCCCCACGTGCCGATCTGAATCTGACAGCGTTCCTGAATCTGGAACCCTGATACAACATATTTTAACCCATTGACACAGCATTATGTTGCTCCTACGACATTTTCCAATTCTAGCTCGCACTATTTTCGCCATATTCGCACTCGCCATTGGTAAGGCCCCTTTTCTGGCCTCGGAGTATCCATAATCAACTTCTCATTTCCCCCAATGCAGCCGGTCTACTCCTTCACCGCCTCACCGTCCCGGACAAATCACACTGCGCGGGCTGCATCGGATATGCTCTGAAAATAAACAGTATGATCGATGACGCTAGGGATAATGTCCGCGGAAATGCGCAATTCTTTCGATACGCAGTGGACAAGGCTTGTGCTGGTCGGTTGTTGGATAGTGGTCGATGTCTGGAACACCGCAGAGGGTTTCTCAGGGATAAAGCGAGATATTTTCACGGAATTGAGGATCCATATGCAGCTTGTCGGGCTATCAGCGCCTGCTAGTGCGAACGGCGCTTGGTGTACATGTACGATATACGGGATGGTGCCGGCTTCTGCGATTAAAGAGCAGGAGCTACGTGTTGGCCTAGATGCTCTGGAATGGACAACGGCAGATGATATACTGAGGGGCTTTTATGTCTAGCAACAACCCAGTAATATCAGAGATACTATAGCTTTGAAACTCAACTGTTCGGACCGGTCCATCAACTCTACTACCACAACAGCTGTGTCAGTAAACCAATCCTCCGCTCCTCTGCTGGATTCTGGGACAACCTATTCCTCACCGAAAGTGTTGCCGATATGACCATTTGTCATGTGCTGCATGAAAGTTTTGATACTCTGAGTGGCATTATCCAAATGTTCAAGACTTGTAGATTCGCGACTTCCAAACTCTAAGACTAGACCCATCAAAGTACGCCTGGAAAATTCTCCCCTTAAGACTCTACATAAAAGTAGAGGCGAGGATCTATAATGAGGAACCCTTTAGTAAGAGCTAGATGAAAGGGGTCATATGGGATGGACAGGGAAATGGACTCTTACCGGGATGTATACATGCTCCTCCAGATACAGAGTTTCCATCCTGGATATGGAAGCAGCCAATATGACCAAGACCTCGCCGCGCAAAAGCTCTTCCTTCGCTTTATCAATCTCATGTCTCATTATAAGTATGATATGAGGTCGGCCTTGAGTATCAACGAAGGATTCAGCAGGATACCAAGACGGGTGTCGTGGAACGTACATGGTCTTCATAAGATGTTCTGCAAAGGTTATATTCCTCCAAAAGCCGCTATAAATGGCATAAATATTAGCTATGATCTTGATTATCGATATTTCCCCTCTTTCTGCGGAAGGGAGGGGAGATACATACCCTAATTGAATCCATTTAGTCAGTTATCGAAGGTCGTGCCTAGGACATCTCCTTTGCAAGCATCTGTACAATTTTATGACTTGATGGTTTGTGAGTATATTCCTCAATCAAAGCACGAAAAGATTTGTAGTTATTATAAATCTCACTAGGCAATACATAAGTAGGAAAGCCATTGATATTCGACATGCCGGGGCCGAAGAAACAGGGCTTCAGCATTTCATCGTAGATACCATTTACTTGCAACTTTAACTCTTCTCTTATTCCTAAAGCTTTGGCTGTTGCAGAATACAATATTACAGGCGCAAGCTTCAATAAATCAAACGTATTCTTCAGGCTATTGAGATAGCGATCAATGATTTGCTGTCTGGTAGCCAGTGGTGGGATAACTGCCTGAGGCCGGAGTGCTGCAGAATGGCTTATATTGATATTTTCGGACATGGCGCAGGTTTGGCTACTTAGAATCAAAGAATAGAAACAGATGGAAAGTAAGACAATGAAGCCGAAGAAGGTGAACAGGTGGAAAGAGAAGAAATGGAGTGTGGTTAATTCAAAGGAGAATTAAGACTGACGCCTTTGCCTCCTAGCTTGGTTCGCCATAGGCTTCTTGTGAATAATGGAGGTGTAGATTGGCAGTTAGGATTCCAGTTGCTTTTCTGTTGGTGAGCTTCTATGTTTCTATTCTGTCGTAGGGTTGGATACAAATGTCCCATTACAAGCAGAGAGAGACCTATAAGTATCAGTCACAACCAGAACCATTACGGCATTGCCGCTAGTTTGATGAAATTCTTGTGCCAGCTACTCCACACTGTGACCTGGTATTCCAACCTTTGGCATCCTATAATCAGCGTTCAATTTTGCTGTATGATGCGAGTTGGATTGCATGGTTTCATCCGTCTCGTGTACATTAAGTTGGAAGTGGGGCGACGCCAGCACTGATCTTTGAAACGGACACCTTGCTCTCCTCCAAGCCCATGAGAAATGGAATCGAACATCATGGACCAGTCGCCCTTGTCACCCCAATCAATAATCCGGAATTGGTATTGGCGATTTGGCAAGCTCAAGTACGATCATATACAAAATCGTGGAAAGGACATCCAAGAATATGAACTTGGTGGGTTAGTATATTGGATCCACTAAAGAATTAAATACTATTGAGACTAATATACCATAGGGCCTGTCATTCTCTGGGGAAAAATGAAAGTGGATCTACCACTTCTCTGATATCACAACTTACCGTCTGCCTGCCTCAGAGTTTTGCCAACAAAGTAGACCAGAGGGTCCGGCGAGAAGAGGGCCGGCAGCATGAATGGGTGGTAGGTGTTCTCATTTGCGCATTTTGTGCTTTCATCATTCTGTTCTTGAACATCTCCCTGACTATTGCTGCGGTTATCCATTCTTATTCAAAGTTTAAGGGTAAGGGGATTACTTCTGCCATGTTTTATCAGGGAGATTGTGATGTTTCAAAAAACTGGGTCCGTGGTCTGCATTTACTGATAAACATCCTCAGTAAAATTCTGCTGGCAGCAAGTAACTACTGCATGCAATGTTTAAATTCACCATCTCGCCGAGATGTTGAAAATGCCCACACTCAGCGGAAGTGGCTCCATATCGATGTACCAAGCACAAAGAATCTATATTTTGTTGGCTGGAGAAGATGTATATTATGGGTGATAATGTTGGTTTCTTCCCAATTCATTTAGTGTTGGTTCCCAGTCTTCCCTTTCCTCACAGCTAGCCCCTAACCGTGGAACTCATGTACAATTCTGCTGTGTTTTCCGCCTTGGGCACACATGATTATGGTGTTTTCCTGAAATCTGCGGATTTTGATTTCAACAACCCGTCGAATGATGACTATGCAAGCTGCTCTGAGCAGCACTTTCATATGAATGTGCCCACTTTCTACTCTGAGGTATCAAAAGTCGAACAAATTGATACATAAAAATGAATCATTACCTACGCTGCGACTATATTTCAGACCGAGGGAGTCTTGTTCTCGTTACCAACAGTATGAATGCTGGTAATGCATCCTTACGCTGGGCTGGTATGGGAAATTCACCAGAGCAATATTTGTCAAATTCATTTTCGTGGATGTGTGAAAGTGAACCGAGTTATCCTAACCTCACTAACGAAGTAGTAGACAGCCCAACAAACTGTATAAAATATCCTTGTTACAAGAATTGCCTAGGCAAGCAATACAGGCCAGAATGGTCTTGGAAATTGGTCCGCATCCTCCATACCTTGGTCAGTTCCTCTATTGAACGTGACTCTTTTGTCGGATATTCCGTATAATTTCAGTTTTAATGTCAACCGAGACAATATAGCGACTGACCACTCTGTTCTCGGTGATAAGGAGGACCTTTCAAGTCTCATCGATATCTTACAAAGGTATCCGCAGGCAAACGAGCTGCAACAATATCTGAATGATGCAACTCGCTGGAAAAGCAATTCATGGGCAAAGAATATTGAAGTCCATGACACGGGATCTGTGTGTTATCTGGAGACTGAACCTATCACCCCCTGCCCTTGAGATTGACTATTGCTTAAGCCAAAAAAGTTGATGAGAGATGCCAGCTGTTATTCAGCCTTCCTATGTGCCTCACCGTTATTCTGTGCAACATCGTCAAGATTTATTGTATGCTCATGACAGCGCATGATGATAGGAAGGAAACATTCTTAACAGTTGGGGATGCCATATCATCCTTTCTTAGATGACCTGATAGGGCTCCTAAGGACAGATGTTTACTGTCAAGGAGGAACATTTCTGGAAAGGGCCCATATTGTTGGCAGCTGGCTGATCAATACAGATTCCATCTCAGCCTACAACTTTCTGGCCTAAGAGGAGAAAATGAAAAAGCGCTGCAGATGCCTCAAATTTGGGATTGGCTCTCTAGTTGTAGGTATTCCTCGCTTGATCCCCTCCTCCATTCCCCTTTTTCTCTAAAAAGAGTTGTTTTAATCATTATCGAGCGCCTCTGACTTGTACAGCTGGCTTTTACTTGTTACAATGTTACTTACTTTCCTTTTAATCAGCCTTTTTAACTTGTTGGACAAACGTCAATTCGTATCACTCCCAGCACTGTGGAACCTGGGCTTTGGAAGTGTCAATTCATCTACAGTGATAAACCTTTGTGCCAATGCCAGCAATCGTTCAGGGATTATGTCGATGGCCCTTCTTGCAAGTACCCCCCAGGTCATTGTTTCTGTTGCATACTTTTTCTATAACATGTTAACCGCCATGGAACGTAAACCACTGCGTGTCTCTTGGCCAAAAGGGCTCCAGCGCTCGACGTACTACCTCAGTCTCCCATACTGATACAGTAGTCCGCTGCTGATTAGCCAGACGATACTACATTGGCTAGTGTCCCAGGGCCTGTTTTTCGTGGAGGTTATCTTGTATGATATGACTGGAAACCTGACCCCAGAACGTCTCATTGCATGCGGCCATTCACCAATGGCAATTTTATTTGCCGTTATTCCCAGTGCCTCAATTATGATCGTTATTTTAGTCTTGGAATTCAGGAATTTCAAGAACAGCACTCCACTTGCCAGTAGCTGCAGCGCCGCAATTAGTGCAGCATGCCATGCTCAAACCTGTCATGTGGGCGAAGTGTCGAAGCCCTCGGTCAATGATAACCGTACGGAAATCAGCATTTAGGAGGATGACGGGGAAGCCATGGATATATCTCAGTTAGATTCAAGAAACTACCGCGCCGATGAGGATCCAGACAGCTACCAAGGACAGGCAAATGAGAGCCAAGCTCATTTGCTGAGAGAGAACAATGGCGCTGGTGAAGATATTGGCGAGGCCATGAGTTATATTGTATCTAGGCTGAATATAAAGAACGAATGCTCCTTAGAGGAAATTACGCTGGTTGAGAGCAACCGTGAAGATGATGGAACCACGCTTCAGTCGGGTATAAGAAGCCACCATTCCAATGAGCGAAATACAAACGTCACTGAAAGTCAGGGTAATAATACTCACTCACTAGGTGAAGAAACTGGGTCTGAATATGGTCATTGTTGCTTTTCTCCCTCAGAAGTTACTGCCCCGAGCGCTGGGAAATTATACATGTGAACATTCAGCAGTCAAGGCATGAACAGATCACTGATGATGGGACATATGAATGAATGGACACGGCGAAAATCTGGTCTTTTTATGATTGTCCATGTTTTCCATCTTTTTTGTTTCTATTAGGACTCTAACCATCAAGACCGATAATGCGATTTTCCAAACAAAAACATCAAATGCTATACACAAACCGGGAATTCTTCTCTCGTCCTTTGAGCTTTGAAGCCGGTCACTCCAGATTGGGATTTTCAATCATGTTTTACGGCTATCAGCGCTTGGAGATATCTTGTGCAAATGGAGCATTTCCGTCGGAAGCTGGTTGAGACGTAATAGACGTTGGCCTGTTACTTTTACGGGATACATACTTTGGCATTTAACTATCACGGATAATCGTTACTCTCAGTAATTTATTATATAAAAATAGGAGACTAGAGAACTTTCCACGGGATCGTTTCTATGTTATAAAAGCCAATTATTTCAACAACCCAAAGTTACCAGCGGTATACATCCGACTCTTCATGTGACGGGTTCGGCGACTATAGGCTATCCTGGATCACACTTCTAGTGTCTAGCGTAGGGTCACAAGTCATTTGTTACATAAAGACATCAATTGATTTTCTGACATTGTCAGTGGAGCCAAAGCGGTAAAATTTTGTCTTTCAAATAACAAGCTTCTCTCCATCAAAATACGCCTGCAGGATTCTTCCTTGTAGGGCTCCCATGAAGGAGACGAGGAGAATTTGGAGTAGGTGGATTGATTAGTACAGGGTTAGGAGAGAAAGAAGAGCTTACCGGAATGTATAAAAAACCATCTGAGCCTAGCCTGTCCAAGCCAGTTATCATGGTTGCCGCAATAGTTAAAGCCTTTCCACACAGTAAATATTCTCCCCTTTGCTGCACGTCATTCCTCATTATAAGAATAACATGAGGTTCGTTTATGTCGATGTAAGCTTTGGTAGGACCCCAACTTGAGGGACTTGAGCAGAAAGTCTTGTGTTGGAACACCTCCGGAAGGACATCGTCTTCGTCAAAATTGTTATAAATAGATATAAGTATTAGCCATGGTCTTCAACTTTGACGTCTTTTGGTTGCATACCCAGATAGCCTCCAGTCTGTGAGTGCATGAAGACTTTGCTCATCGCCCTCCGTACGCCCTCTCGGAAATAATTCAAAGTCCCAGACCATATAATTGGCAAGCATATAGGCGCGCTGGCGGGAGGGATTAGCCCTATATTCCTCAACCATTTTATAGAAATTCTGTTGCTGCTGATGGTATTTATCGTCCATCTTGGAGCTTTGACGATGAACCTTGACAAAGACTCTGTGTCCAAAGAAACATGGAGAGGGCTCGACATCATAGAGCCCGTCTTCTTTTAGTTTCAACTTCTGGCAATTGATTGACAGAGAGCTACATAGCTCAGGTCTCAAGGAAACATCAGATCGTTGCTTGATATTGTGGTAGATCTTCTTCAGACCTTTGAGGCATGCTGAATGATTTCATAATTGGTATGTAGAGCTGTCTTTTCAAGCATGATGTAGACCTAGTTTTAGAGGGATCAGAAAAGCTAGTATAGACTGGGGAGAGTTGAAAAGCCACTGCACCTATAAGCTTAGTTTGCCGTAGGCTCCAATCTATATCTAGAAAGGTATCCGACGACACTATTGTAGGCAGACTCGGAGTTTTCTATGACGTGGGAAATGAAAGATAGCCGCTTTATGAATACGAACACCTTTATTGCTCTGCTAATGAGCAAGGGAAAACATGTTGGACGACGGACCGACATGCTATATTACTCCATATTCAGGTGCAATCCTTCATTTCATTCATTAAAATCTACCACACACATGCCCAGAGTTATATAATCAAATCACGCTATAGGTTCATCGTTATTCTAACATAAAGTTATAGAGTTCTTGGGATGTAAACATTCCAACAGATAGTATTAATGCTACAACCACGTTAGTTGATGCTTTGAATGCAAGCAGGGTCCAGAAACACTCACAGTAACATCCTCCCACTTCTCCCAACCACGTCCACGCACGTTTGCCAGATCCTCCATCGTATGCTGTTTGCCCGTTGTGAAGTAGCCCGCGTTGATCTTCGCGTCAATTTCTACCCGCGAGTCACTGGGGATCATTTCCTCGGGGATGGGGATACGTTCGACAATCTCGATTCCTGTCTGTACGATGGCATCATGTTTCATGTTCGACATGGAGAGCATGCGGTCGATTTTCTTGATACCGAGCCAGTGCAGGATGTCTGGCATCAGAGCTTGGAAGCGCATCTATTGTTCAGTGCGTTAGTAGGGCTCAATCATTGATAATGGGATGTTACGCACATCTCTAACTCCAGCAATGTTCTCCGTCCGAGTAAAGTACTTATCGGCAGTGTCGCCACCCCGTTTGCGAGCATTGTACACCAAGTACTTGATCACTTCTCCTAGGGCTCGTCCCTCCTTCCGGAAGTAAATCACGACACCACTGCCTCCATTCTGTGCCTCGCGGATTGCCTCACGAATTCCAAAGGCAAGGTATGGCCGACAGGTACAGATATCTGACTGGAAGACATCACTGCCGTTGCACTCGTCGTGAATCCGCAGTGCCAATCTCACGTTCTCATCAGACACCCTCTCCGGAGGGCCGAAAATGTAAACCGTCTGTCCACCAATTGGCGGGAGGAAGACCTTCAGATCCGGTCGAGTAATCAATTCTGGGTAACTGCCACCAGTGTGCTCAAACAGTGTCCGACGCAGCGTGCCCTCATCAACCCCAAACCGCTCCGCAACGCCAGGCAAATACCAAACCGGCTCAACGGCAACCTTAGTAACACGCACCTCACCACTTTCATCAACAACAATATTCCCATCTACCTCAAGATCTCCTTTCCTCACCGCCTCCTCAATCTCCGCCAGTTTCATATTCGCCCTCGTAATCGCCATAGTAGGCCTGATATCCCAACCAGCATCCAACTCCTCCCGAAACTGGTTAACAATATCATGACCATACGGATCCATCGAGACAATCTTCTTCTTGTCCGCCCACGCAGGCTGCCAGGGGAAGTTAAATGTAGGCTCGCTGTTGCGGAAGTCCGGGCGGAAATCCGGGGGGAGGTCTCCGGCGGCGATGGCTAGAGCGTTGTAGATGCTGTAGCTGCCTCCATGGGCGCCCATTGCGTTGCGTCGTTTGAGCAATGGGCCGCTGCGAGAGACGACGACGGGGCCACGGGATTTGGCATCGGGGGCGCCCCAGGTCAGGGGGACAGGGTCGACTCCGCTTTGGCCGGGGTAAGTGGTGAGCTAAGGAGTTAGCATTCCTCACTTCCAAGGATGTTAATAGAGAAACGTACGACAATGTGCTTGCTGTAGCGAGTAGGAGAGTTTGGTGCCTGAATAGGCGAAGTTGGGGCTTCCTCTGTCGTCATCATGGAGGATGAACGGTGGTAAGAATGAAGACAGTAACTGAGAAAGGAGAGTGAGAGAGAGATGAAGGAGAGAGGAAGAAGAAGAAGGAGAAGAAGGAGAAGAAGGAGAAGAGGAGGGAGAGCTGACGACGTGGTCTTCTTGTGTCCCCCTTGGATGCAGCAAGCATGTGACCCCGCATCTTATCGGTATTGGTTGACCAGATAACTACGGTGCTTATTCTATTTTACTCTACAGAGTGCTATTCCCATTGTATTCTCGCCTGTCCCTATTCTCCTGCTTACTGGCACTACCAGACGTAGACAGCTCTCCAGCTCTATCGGTTGAACAGCTTCATAGCTCTATGGACGGCGATCGACCGTTGTAGATCCTCGTCCCCAGATTGGGCGTCAATACATATACCAGGCGGTACATACAAGTAAGGAAGCTCTCTATTGCCATGTTCCTTTACAGTGATATAGAAGTAAAGTCAGATGCTGACCAGTGTCTTCAGGGAGAGTACCATGGGATAACACCTTTATCTTATCGTTATCTCAGATCGGGGGCCTCCGTCTCCCCACCTGATGGAAGTCCCCGCTGATATCATGAGGGACATTGTCGGGATGGTTAAGTATGCGGTGCGACCGGCAAGTCACGTAAATGCAATCTTTACTCATTTTGGTATCTGATAAACATAAACATTTCATAACTCTTCACGCATTAGCCATGTAGCAGGAATTGCTAATCCAATCTATTTGAAGTCGCTACTATTCCTCACTTCCCAAAAGTCGCGTTGGACCGCGGGTTCCGGATCGTCTTCTTAATAGTCTCCTCCACTTCGTCCCAATCGGTCGTGTCGAGTCGTTGAATATCAACATTGAAGTATTTCCCAATCTGCATGAGCATGTTCCACTCATCGCGGTTGGACACGAACGAGATCGACACACCGACACGGCCGAATCGTCCCGTACGACCGATACGGTGCAGGTAGGTCTGGTAATCCGCCTGCTTCTCCTGGTTGCCGGGCTGGTAGATTTCGGGGATATCCTGGATGGTCAGCTCGCTATAATGGCCATGTTGAAGCTGGGCGGCTTACATAGTTGATGACCATGGAAACGGTAGAAACGTCAATACCTCTGGCAAGAACATTGGTCGTAATCAGGACCTTGGCCTTTCCGGAACGGAATTCATCAATGACAGCGTCACGCTGCGAACCCTCAATACCACCAGTCAAAGATGCAACACTGTGACCTTCCTGGATCATGCGCTTCTCGATTTCAGAAGCAGAAGCACGGGTCTACAACAAATTAGACGGATGATATAACATGAAGAGAAGGGAGCGACTAACCTTGACGAAAATAATAGAAGAACCAACGGTGAGAAGACCGTACAGGTTAACAAGGGTTTGGTATTTGTCCTCGTCATTTGAGCAGTCAATGTAAAGTTGCTTGATACCCTCGACGGTCAATTCCTCGTGCTGCAGGGTGATCTCGTTTGCCGACGGCGCGAATTTAGATGCATATCGGTGAACGTGGGTAGGGAATGTTGCGGAGAAAAGAACGACCTGGACGTCTCGGGGTAGCAGACTATGAAAATTAGTATCCAACACATCCACAGAAGTTGGGAGTAGACGCACCCCTTGACACGAATACATTGGTCACCGAGACCTTGCTGGTCGAGCATGTTATCGGCCTCATCAAGAACAAGTACTTTGAGTTTAGCGGCAACCATAGTACGTCTCTTGACCATATCCATAACGGTACCCGGTGTGCCAACGACCACAGAGGCTTCCAACTTCGTAGGACGGCTGTTGGAGTCTGCAGGAACGGCCGTGCCAATAAGAAGCCCCGTAAGGAATTGTCCCATAACCTGAACAACACCAACGATCTGACGAGCCAATTCACGAGTCGGGGCCAGGATCAAGGCCTGTGGTGTCTTTTGCATCTGCTCCGAGGAGAGGTCTAGGCGGCTGAGGATGTTCAACACAAAAGCGGCGGTCTTTCCGGTACCCGACTGCGACTGTCCGACCAGGTTCTTCGGTGGGCTACTCAAGAGCAAGGGGAGAGCTCTCTCTTGAATCTTCGATGGTTTGCGGAAATTCATCGCGGACAAACCCTTGAGGATGTTGTCATCTCTGAGAAAAGGCGTCAGTCCAGTCCGATCTCGTATAAAAAGGTAGTCACCCACAATCCAAGGTCGGCAAAGTTCTTCACGGAGAATAGAGGATTATTAGGGTCGTCTTGGAGGTCGCTAAGTTTGACTTCGACGTTGTATTCGGGCTCCTGGAGGTTGGAACCATTCTGTACTTCTGCAGCTCCATCGTTCTGGGGTACATCATCGTCCTGGGGTATGTCTTCGCTCCAGTCTGTCTTTTCAGCAGGAGCTGTAAGATTCGTTAGATTCACGCTTTTGTTTGGTGTTTCAATAATCGGTAAACGGTATTGTACCTGCAGACTCCGAGCCCTCGGGCTTCGAGACGCGGTCCGTGAGGGAGCCACCCGCCGGGGGTGCTTCAGTGGGCTGTTCAGCGGACATATTGGTTGTTAATTAAGAATAGTAAAGGTCGAAAAAGAGCTCAGTAGTTGTTTATTGTGGTGGTAGGAGGGGCAGAGGCGACAGCGGGGCACGTCAAACTGCGCAGAAAATCGAAAGTTGACAGCGGAAAAGGTTGAGTCAATGCAAGAACGCACGTAGACAAGAAACGTCGAGCTCTGACAAGTTCAGAGCGCAAAATAAAAGCGATTGAACAGTGATAATGGACGAAGAGTCGACTCTCCAGAATGACGAACCAAAATCCACCATCCCGCGCTAGCCCGTTTAGGAATATAGCCGAGCGGCTGGCGCTTATTAGTCGTATTGTACGGTATGGTCACACCGCTTCCAGAAACGGTGCAAATGAGGTCATTTGGCTGTCAACGTGGCCTGACAGCGGGTGTATTGTATTGTCACAGGCACGCCTCCAGCCACTTTACTTTGTTCCCCGCTTGGCCCGCATTGCGTAGCTGTTGTTCGGGATCGCATTTATCTTGACTAACTCATTAGAGGTTGTCGCCGTGTCTATTCATTTCTGCTATTGCGCTGCAGTTCTGTTTTGTCCCTGGCAGTCGATGCGCTAATTGAGCATGGCAACTCTGGATGCCGCTCCCCAATTCGGGGCAGAGCTAAAGGTATGCTTCCGGTACGGGGTATTCGCAGATGCTATGGAAGCTAACTTGCGGTGATATAGGACTCCTTCAAGCCCGTGAACAACTGGGTACGTCGTATCGACTCCGCGCATTGCATCGGGCCGGATCCGACGATGGCTAATTAGGACAGGTGACGAACGGAATATCATGGCTCGACGAGATTCAACAATTCTACCGAGAACGAAGCACGATCGAAAAGGAATACGCCGCGAAATTGAACGCACTATGCAAGAAATACTCCGACCGCAGGGCTAAGAAAATTAGCCAACTGAGTGTTGGAGATTCTCCTACGATGACCCCCGGATCACTCGAGGCCGCGTCGTTGACTACATGGGCTACACAGCTGACGGCTGTTGAATCACATGCGGGGGAACGGGAAAAATTCGCCAACGATCTGGTTATTCAAGTTGCAGAACCGTTGAAGCATGCGGCTGTTCAGTATGACGAGCTTCGGAAGAGTCATGTCGATTTCCATTCCAAGTTGGAGAAGGAACGGGATGCCTCATATAGTGACTTGAAGAAAGTGAAAGGGAAATACGACGGGGCGTGTCAGGAGGTCGAAAACAAGCGGAAAAAGATGGAGTCGTCGTTTGACCACGGTAAACAAAAGTCTCAAGCTGCGTATCAACAGCAGATTCTGGAGATGAACAACGTCAAGGTATGTCATTGCACCAGTGTGAGGATGCCGCTAACGATTGCAGAACACATATCTCATCCATATCAACATCACAAATAAAATGAAGGAGAAGTTCTACCATGAATATGTTCCTGAGATGATTGACGTGAGTCGAGACTCATACTAAATCCGAGTCACCATTGGGCTAACAGCGCGTAGGGCCTGCAAGACCTTAACGAGACTCGTGTAGCCAAGCTCAACTCTCTCTGGTCACTCGGAGCCGAACTCGAAAACTCGTACATGGCAAAGAGTATGGACCACATGTTGAACCTTTTGAACGAGATACCCCGGAACGCGCCACACCTTGATTCGCACATGTTTTTACGCCACAACGTCACCCAAACACAAGAGCCGCCAAACTTGGTATTTGAAGCCAGTCCGGTCTGGCACGATGATGAATCGATTGTCACCGATGAAGCCGCCAAGGTGTTCTTGCGGAACTTGCTCAGTAAGAGTAAGACGCAAGTCCGCGAGCTACGGGTCGAGGCCGACAGGCAAAAGCGGGAAGTGGACAGTTCAAGGCGGAACAGGGAGCGAGCACGACAAGATCAGGATGGATCGAGTGAGGTGGATGTCGTGCGGATTCTATTCCCCCAGCAGGAAGCTTTCCACGAGACTGATCGCAAGCGAGTGGCGGCTGAGGTGGAAACATCTACAATTATGGCTGTGGTGGGTGACTTGTCCGTTGGAGCTCAGAACCACAACTTCAAGTCGCAGACGTTCAAAATTCCTACCAACTGCGATCTGTGTGGCGAGCGCATCTGGGGATTGTCAGCCAAGGGCTTTGACTGCCGGGACTGTGGATACACCTGCCACAGCAAGTGCGAGATGAAAGTACCTGCCGAATGCCCTGGAGAACAGAGTAAAGAAGACAAGAAGCGACTTAAGGCAGAGCGTCAGGAACAGGCTAGTTCTATGCCGCCACTCGACCTTGAAGCCTCGACTACTTCATCCACCGCTCCATCACTAACACGAAAGGACACCATGAACTCACTGAGCTCGGGATACGCAACGAACGCGAACCGATCAGTGCCAAACGTGGCATCCCAACCTTCCAGCGGAGCGGAAACGCCTACATCGCCAGCACCACCCGTTGAAAGCAAGCCGGCGCCGGTAAGAAGGGTTCTCGCACCACCTCCTGCGGCGTACATTAGTCCACCACCTGAACCTGCGCCAAAGCCTAGTGAATCGAGAGGCAGGATGCTATACCCATACCAAGCACAAGGCGAAGATGAAGTTAATGTGCAAGAGGGCGACACAATCGTCATCATCGAGCCAGATGGTAAGCCACACCCCACCCACTCACTCCATAAAATCGCACACTAACAGGTGTCAAACAGACGGCTCCGGATGGCTGACCGTCCGCTCCGGCGCCCAAATTGGCCTCGTTCCAGCCTCCTACGTCGAAGCAGCCCCGGCACCCGCACAATCCCCCGTCCCCTCCATAACCGATCGTCGCAACTCCGTCTACTCCAACTCCTCAGCCGGCCACGCAGCTGGCAAGAAAATCGGCCCAGCCGTTGCACCTCGCCGCGGCGCAAAGAAACTACAATACGTTGAGGCGATGTACGAGTATAACGCGCGGAGCGAGATGGAATGGGACATGGCAGAGGGCGACAGATTCGTGTTGGTTAATCGAGACGGAGGCGATGGGTGGGCTGATGTGGAGCGTGGTGGTGTGACAAAGAGTGTACCTGCGAATTATATTCAGGAAGTCTGATTCTGTGTACATAGATTTGTTTGTTTTTGTTTTTTGTGTGTATTTTTGCATTGCATGAGCGTGGTTTGTTTGTACAGTCATGTATATGAATGACTTGTCTATTCTATCTAGTCTAGTCTGACGTGACTTCGTAGTCCAATGGATGTCACTATCTTAAGCCATGAACATTTGTTACAACTCCCCAACCCAAAACTGCGTATTCTGTCCAGGGAACACAGACATATCATCCAGGCCGCAGAATCCTGTCTGATCCAGCGGCCATATACCACCCAGCCCACTTGTTGTATTCATCTTCCCCATACCAGTATCCAGATCCCAGTTACTGTCGAGAATCGGTAACGGCAACTCCAACTCCAGATCCAGCGGAAAATCTAGCGGTGGCATTGGCATAAGATCTGACGATGATGACGACGCACTCGATGCTATCGAAGAAGTCGAAGGAAGTGATCCACTCAAGTCAGGAACTGACGCAGAAGGGTCGTCTATTTTATCTGTGGTCGCTGTTGTTGTGACCATGTTCGTCGCACTCATCTGAGAAGCGATATCGGATTCCTCTTTAGGCGTAAATTCAACCTGATAGTTTGGTGACCGTTCCTCGGAACTCCTCTCAGCCGGAGCAGGCTGTGTCTGCATCGCAATCGACAACCCCGACTTCATCGCCGGCCTCGGCGCAATCGGCAAAAATCCCTGAAATGGCCTCGTATACCTCCCATTTGGTTTCTGCCAACACCTTAGCCCCGTCCTTTGCTCAACCCAACCATAACCACTCCCATATATACTCCCCGAGAGGTAAGAAAGCATACCTTATAATGATGCCTACTCTCCCCCTCCCTCTCCTTCCTTATTCTAACATGTTCATCAGGAACAGCGCAGGGCGTGCGGTGGCAGATGCTGCATGTTGAGAAGGGGCGGCCTTTGCGGTTTATCTTTGTTAAGGGGCGGTCTGTATCTTTCCTATTAGTATTTGGATTACGCTGCGAGTGATTGCAGTGGAGAGAGAGAGAGAGAGAGAGGGAGAGAGAGAGAGAGGTGGGAAGGACTAGGAGAGGGACTAATGGACGTACCGTGGTGTTTGCAGGTTGTTACGCGGTGGCCGCGGATGCAGGCCTCGCAGGAGTATTTTTGGTTATTTATTAACATTTTTTTGTTTTCTTTTTGTAGAGGTAAATGTAGAAGAGTAGGGAAGAAAGAGCAATATGAGTGCAGTCCTCCTAATAAGTAGACGAGAGGCGATTTATACGTCCCCTCTACCAACTACTCCATATGATATAACCCAAACCATACATACTCCTGAAGGCTATGATCGACCCAAGAGATCGCCCTTCCCGGAAAATCATCCTCACACCCGAGAAAGAGGGTCCATTGCTGCCAGTTATAGTGAGGCATCTGCGCAAATCCCTCATAAGCAATGCGGAGTAAGGACGCTGACTTGGAGAATTCTTCTGCCTGCCCATACATGTGCTCGGTACATAAGCTAATTAAACGTTGCTGGGCCGTGGTTGCGTCTTTCTGGGTCTGGTTCTGGAATGGTTGGACCAATGGTTTGGTCAGGCTCGGTTGGGTTGTCGGGAATGGTGTAGCGATTTCAATGCAGAGTAAAATGGACAGTGAAGTAGGGTCTACTCATAGTGAAGGTGAGCATCTAGCACTTGTATTCTGTCCTTAGCATGTGTTGTTTCTACTATTTAGTATGAGATGTACTAGTACATCACTCAAGGCTTGTCTGCAATAACATCATTTTAACTCAACTAGCTTATTTGCGGGATTTTCGTACCGAGGTTACCACCACAAATGCCCCTGTGCCGCATTCCGCGGAGTATACATATAATGAGTCATTTTCTGCATTTGCATTCTGTATCTGGTACAGATTCTATTTATTCTACAATAAAGTAATTATGGTACACGGTACAAACTAGTAAACCGCACAGGTACACTCTGACTGTCCCTGCTGGCCCTGAACCTGTCCTTGGGCCTGGCCGGCGGTAACGGTCACGGTGCTGACGCTGCTGTGCGTGAGAGTTACGATGTTGGTGTGCGTGGCTGTGGCAGTAGCGGTAGCGGTCATGTAAATAGTCGAGGCGACTTGGCTAGGCTTTTCACTCTGACCCTCTGCGCTGGCGTCGCTAGGTGTGGGCGTGCGCACAGGAACAGGTGCGTTGACATTCTGGTTGTCACTAGGAGCAGCACTGTCGCTATGAACAGGTGCAGCGTCACTAGGGGCAGGCGGGGCACCAGGAACACCAGTAGCGACGTCACTAGGCCCCACCGCAGACTCAATCTTGGTCGTGGTCTGAGTTTCATCGACAACGCTGGTAGTCACTGCGTCGACGGTGCTAGTCGCTGCCGCGATAACGGTGGGTTGCGCAGAGGCAGAAAGCACCACCGAAGAGGCAGCGCCAGAGATACCCTGTGATGCAGAACCGACGATCTTCTCAACGGCTGCCTCGGCGGCGATCATGACAATCGCTTGGGTGTTGCCGGTGGGAAGGTCGGGGTGGATACTTGCGTCGACGATGTACTGCGGTTGTTAGCTCTGCATCTGAGATAATAAAGGGGAGGGTGAGACATACCAAGTTCTCGGTGCCGTAGACCTTGGCGCTAGTGTCAACGACAGAGGAACCGTTCTTGCGTCCATCATCCGTACCCATCTTCGCAGTTCCGAGATAGTGGTCACCGGCAGTCTTCTGCGCCAGCAAGGTCTCGACATCGCTAAAGTCTTGAATCGAAAATCCCATAGGCGAGTTCTTCAGGTCCTTCACCAAGCCCTGCAAGAACCGTGTGGTCGCTTCCTTGTCCTCTTCGGTCTGCAGGTACGGTTCCGTCTCGATGGTCGTCGAGCCTTGTCCGTTAATACCCAACACACCCGACGAGGTAGCGCCGTGGGTCAGGTAGAGCTTCATCGTAATGACGCCGTTCTTAGCTGCAGAGCATGAGGCCTGGAAGTACCGGGTAATGCCGTCAGTTCCCTCGAGCGAAGTCCAGAACTGGAGTCTGTGGCCACCCTGGGCGAGAACGCCAGAGGCCTGTTCATAAAGTCGCTGAACGACAGCGCTAGGGCCAGGAATGACGCTGGACGTGTTGAAGGTGGTGAAGTTGGCGCGCGTGTCGACCTTGATCGTGAACATGGGGTGATCCTTCAGGTTCTGGCCGACGGGCAGGTTGATCCATTCCCCGGAGGGAGGAAGGGTAACACCAGTGCTACCAGATTGGACGTTCTTGAGCTGCTCGTCGGGACCGATACCAGAATTAAACAGAATGCGAGGAGTCGACATCGATCCAGCAGCGAGGACCACCTTTCCGCCCGCGCGAACGTGGATGATTTCAACACCACCATTCTCCTTCTCGACCTCCACGCCAGTCACGCGACCGCCACGGCGCACCAGACGACGGACCTTGGTCTGCAGACGGAGGTTGAAGTTGTCCATGTCCTGAGCTAGAGGGAGGTACGACCGCACAGGACCAGCGCGGATACCGTCCGCAGCAGACCACGACGGATAACTGTACATCTGGTGTCTCTCGTCAGGCTGCTCATGCTGGTTGACGTACTTCCAGCCGAGACGGTTCAGGAATGACGAGAGCACCTTAAACAGGCTCTGGTCATACCGCTTGCCATCAGCAGAGGGGAGCATGCTGCCGGCGTTGCGAGAGTACATCCGCTTAGCAGCGGCAGAAACGTCATTCCACTTCCAGCCCTGGGGCCACTTGTCATCAAAGTCGCGGCTGGGAGGGTGGATGAACGACATAGCGTTGATGATTGTACCGCCACCAAGAACGCAACCAGCCATGCCAGCTGTGTCAGGGCAGAGGTAGTCGCTTACGAGGCCAAGCTCAGACAGCGAGCTGCCCAGAGCGGGAACATCGTAGGGAGTCAGGGAGCTGTTCCAGGAGAGAGTGTTGTCAGCGCCCATGGAGGCGATCGAGGCAGCGCCACGCTCGACCAAGAGGACCTTCTTCTTCGTCTCGGCCAGACGCTCTGCGGCAACGATACCGGCCGCACCACCACCGACAACAATATAGTCATAGGTAGCGTTCGACACAGTCGGGGCGACGCTGGGGGTGGGAGTCTGGCTAGCAAGGGCCGAAGAAGACGGCGTGGCACTGCCAGAAGGAGTAGCGGTGGACTTGGCCTTGGCAGCCCAGGTAGAGTACTTCGCCGACTTGGCCTTGGACAGGAGAACCTCAAAGGTACCGAAGCCAGCAGCATGGTAGGAAAGAACGGAAGATGGCGAGCTAGGGGTGGTGGGGTTGGTCTTGGACAGGGCCCAGCCGAGGAAGCTGGTGTCTGCGCTTGCCTTGAACGAAGTCGGCGATCCGACAATGCACCCTTTACAAAGGAAGGTATAGGTGAGGTGGGTGCTGTTGACGGACACACCGTCGGGGATCTCGGCGATGCTGGCATCCTGGTACACGTCCGGGTTGGTGTACGATGTTGCTTGGCGGAGAGAACCAACACCAGAGTCACCATTTGGCCACGCGGCAATGAGCAGCGATTGGGTCATTGAGGGCGAAAGACTGACACCACCCCAGCCCTTGGAGTCGGACAGCGGCACGACCATCTGACCGATAAAGTCGGACTTGACGGTCTCAGGGAGGGCCATGCCGAAGCACATGCCGGAGTCATCATCGCACCAACGTTGGAAGTCGATGCCTGTCGCGGGGTCACTGTAAGCAGATGACTCGGTGGTCGAGGCGGCCACACCAAGGGCCGTGGTTAGGGTCGTCAGCCAGGTAAGAGAACGCATATTGACAATGTACCAGACAGTGGAAAAAAGAAAGCAAGGATAAAGAATGAAAGGGTCAGCCGTCCCAGCAGCAACCCAAAAAAATAAAAAACGGCAACGGCCGGAAGAAAGAAAGAATCAAAGGATGAATACAAAAAAAAGAAAAGAATGGTTTGCAGAGAAAGTGATCAGCCATGATGGGCAGTCATGGCTTCATATACCAGTCAGGTCCCAAGCCAGACCCCAGCCTAGAACGAGGGGCAATGTCCAAGGGCATATGAAGGATGACGGATAATTTCACTAATGATTTGAGCATATTAACCAGTGGACACACGCCGAGTAGTAGTATGGAGAAGAGGACCGAGGCCTCTCACGATGCAGTACCCTGTGCGTAGAGTACAACAATATCCGTCAATATGCCGAGGACTGCGTAGAGAACTAGAATAATCCGTGCTCTGTAGATAGTATCTCGGAGTGGAGCTCACGAACAGTGGCTGTTTGAGGCATAGTTCAATGTCCATCAACCCGAAACGACATCGTTCCATCGCTCGAATCGGAGTAAACGGCTCTCTAATCGGGGGTTATTATTGGTTTCCATCAACGGAGAATTGTATCGAACAGATCATCATAAAAGACATGTTGATTCTCTCATATTAATTCGGATTGCTGGATGCATGACTCGGTGGTAGACATCTCGGCGTGGTCTGGCTGGTCTGTGATCCACCGGATTCGGCCCCTGACTGGATTAGATATGGTTCAGATTGCTGCTCGGAGATACTCACATAAATAAGGCCCAATGTCGGAGGATCGATCCCTCGTGTCTGCGAATTGAGTATGGGAAGATCGGTAATTGACTATTGAGAGGTGAAGACGAAGACGAAGATATCCTGAAGAATGTGGGTCACCTGTCAGGCTGATCACGTGCCATATCGGATTGTTCCGAGTCTGCAGGAACAGTCGGATTTAGTCGGGAATAACCTAATTCAAAGTACGAACTACTTGTAAGGCCATACATAAGCATACTAAAAACAATTCATAAAACATGAATTAAAGTCTACGCTAACCGCAACTGTACATTGTCTCTTGTCCGAGGTTTAGATATCTCCAACGCCAGGACAGAATCAGGTATATCCCATTGAGTACCGAACGAAATGAAGAGCGAAAGAATCGAAGATGACAATTTAGAAGGTGAGAAAAGAGAAAATTAGACCATGATCAGGCTGGCACCGAACAAGGTCGACATGATGGTCACCATACCGACAACAACAGGAGCCATGGTCAAGCTGGGAACCTTCAGGCCGGCAGCAGCACCCTCGGAGCTAGAGGGAGAGGACGAAGAAGAGCCACCGCTGCCGCTGCTGCTGTAGTCGCTGCCGGAGACGGAGGCGGAGCCAGGCTCAGCAGTGCCGGTGGAGGAGGTACCCTTGGACTGGCTGCCAGAGCCGGAGAAACCGTCACCCTTGCCAGCACCGTCCTTGAAGTACTTCTTGGCGGGCTCAGGGATGGCAGGAAGGGCATCGTCGGAGACATCCCAGGCGGGCTTCTCCTTCTTGGGGCAAGCGTTGGAACCACCAGTCTTGTTGAAACCACCGTCACCCTCGGGGTTGGAGGTCTTCTCAAAGGCGGTCTTCAGAGCATCGAAGTCCTTGAGTTCCTTGACGCTGTCGCCGTCAACCTTGACCAAACCGTAGTTGCTGGGCTCCTGAGAGTATTCATAGACGAGACCACCAGAGTAAACACCGGTCATCTTGGTGGAGTAGAGAGCTTCGACTTCCTCGAACTTACGAGTGTTGGTGTTGCAGCCGTATTCGGAAAGGAAGAGAGGAAGACCATAGCCGTCAAACAGCTTGACCTTCTGGTCCCAGCCAGAGGTAGAGAACGACGAGGGGTCACACCACGAGTAGTCGTTGAATGCGAAGAAGTCGCTGCGCTCGTCGTCGGTACCACAGTTCATGTACTGGGCCATCTGCAGACGGTTGGTGTCGATATCGGCAGCAGAGTAACCAACGGGCACGGTACGAAGGTCACGCTCACGAAGGTACTGGCGAATATCACGAGTGACAGCCTTGACGTAGGGAGCGGCCTTGGATGAAGGACCGTCGTTGATAACCTCGTTTCCGGAGAAGAAAGCGAGGGTGTTCTTGTACTGAGCGAACATCTCGACAGTGGCGAAGATGTACTGCAGGTAGACGTCGTTGTAGGACAGCTTGGGGTCCTTGCGGTTGAGGGAGTACTTGGGGGTGTTGACATCAAGGACGAGGTAGATGCCCGCATCCGCCAACGCATTCATACACTCATCGTGGTCCTTGGAGTTGTCGACAGAGTAGACCCGAATGGTGTTCAAGCCAAGAGACTTGAACTTTTCAATGTCACGCTTGCAGCCATCGGCATCAGCGATAGGGTCCGCAAGGTCACCAGAGCCACCGGGCTGGTAGTCGACACCACGGATGTAGAAACGGTCGTCGCCCTTGAAGAAAGCGTTACCCTTGGTGGTGATGGGAGTCACATCGTCACGGGCCTGGATCTTGGAGGGGGCCGCCAGGACTGACGAAGCTCCCAAGACGAGGGAGGTAGCGATGGTAGTGCCCTTCATTGTTGTAGCGATTGTCAGATGGAATGGGGGAAATGAAAGAAAGAATGGAGAGATTAATATAGTAGATAACGAGAGGCTGGATCAAAGACGCAGAAAAATAAAGGAATGAATGACTATAGAAAGGGAAATAACAAAGGCGTGTCAAGGGCAGACAAGAATGGAAGGGATAGAAAGGGAAGAGAAAAGGGAAGGAAGGGAACGGCGTGATTATGTACTCCTGGTATTCAGTTACGGGTCTCGTACTGTCACATCCTCCCTGACAAAGATCATCCAGATCGCCGCTTGGTCCGGTTTGGCATACTTTTATTGGTGTAGTGTCAGGGTCCAGTGGGGTCTGGAGTCAGGGTCAAGGGCTGGAGCGCTGCTGAAGTCCAATCAGGGTCTCTTAAAGGCGGAAAGCCAAGAGTCTGTTTCCTTTTATGTGTGCCGCTGTGGGGAATTGTATCCCTATTTAGACATGAAGACCCTGGATTGGTTCGTTTGCTTCCGATACAATACGATACACACAAGCATATGAGTACCGAGAGCAGAGTACTACACTTATACAGGACGTAGTTGTACTCTGTACGTAGTAGGTAAATATAGTTGTACAGCTGTAACGGTGCCAATTCATTGCGTGGCTACATTCCAATGCAGACCCTGCAGATTATGCACAGTGCACCAATAGATTATCCTGAAACATACGGGGCCTCGGCTTACGATTTGGCCAACCACCACACCATAATGATGCAGCGCAACGGGCATGGAGTCTCTAGCGCTTATTTACTTATACTTTTATAGAAACCACAGCATTTGGGCTCTTTACTCTGCTCCCCTATTCACCACTACGTCAACAGATCTAGCACTGCTAACGGAAACGATCACCGATCTAACCGCACGTTCCTGGCTGCAACCTTCCTTAGGGGGCTTGGTCCGAAACGAGTATTCTCCGTGTTTCAGTCTCGGTGTTACTAATAATTGTGCGCCATAGTTAATATCAGTCCCTGCGAAGTGGCGTCATTGTAGTCAAAACTGGTCGACGCTACGGAATACAGCAGAACCTTATTCTTGTCATAGTGCAGCAATCATGTCCCTGACCAGTTCGGTTGTATATTGCAACGCATGAAGTAACGGCGAAGAGTCAAGGTCTCGTGGACTTGGCGCTGGCAGTGTGTACTCTGTACCAAGACTAGGCGCTATTTGCAAAGAATTAGGAGACTTGGAGGCTTGGAACTAGGTCGGACGCTGTAAGTATTTCATAGGGGCACGGAGTAGACTGGTAGGATAAGAATCAATTGACCAATTGATCTCGCTATATAAAGTATATGGATGCAGAATAACACTCCGCGGTATATCCTAAGTGCGAACACCCATTTACCACATCACTACTCCCTTTTCCTCAACCGATCCGTCCCATGCACCCAATCCAACACCCCCATCGATCCATAATTCAAATTGAACTTCTCATGATGCAAATCATGCATCCTTGCCTGTCCTCCCAAGAAATCATATCCACTATGAACCGTCGCCGTCCCAAACAACTCGTACCCCAGAAACGCCCAGAACGTGAATATATGGCTTTTCAGGATCTGCGGGGGGAGAGTTATCGGTAGAATGTTTGCGAAAATCTGCTCTATGGGGTGTGCATATTGTGCTGCCAACGCGATTGGCGCTGTGAAGCGGTGGTGTTGCTTGTGGATGCGGACGTAAAAGTATGGTCTATGGAGAAAGCGGTGGCTATAGTAGAAGAGGGCTTCGCGGAGGAAAAGGCTGATGATGAAGTCGCGGAAGAATTCGAAGAGGGTTGGGAGGGTCGTTTCGATTCGATAGGACGACGGGAGACCGGCGTAGGTCGTCGCTGTGATTAGGAGGAAGTGGAGGGCCGTGGAGAGGAGTTGGTTCCTCGCGACTACCGCGACGCAGTGCCAGATATCTTTTCCGGTGGGTTGTTTCGGGGCCGGTTGGATTTTATGACGTTGCGAGAAGGAGGGGAATAAGGCGTCGAGGGAGAGGTAATAGAGCGATGGTAGCCAGAATGTGAGTAGTTGAACGAGAAGTGTTCCGATGAATTCGATGGATCGCGGAGAGTAGGATTCCACGATGTTGGCCCAGGCGTCCATTTTGTCCAGTTGCACAGTCGCGTTCAATTGAAAAAATAGGAAGTACAGTGACAGTTGGTGAGGCGTGTTCCTGCATTTAAATGAACTATGGAGATCCTGATCAACCGTGGGGTAATCGAGATGCCTCGGTTCCTCAAATCTCCGATTTCATATTCTGACTGCGAGTGAAGATCTCTTTTCTCTGGACCTGGTCGCATTCAATCCATGGAATAGAAATTGAACGAGGAATCGCATACTTTTGTCGAAATGAGTTCTACAATATACAGAGCAGTCTCCTTCTCTGAAATTCGTCAGGGTACACCTGCAGCTTGCTAGGATTATCATGGAAGGTCAGACGTACTTTAGCGGCCGTGGACACGAACAGACAGGGTTATTTTGCAGGCGCAAGGCATCAACCATCGACTCTACAGTGAGCTTCCCCTGGCTCTGAAGAACGTCGATGTCTCCATCGTCCACCCTTGTCAACCTCCAGTGCAAGGTGAAGTCCGCCATCTTACCTTGATCCAAAGTAGACTCCATCCTCGCAGTTGGTAAATGTAATCATCCATCCTTGCGGCCCGTCTTCACAGAAAATTGTAGCTTCTGTCGTTCTGCTGATGGTATGCGGTCTTATTCCGACCATATTCATTCTACCAAAATATTATGGTTGTGTAAGATTGAGGAACATGTCTTGTGCGTTCTCAGGTTGGGGGACAGCTCGGCATATTTCTTTCCTTGGTCGAAGGTTAAAAAAAAAAAAAAAAAAAAAAAAAAAAAAAAAAAAAAAAAAAAAAAAAAAAAAAAAAAAAAAAGACTCTGGACTGTTTAGCGTTTACCTTAAATGTGATGGAAAAAGAGAATATACGAGATGGTATATAGGTTGGAGGTTTTCTCGCTTAGGGGAGTGGTAGGAATCAAGCGACAGCAGTTAGGCGTCACTATGGAACAACTATGATCGTCGTCTGTTCGCATCTCCTTTCGCTTTCCCTCGTAGTTTCACTCGCAAAATAAGTGTTACTCTTTCCTATTTCCTCGTTTGCCGGTTGCTGTTGTTGTCGCTCCTTCCTGGACAACATCACACCTTCCGAATCTGTACCAGCACCTATTATACCCGCCAGAACTGCCATAAAACCCCATGATGCGAGAAACAAACCTTTCCTGTCATCTCCTGTCATCTTCAAGACAGTCGACGTTTTATTTCTGTATCGATATCCTCATCGATAAACTGCTTTTACGTTAATCGATAGTCGATATCACTATCCATTGAGCATCGAGTATCGTACAAACAATGATTTCCCTCCTGAATGCCTTGGCCTGGGCCCTCTTGGCCATCCTAGTTCACGGTGACAGCGAGTACAACAAACTCTTCATCAGAGGCCCGGCGTTCTCGCTCTATCCTGACCCAACCTTTACCGTGGTTAGCCCCGAACTGGGCCGGTCTGGAGCGTGGATGAGCAGCAACTACACCGCAGACGGATCCGGCCGCTTTCCGAGTCTCGAATGGAGAAGTCCCTCGCCCTACGTGAAAGAGTACCTGCTCGTTAGCGAGGACCCTGATGCTCCGCTCTCGCGTCCCATCGTCCACGGTCTGTACTATGGAATCCCGCGCGTGTTTACTGGATTGGGGGATGAGGATTTCCAGTATGGGACGGAGCCATATACGGCGTCTGGGGGTTTCAAGTATGGTGTGTCTCGCGGGGGAGGAGTTTACCTGCCACCGAAACCCATGCCTGGCCATGGACCGCATCGGTATTTCTTCGAAGTCATTGCGTTGAACGAGCGGATCGATACGGGGAAGTTGGAGGCACCTGTGACGCTGGGTGAGATCTCGCATGCGATTGAGGGCAAGGTGATTGGATGGGGGACGTGGATTGGGTTGGTGGAGCGGCAGTGATTGTGTTGAGAATTGATATGGGTCTCATTGTTAATCGCTTGGTTCTTCGTTTTTGCTGTCTCTGATGTATTGTTATGATACCTGGTCGAGATCTAGGGATCCATGGGATGCATTTCATGTGTGGTGACTTCATGACCACTGTCTCGGCTGGATTCCAGTCTCCATAAATAGATCTGTAAGACAAGGTTATTTTCAGCACTGCCAGTTGTGCGAGCCATGGACCAGGTCAATACGAGACGGATTGAGCCGCTAGATGTACTTATAGAACCGTCGTCTGTACAGAGAATATGTTGTGCTTGGTACTCCGTACATACTGATTCTTTTCTACTCCGTACCCGTACTTCCACCAAAAAGAGGCAGTCTCTCCACGGAGATGGCCGTAGATTCTCCGCCATGTGTCTCACCCACCAATAGAACAATTCTCAACGAACCTTGCCTGAACTAGACTAGCTCCTCGCAGGATCTGCTAATCCCGATCTGGAGAGCTTAACCGGATATGTCGGTCGCATTTGTCGTTTCCAAAGGAGATCATGGAATATTAATTGGTACGAAATTGATACCGAGGAATATGTAAAACTCTGTAGAGGCTCTCCATGTATGTACGTTGGGCCAAGATCGGTGTAACCCCTGTAAAGCTGCAACTGTAACCGCAATGATTCGTGGTAAAGACCAACATTAATTGTACTTATACGTATAGCGATACGTATAAGAATGGAGTCGAAAATGAGCTGTCATCGCCACTGATAATCCGCAGTGGAATGGACTATTGTGGACTATTGCGTAGTATTATCGCTGGCTAAACCGGGAAAAAATAGTCCAGCGCCAACCAGGATTCCAACAAGGTTTTTTCTCTCTCTCTCTCTTTTTTTTTTTTTTTTTCACTCTCCTTATTTATTCTCTGGATGTGGTAGTGTTGGCTTTTATTCTATTCTATTTTTTTTTCCATCTGACAGGCTGCACTGCTTATTCACTACCACTGCCATTGCGTCCTGCATCGCATCACATCTGTATATCCCACTAGCCTCAACTTCAATTGACCGTAAACCGGCCTCAATTCCTTTCCCCTCATCTATCTGGATTCAAGTACCGAGTAAAAGAGGGAAATGACTCGACTGAGCTTCGTTCTTCTCTCCCTCCTGGCATCCTCCATCGCGGCCTCCCCCACCGAACATCAACACCGCGATGACCTCCTGAACTCCCACAACGAGCACAACCTCAATCCCATCCACAACGCCCTTCACCGTCTCTCTGCTCGCTTCCGCGATGGGATCTTTCCCTCTGATACCGATGCCGTGAGCGCTCTCCAGCACGACGACGAATCCCTGGGCAAGCGCTTGTTGGACCTCGTCAAGAGACAAGACGTCGGAGGTAATACCACCACCACTGCCACTGATGCAACTGCCATTGCAACCACCCCTGCTTCTGCTTCTGCTTCTGCGACTGAGTCCGAGGAATCTTCTTCTGAGTCCACGTCGGTGACAGCTTCTCCTTCAGACATTTCTTCGTTGTTGCCTTCTTCCGACCAGGCTTCGTCTACGGAGGCCTCTTCCACGGATCAATCGAGCTCGACTGCGGCATCTACTTCAGACCAGGCTAGTTCCTCGGCGGGGTCTACTGGTAGCTCCAGTGCTGAAAGTACTACCGAGAGTAGCACTGCCGAGAGTAGCACCGCCGAGAGTAGCACCGCCGGGAGTAGTACTGCCGAGAGTAGCACTGCCGAATCTAGCACTGCCGACTCCAGCACTACCGACAGCAGTTCTGCCAGCAGCAGCAGCAGCAGCAGCAGTGCATTGGAGACCGAGTCGTCCACGCCTGCGTCGACTACGGCCTCGTCTACTACTTCGTCTACTGCTGGATCTAGCACCTCGACCAACCCGTCTACTACCATGTCTACTTCTGCTTCGCCTTCTTCCACTTCTGCTTCGTCTACTACATCTACCGAGACCAGCTCGAGCACCACCAGCACCACCAGCACTACTTCTTCCTCGTCTACCGAGACTACCACCCAAAACACCACTCCTTATACTTCTACGTACCAGAGCACCACGACCATGGCGAACGGTGAGCGCAGCACTGTGACCATGTTCACTGTCGTGCATCCCACTGCGTCGACGACTTCTTCTGCGAAGCCAGGTCTGCAGACCGATACGTCGGGTGCTACTACCACGAATCTGAAGCGTGAGTTCTTGGCTATCATTGCCGGTGCTGCTGTTGTTGCCATGGCGCTGTAGTTGTTCATTCTGCATTTCTTTTCTTGTTGTTTCGCGAAAGTTGAGTTATTACATCGCATTGCATGGCGTTGCATTCGTTCTCTAAAAACCTAGCATGTCCGGCGTCCGACAGTCTTTCTTTAGATTCCAGCATATAAATTTGATTTATTATCCTCCAGCAGTATGATATAAATAGTTGTATTATCCTCCAATATAAACAGTCCAACAGGGTATGATCCACACATGTACACACAATCCATAAACGATACTCCATCCAACACGCGACTAACTCTCCCCAACCCACCTCTCCTCCTCCGTCCAAAACCTAACCACACTCTCCCACCCCACGTAATCCCCATCCCTCAACAACGCCGCCACATCCACATTCAACGGACTCTCGGGCCTCGGGTCCGTCAACAACTGCTGAATCGCCGTCAATGTCGTCGACAGCGTATACACCGGGCTCCAGTGCTCCGTGGTCAATAGCGTGAGACAAATCTCGCCTGTTGTAAACGAGATATTGGGGTGGGAGATGCGTGTGCGGAAACGGATTGTGGGAGGCGTGAGGGGGTAGTTCGGGGGGATGGTTATGTTTAGGGACCAGAGACCGCCTGCACTTGTCAGCTTGTATCCAAATTGCGTTTGCATTTTTTTTTTTTTTTTTTTATTATTATTAAAAGGGGGGAATACCCTCGTACGGCGTCCCCTTGACACCCTTTAACACAGCCTCCCAGTGTAGCAGATCATCTTCGTCGATTGGGCCGAGGTGCAGGAGAGCTTCGTTAGGGGATTTAGTGTAGTCTTTGAATTCGCGGAGGAGGCGTTGTGTTGTTGAGGGAGAGGCCATTTTCTTGATATTCGAGTTTATGTACCGTACAAATGGTATGTAGTATATTGTAGTTGTTTATGTTGATGAGGTTGTATCACTATGGGGCTGGGGCGGTGAATTCTCCCGAGGCGTGGGTCGGGTGTTCGTGGAGATTGTTACGGGTGTGATCACCATGTGATGGTTGTCCACGAAGTCAACTCCATGCGAGCACAGAGTACTTCTACAGAAAAATGCGCACCTCACGAACATCACAAGAAACGACAAAACGCCTACAAGCGCTGTCCCCCCGTCGCACGCGCGGTTCCACAAATCCGGATCTGAACCTCCAGCGCTTCGCGTACGACAACCCGCGCGAAATCAAAGATGAAGACGTCTCGTCGCTTTCGTCGGTGAACACTGTTGACATCGAGGATGTTCTCGAGCCGCCCGCGAAACGGCGAAAAGCCGCCCCTGTCCCTGCTGCACCATCTGTACCAGCACGCGCGAGACAGACTCCGAACGGAGCACCAACGAAACGAACCCGCCGAACCCCAGCGCGAAAAATCAAGACCGATGGAGCCACAACAGTCCAACCGCCCTCTGACTGGGAAACAATCTACAATACCGTGAAGAAAATGCGGGCGATGAATCCAACCGCGCCGGTGGATACGATGGGATGCGCGGAATTGTATTGGCGGGCGTCGTCGGTGAAGGATCAGCGGTTTCATATTCTGATTGCGTTGATGTTGTCGTCGCAGACGAAGGACACTGTTACTGCTGTTGCGATGGGGAGACTGCATACTGAGCTGGGAGCTGTTGAGGAGGATAGCGCTGTTAAAAAGGAGGAGGACATCGAGGACGGGGTAAAGACGGAGGATGACATTAAGAAAGAGGTCATCAAGAAAAAGGACGACATCGAGGATGGAGCTAAGGAAGAGGACGTCAAGAAAGAGGACGGTGAAGAAAATCAGGCCAGCACGCTAACCCTCCAAAACATCCTAGCCGTCAGCCCACAACGCCTTAACGAACTCATCCGCACCGTCGGCTTCCACAACAACAAAACCAAATACATCAAAGCCACAGCCCAAATCCTCCACGATAAATTCAACTCCGACATCCCCTCCACCGCCCCAGAACTAATGTCCCTTCCCGGCGTAGGTCCCAAAATGGCCTATCTCTGCATGAGCGCCGCATGGGGAAAACACGACGGTATAGGCGTTGACGTGCATGTCCATCGTATAACGAACCTGTGGGGATGGCATAAGACCAAAAACCCTGAAGAAACGAGGGCTGCGCTAGAGTCGTGGCTGCCACGGGATAAATGGCATGAGATTAACAAGTTGTTGGTTGGATTGGGGCAGACCATTTGTTTGCCTGTTGGGCGTAAATGTGGAGAGTGTGATTTGGCTGGGACGAAGCTCTGTAAGAGTGAGGTTAGAGGTAAATAGTTGGCATTTAGCGATGGTAACGGTCGTGGTAGTGGTGACCGTAGGTGTATACAGAGCCCCAAAGGGTAGTGAATATCACGGGACCTTTGAGTGGGTTGAGCTTCCACACAATCATCTTTTGTGGCCTCATGGCCTCAATGGCATCTATTTTATAACACACATCTACCTCTTGACAATCTCTATCTACGCTGAGCACTCTACAATCTATCCTACTCCATCTAACCACTCTGCAATGCCACCCAAACGCGCAAAGGCAGAGCAGCCACTACGCGTATGTCTCCAACACTGTTATTGTCTCCGCTGCTAACTCTGCAAAGGAAGACGAAATGGACATCGACGAAATCGAAGACGAACCTTTATCACCTACGAAAGATCGAATGGAACCCAGCCCTGACTACACCCCAAGCAACAGCCGCCTCACCTTCTTCGACCTACCAGCACACATTCGAACTCGCATCTACCTCTTATCAGGCCTGGCTCGGCCCTGCACGACCCGTATCGATACAGGCTGGCCAAGAAACTACCCGAGCAGAAACAACTTCTGTGAGCTGGAGCGAGAGGATCTCCGCGTTTCTCGTCAGGGTGGCTACTACACTGCGGCTACGACTACTAGATTCTGCACACATCCCAATTTTCCAATGGCGTTGTTCAGGGTATCTCGACAGATGCATAAGGAGGCGGCGCGGATCTTTCTCAAGAATAGTTTCGCCATGCTTCTGGCTTACAGGTCGGATTTGGACTACTTCCAGATGTCGCTGGGGTGGGCGTTTAGCCGGTTACGGAGTTTGCATATCGAGCTAAGGCCTGGAGATGGACGGTTTCTCAAGATGCGTGGTGGAATGCATGGTACGGCGTGGAATACGTGGGCAGCGTTTTGCGGGCAGGTTAAAGGGAAGATGCCTGCTCTCGACGCGTTCAGTTTGAAGTGCAAGGTGCGGATGCCCGAAGTTGCAGATAAATTGCTCGACCATATGCAGGGCTTCCCTGAGTTATTAAGTTGTGGGGTTCACTTCAATCCCTCTCCCGATGATGAGTTACAAGTCAAAGTCAGGCAGTTCTGCTGGAAGATGACGGGGAGGCTGGATCCTCCGTCGTTCCCGTTCGTGCGTCTTCCCAAGGAAATGCAGTTGCTGGTCCTCGAGTTCCTCTTGACCAACCGTTCAGATCCATACTCGCCCCGCGCAGGGAACTCGTTATCAGAGGGCTTTCGATGTCTCGAGAGCGTGGTGACTTTTCAGAACCGTCGATATCTGCGAGCCCATGATGTCCGTCCTATGATGTGCTGCGGGACGTGCTCGCCCTCGCAGGCGATGTGTTTCTGCTTCTCACGCCAGTGCGCATTCTCCACGACCTGTTCCTGCTTCAGCACACCCCTACCGTACTTCCTCGTCAGCCGCGAATTCTACAACATGGCCCACCACATCTTCTACTCGAAGAACGTCTTCGCCTTTGTCGAAGAGGATCCCGAAGACATGCTCCGCATCACACATAACATCCCCACACCCACTTTCATGCAAATCCGACGTCTTGCATTCAAATTTCCCTACCACCACCGCATGCCCTACCGTCTCAACGCCCAGAAAATCGAAGAAACCGCCTTTATTTCCTGGTCCGTGCTCCACCGGTTCATCCGCGAACATTTCGACCTCCCAAAACTATCAATCTCAGTCATCGACGTCGGAGGCGCAGATACCTTCTCGCGAACCAGGATGATATCATCTCGAAATCGATACCTGCGAAAGTTACTGCTCAGTTTCGCGGATTTGAAGGGTTTACGCGATTTCTGGGTATTTCTCGCAGATGATCCTGGTTTTGAGGAGGAGGCGAAGGCGGTTGTGTTGGGGAGGAAGGAGGCTGATGATTCGAGGGTTTACGAGGAGGATACTTTCCTTTACCGCGAGTTGTGAACGTAGTATCAGTGGTTTAATTTATGATTTACTTCTGCTAGAATGTATTAATAATATCAGGATGACATAAAGGAATATGGTTCAACGAGGATGCAACAGTATGGCGAGGCTTGGTGTATGTTGAAATACGGGTAGGGCTGGTATATATATATTGGCGCGTTCACATTAAAAGTAGAGCTCTGAACCTTCCTTTCCTATTAGCTATTAGTTATTGTATTTTATATTTTCTATTTTCATTATATCAATACTCTACTATTTTTACCCCTTTCAAAATTCGTTTTCAAACAACTGAGGACACTGTTGATCATATCTCTGTTGATACGGAGTATGCAAACCAAGCAAACAATGAAGTCACCGGTCTCCATCCCACCACTATCACTCAATTTTTGAATTCAATTGAGATTGTTTATACTACCATAAACTATACTCCGGCTCCTTACACATTCCGATGCGATACAGATAATGTCGAAATCCGCCAAACCAAACCAACCGAACCGACCTCCCAAAAAAGGCACCATGCCCCCCGCACACATACCAATCTCTCTCTTCGCCAACACCCAACTCTCCCTCCTACACACCGAACACCAAGCCGAAATCTCCTCCTCCTCACTCGCCAGCACAGCCGCATCTGTCTCTCCGTCAACAAGAAGAACGCTACAAGCAACCGGTTACGCGTTAACGGGGCTGATACTAAGCCAGACGAAGACGGGGCTTGGGGGACGAGTAGTTGGTGAGTTTGGGGCGGATCCGGCGACTGCAACTGCAACAAAGGGGAAGGATAAGGATGAGAAAGGTAATGGGGAGGCGGGGTTGGGTGCGCATGGGATACGCGTTGGGGATGTAGTGAGAGTGAATGATATCGGGTCTGGTGCGAAAAGAACTGGGAAAGAGAAGGAGAAGGATAAGTCAAAGGACAATGGTGCGAAAGGACTCGAAGGCGTGGTGACGAGAGTTGGGGAAAGGGCAGTTTGGATTGCATTCGGGCAGAGAGGTGGGAATACGGGATCGCGGTCGAGGGAGGATGACGAGGCGATTGAGGAGTTGTGGGGGAAGAAGTTATGGCTGTATGTGGTTTACCTGGGACTGAGTTTGGGTTGTGTACTGATTGTGTAGGATCAAATTGGCCAACGATGTGACGTTTCGACGGATGAACCAGACGATGGAGAAAATGGCCAAGATGACAGAGAACGAGCATTCGCATTTCATGCGCGTTGCGTTTGGGTATACGACGCCGCTGCAGGTCGACTATGAAGGTGTCGGTGCTGTGGAATTCACCGATCCAACTCTGAATGACTCGCAGAAGGAAGCCATTCGATTCGCACTCGCGTCCAAGGATGTTGTTCTCATTCACGGTCCGCCAGGGACAGGAAAGACACATACTTTGATTGAGTTGATCCTGCAGATGGTGCAAAGGAATCAGCGAGTTTTGGTCTGTGGACCGTCAAACATCTCAGTGGACAATATTGTCGAGAGACTAGCACCGAAGAAAGTCCCTGTTGTGCGGATAGGACATCCAGCCCGTCTGCTGCCGTCTGTCCTAGAGCATTCTCTCGAAGTGTTAACCCACACATCCGAGGCAGCTGGTATTGTCAAGGACGTTCGTGCTGAAATCAACGACAAGCAAGCCAGTATCCGTAAGACGCGGACTGGACGGGAAAGGAGAGCAATCTATGATGACCTGAAAGAACTAAGGCGCGAATTTCGAGAACGCGAATCCAAATGCGTGGATAACCTAGTTCGCGGCAGTAGCGTGGTCCTTTCCACTCTGCACGGAGCTGGGGGCCACCAGCTGAGGAATTCAAAATTCGATGTGGTGATTATTGACGAAGCTAGCCAGGCCCTTGAGGCTCAGTGCTGGATCCCGCTCCTATCCGCCTCGAAAGTGGTCCTTGCGGGGGATCATCTTCAGCTGCCTCCTACGGTGAAATCAACCGTGCAGAAGTCGAAGGATTCGAAATCTCAAAAGAATGGCAATAATCATGTCGATCTCAGCCCAGAAGAGAAGGAAATTGCCAAAAGTATCTCATTAGAACGAACTATGTTTGATCGACTATTGTCGCTCCACGGCCCAGGCATCAAGAAAATGCTCACTACGCAGTATCGGATGCACGAAAGGATTATGCGCTTCCCATCTGACGAACTCTACGAGTCGAAGCTTATGGCAGGCGAAGCCGTCAAAGCCCGACTACTGAAAGATTTGCCGTATGAAATCGAAGAGACCGACGACACCAAAGAACCCATTGTATTCTGGGACACACAGGGCGGGGATTTCCCCGAGAAAACTGAAGACGACGACATGGGCAAGAAGGAAGCTCTATTAGGCGAGAGCAAAAGTAACGAGATGGAAGCTATGGTCGTCACCAAGCACGTGGCCAACCTTGTGGATGCAGGCGTCCGTCCCGAAGATATCGCGGTCATCACGCCGTACAATGGCCAACTAGCGGTATTATCGCAGATGCTGCGGGAAAAATATCCCGGTCTGGAATTGGGAAGTGTAGACGGGTTCCAGGGTCGAGAGAAGGAGGCCGTCGTGGTTAGTTTGGTGCGAAGTAACGATGAGCATGAGGTGGGATTCTTGGGGGAGAAGCGGAGATTGAATGGTATGGACCGGATATTAATTCTCACAGAGTATACCCGACATGGCGGAGTACAGAGAGCTGATGAATTCAATAGTGGCCATGACCCGTCCTAGGCGTCATCTGTGCATATGCGGTGACTCGGAGACTATCAACAGGTGAGCTGAACCCCGACAAACGCCTATTTATTGGATATTATTGACATGGTTGTCATGAACAGAGGAAGTAGTTTCCTGAAGCGCTGGATGGCATTCCTGGAGGAACACGCCGATCTACGTTATCCAGATGCAGGTGAACTGTTGTGATAAACCCTGCACTCCGTGCAGAGCACGTAGTTGGGGGTTACGTCGCCTTGAATAGTGTAGTTCTATTGGTTTGCATTGACCGTGTGGCACGGGGTAGATACTCTATGAGCCGAGCCATATACCCAATCACCGTGCTCAAACGCAATGCAAATTCAAACACAGCAATCCTGCGGAGAACTCCGTCATCAGAGATTAATTCACTATCCCATGAACTCTGACAGCAACCCGATTATATCCCGATAGTGTGAAAATTCAACCCGACCAGACTAACATCAAAGCAGGAATTCAAGCGAGTGCTTTCTACTCCAGGGTACACAGCAGAGCAGTCAACCTGCCGAAATCGGATGATCGTCAACTGCCAAGGTTTAGCGTGGTTGGCTTCAACCTTTTTCGGATTGAGATCGGCAGGAACTATTCCACTTATGGAGAATGTGAACCCGGGATTGCGGAAAGTGTACAGGGGGTTCTGCACGATCCCTGAAGACCGTAGTATATCTGGGGTGCATATACAGAGTACATGGGCACGCATACATGGGCGCATATACATAGTAGGCGCTGGCGTTTGAACCGGGCGTAGCAATCAGACATGGTTTGCGACAAACACACGATGTAAACCACACTGCACAAGACTTCCGTACAAACTCATGCCAAACCGAAGCTAAAACGTCAGTTGATCACCTCATACTAAACCATTGTTGGTGGATCTCGTTATTACCTTTGAGTATCTCGGCAGATTGGCTTTCAATAGTTTTCCTTAGCATGCGGGCTATGGCCATACCCATGAGCAATTTTGTCCAGTAAGCCCAGTGCGAGCTTGCGAGGTCTGCCGCCGTCGGTATCCGTGGCCACAGTAGCAGTACGGAGTAGACTGAGCATATATGAAAGGAAGGTTTCCTCTTTCTTGAGTGATTGTCAAGACCATTGAATCCCAAAAATCTCCTTGCTTTCGATCCCGATCTCATTTCTTTATCCTAAGGCCATCTACAATGAAGCTCTTCGAATCATTGAAACTTGCCGCCCTCCTTGTGGCAGCACAGGCCACAGCCTTTCCCGTCATCAAAATCGCTGCTCCCAGCCTAAAAGACTCCTCCCCCTCTGACACCCACAACAACACCGAATCAACCTCCCACACCTCCTCCCAATCAACCGCCTACAGCAACAACTGGTCCGGCACCGTCCTCACCCAGCCCCCTTCGGGCGACGCATTCACCCACGTCTCCACCACAATCACTATCCCCAAGGTCTCCGCCGATGGGCTGGACTCGTACCAATCCGCCTCCGTCTGGGTCGGTATCGACGGTGCCACCGTCTCCGACGCCATCCTGCAGACAGGCGTTAACGTGGGCATTCTCGACGGTTCCCCGCACTATACCGCATGGTACCAGTGGTATCCCGAGGCATCGGTGACATGGCCGGACTTCGAGCTGCAAGCCGGCGACGTCGTGGAGACAACCGTCAACGCGACCTCCAAGACCTCAGGTATCTGCATTGTCGAGAACAAGAGCACCGGGCAGAAAGTCACAAAGACTCTCGAAGCATCGAAACCGTCGTCCACGCTCAGCGGCAAGAACGCAGAGTGGATTGTCGAGGATTTCTTGTCGAACGGGTCGCCCGTGCCCCTGGTAGACTTTGGAGAAATTACGTTTGAGGAGAGCAAGGCGGAGACGAAGAAGGGAAAGAGTGTGGGAGTGTCGGGGGCGACACCGTATATTATGGTCATTGATGGCGAGCAGGTTAGTGAGGTGGATGTTGTGAATGACTCGCGGTTCAAGGTCAAGCATACTTGATTTGATATGATTGCATGGTTTATGACACAATTTAGATACCTTAATAATGATAATAGAAAAATTGTCAATATAGAGCAATCGCCTCCTGCTAGGAGCCGAGTTCAATAATGATTTGACTGGTAATGGCAATTGATGTTTGTCTTGGCGTTCCGTGCAGTCCCGGCATTGGTATTTCATAGCCTATTGGGCTTGCTTAAGTCCCTCGATATCATCATCACAAGGGAAATTTTCAGTACTACTGAACTTCAGATTCGTCAAAGTTATCTTTATCGAGGTGTAGTTTTCCGCAATGACCTCTTCGCTAGTCGTAGTTATCCACAGCGAAGGGCCCAAGACAGAACCAGTTGATAAGTCTGGTTGGTCCTATATCAGAACAGAGGTGGTTCATACATCCAACATGTATTCTGTTTCGCTCACATACCTACCGACGAGATGTGTGAGTTGTCATTCCAATGATCAGACTCTGAGTTTATGAGCTCCCCAGATCGTCATAGTGTCGCACCTCAGTTGCGGTAGTTCCTCGGCAAACTGTAAAAGTCAGTACAGAGTGCGCTGGTTTTTATGGTACGAGTCCTTTACCCGTTTGGTTGCTGATCGAGGGTTTACTTAACGCCCTTCCTCATGCTTCTAGAGTCCGGCGAGACGCAGTCCCGGCACTGTGGCCGTGTTGATAGAATTCTTATTTATGTTCATAGAACTTGAGGTGTCCTTTTGAATAGCGCGTCATGAGGCCTCCTAATTAGATGATAGTCCATTTGCCTGTGATGGGACATCATGACCGTCGTTAGTTTCTTGACTGTGGTCGCCGCTTGGATTCAAGGTATTTCTGTGCTTGAAGTTGATACCGTATAGCTGCTTGATATCTTCACCACACAAACTGCAGCGCTACTGCGTTGTTTATCATTCTGCGAGTTTCGTAATGATTGTGATTGCCATAAGTATTCTGACAACGAGCGTCATTTCAATACTATGTATGTCACAGAGCCTAAAGTGTTGCCCCATCAGGTATATTCGTGGCTCATTCGGTGTTCCTTTTTGCCTGATATTGCTAATTTGTATGCATGTCCTCTGAGAACGTCATGTTCCGCGTCACGACAACAATCACAGGTTAGCTCTTTTATTGCGTGTATCTCATCGCTCAACCACATATATGCCTCTTGTAGTTTCGAATTATGGTATTTTTTGCGGAGACGACTTGTTGTCTCATGTGCCTGTATCATGTCATGATTGGCCATCGAAACAAAGATCCTCATGGGAGAGAAATGTGACGACTATAGCAACGGATTAATCAGTGAGACTTTGAGTTTCTCCATGTAGCATCGTCAGTTATGCTATCTCTCACGACACGCAGAGGGGACCACTTGTGTCCTAAACGGTAGTGTCTCGATGTATGGCTGCCAATGTGATTTTCCAACTTCTGTTTGACAGTGCAGGCTGTTGGAAGAGCCCCATGGTAATACCATGATCTAGAGCTTGGTTCAGCAAGAGATTAGATTGTAAGTCGTCGAAGAGCTTTGAGAGCTGTCTGTCTTGGCGGGAATTTGAGGGATGTATTGCTTAGCCTAGTAGCTACGTAAGATAAATCTGAATAGTGAATCGGTTCAGGTGAGTTTGAGGATATACAAGTAGAATTCCTCCGTTTCTGGAAAGACCGAGTACTAGCCAATACTTGTCTGCATTCACCTCAAACGAGCTAGAGAACTACAACGCTATGCATAATCATATTGCATAATTATTCAGCATTCATAAATCGCTCATTGCCACTCATTATCTGGATCTACGGAGTACTCTGTACACAACACTTCGTACTCCACATGACTACGACTTTCACACTCCGTCTTGGCCGCTTTCTGGCCATTACTTCTCTGCAAATTGGATGAACGGTATGCTGCTTACCGGATCCCGGCATTGAGCAGTTCGCCAGTTCGGTATGACTACCACAGTTGAGAGCAACGGAGCATACGGATTACTGCCCCGAAGAACCAAAGAAAAGTGTCTTAACTGCATATTGCTTCTTAGAAGTGCATGTGGGGGTCTTTTTTTTTTTTTTTTTTTTTTTCCTTCTGTCCTCGTGACACTCAGGGTGTTCTGGACCTTAACATGGAGCACTCTAGTATATATCGGGAGTGTGTCATCATAACCGGGCCGGATGTATCGTAAAAGCTGTCGGCTCGGTCGGCAAGTACGCCGAGATATACGGAGGACGGGATCCTTCCAATATCAGGTTGATTTCCGGTCTGTGAATGTTGCCAGACATGGCAGGTGACAGCAATCTGGAGATGCCATCACGTGGTGAGCCTCACGTGGCTGACGTTGTATTGTACGGAGTAGCGATCGTCTCAGAACCTCTGACAAGGACGAGTCATGCCACGATTAAAGACGCACCGTTTTAAAGTAAGTAGCCTTGTCAGTGCCCGATATCCTGTAGGTGCTGCCATCGCGCAAAGCATACGAGCATGATGTCAGTGTGCATTTCTGCGACGAGGAATATAACTCATCTCCCATAATGGCAAGGCATGATCACTGCAGAATGTGATGTAGAGATCTAACGGACGACATACCTTGTATAAGGACTTTCAACGACGACATACAACATCCCATTCGGCCACGTACATAAGATCTGGAGAATGGGGAAGCCTCCGTATGGAGTAGACTACTCCGTTCTCCAAGCGTTCAATCAACGTGTATGGAGTGCATAAGCGCAGTTAACTTGGCCGTGTAGTCGGAGCATAGTCATAACCCCAATGTCGATTCTTATGCATATTCGTTTCATAATATGTACCATTTGCTGAGTGCGACGAGTTGGCGTGCAAATAGACTTAACTAAGCCAAGTAGACCAAGCGAACAAGACCGCGGTAGCTCGTGGATATAACCAATTCCACCATCGGGATACAAAAGGGCCCCACCGATGGAGAGACCGATTCTTTCTCCGCAAGCCGTACCGATTCTGATTGTACAAGAAACCCCGAGGTCGGCCCGAAGACTCTCCAATTGGCCCGAATGGCTCTAAACGCTTGCCGATCTCCGTAGTTTAGCCGGCCAACAAAAGTCTCTGAGTATCCGGATACGCTGGCATGAACTTTATTGTAAGGATTGTCTGGTTCCCATTCCGGATCCTGTATAGTGTACGGAGCACTACCGTGACCGTAGAGGCTCCCGTTGGTGCTCGTCCTTGCCCGAGTCGGGTCGGCGTCGGATGAGCATTTCCCGATCGGGATGCCGTTCGGGTTGGTCCTACAAGTACACCACCGCTTCTGTCTTACTTCGGAGTACAGAAATAACGGTCTCAAGTGATTTTTTGAAACGGAAAAAATGCGTTCATCGCTATGTTCATATTCTGATCTTGCTACCCAGGCCCAGGAACCAGATCACGATACTCGTAGAATTTTACTCGTACCTGCGAAAAATCTTAAAACTTAACCTAGTTTACTCGCACCACGGCACGATGATTAAAGGGGAAACTCAACACCGGCTCGGTGTCATCCCGAATAGATCCTCCGAGATCCACCCGATGTCATGGCACTGCGCTCAGCATTCTTGTCGCTTTCTCACCGGATGCTGTACCAGGCAAGAATCCCTATTTTTCTCGTCATTCTGGTCAATTGCGATGAACGGTCAGCGTCAACCAGCAATCAGAATTCCCTCCTCCTCCGTCCGGGGCACTCCAGGTTAGACAGACGTCGCAAGTTGTTGGGCTAAAAAAGAAAACATGGAGAAAGAAACGCGGAGAACGGTCACGAGGCCCAATCACCGGCCCGACTGTCATACGGTGTTTCCCCGAGGTTTACCAATCCTTTTCCAGTATGTTTCCAGACCCACGGTCCCTTCCCGATTTGGTACCTTGTACGGGCTTCGGGTGTTTGTGGATGTGAGTTCCATGGAGCGCGAATTTCATGGGCTTCTGTGACGCCACGGAATGCCGAAAAGATGGAGGTTACTTATAATCTACGATTTCCCCCGGAATTGTACTGCTGCTCCAGACTGTCTCCCCATCTTTTCTCTTTACCTCTTTGCTTGATACCCCTGCATACTTTTTTCAGTTAGTCAAGATGGTCAAAGATAGGTCCAACGAGCCTTCTCATACTGAGAACGCTTCGACAAGTTCTTCGTCACAAGAGAAACCCCAGTTTGGACGTCTCGTCGGTGGGAAGTACTCCCAAGAGGTCAACGACGATGAGTCTTTCCCTGAATACGGTTCGCTGCAACAAGTCGACGTCGACATGCCCTTGACCTTTACCGAAACAACAAACCACAATGGCAGACAAGTTGTCATCCTCGATTTCCGGCACGGCGATCCCGAAAACCCCTTCAACTGGAGTGGCAAGAAGAAGGCCTTTTTGAGTTCGCTACTCTGTCTCATGACCCTCTTCATCGGTCTCGCAACAACGGCCTACAGTTCCGGAATCTCGAGAATGTGTGAGGAATTCGGTGTCTCGGAAGAACTGGGCCAGCTTGGTCTGTTCTGCTTCAACTTCACGTGTGCCCTCGCTCCCATGTTTCTGGCACCCTTCTGTGAATTGGTCGGTCGTAAGATCGTTTATGTCGGTGGATACGTTTGCTTCGCTCTCATGTTCATTGGTCTCTCGCTGGGCAAGAACATCGCTACCATTCTCGTCTGCCGCGCCCTGCTGGGTCTCTTCGGTTGTATCGGTACCATCCTGGTTGGTGGTACTTTCGGTGACATGTACACGCCAGACCACCGTGCTATCCCCATGGCCTCGTTCTCCTACATCGCTATTCTTGGTACCGTGGGTGCCCCCATTTACGCCGGATTCATCGACCAGGCCCTCGGCTGGCGCTGGGTTGAGGGTATCCAGGGTCTTGCCAACATCCCTCTCGGTATCGCCATCATCGTCTTCTTCCGTGAGACCCGTGGCTCCGTCGCCCTGAACAAGCGTGCCAAGGCCCTTCGCAAGGCCACCGGTGACGACCGCTACATCACCCGCACCGAGCTCGAGGCCCCCGGTGTCAAGGAAATGCTCCACAACTCGTCTGTCAAGGCCATCAAGATGCTCTTCACTGAGCCCGTCGTGTTCTTCTTCGGTCTCTGGATCGCCTTCGCCTGGTTCCTGACCTTCCTCTTCCTTTCCGTCATTCCCATCACCTTCCAGGAGAAGCACGGCTGGGGCGAGGGTGCCGCCGGTCTCCCCTACATCTCACTCTGCATCGGTACCACGATTGGATTCGGCATGAACTTCTTCCAGATCCGCAAGTACAACCAGGTCCGCATTGCCAACAACGGCCGCGTGCAACCCGAAGCCCGTCTCTACGGTGCCCTCTTCGGCGCCATCTGGCTCCCGATCGGTCTCTTCATCTACTCCTTCACCCAGTACGGCTACCTCGTCTGGGCCGGTCCCATCATCTCCCTTGCCCTCATCACCATCGGTATCTTTTTCATCTTCGAGTCCTGCTACTCCTTCACCTCGGACTGCTACGGCGAGAACTCATCCTCCGCCATCGCGGGCCAGGGTCTCATGCGTAACACCCTGGGCGCTGTGTCCCCGCTCTTCGCCTCGCAATTCTTCCACAACGTCGGTAGCCAGTACGCCGGGTTGATCCTGGCGCTCGTCGCTACCGTCCTTACCTTCCTCCCATTCGTCCTGTTCAAGTTCGGGCCGCAGATCCGCGCCCGGTCTAAGCTTGCCAGCTCGACGACTCGGGCTATGGGTGTGGACTAATTTGTTTTTTGTTTTGTTTTTTTTTAATTGTTGCATATAGATATCTATTTGTTATTGAGCACTGCATGTATATATAGATATATCGACACCCTTTGACAGGGTGTTTTGCTTTGCATGTGTACAGGAGATGGTTACGAATCAAACCAAGTCATGAACACGCTTTTCTTCATATCTAGTTTCAATATAGTACAAGAACCCGGTAAATTCACTAGAAAAAAACCCTTCTGTCGGAATATAGAGGTTCCTTACCGAACAATACCAACTGATGCCTGATTGATGCCTCGCTGATATCATATGGCGCAAGCAGCTTATTTACTCTGCCATTACTGCTTCTGAAACCGCACAATCGCTTAGTATATCCTATAAGGTAGTCAACGGTCTTGTATAGGATCCTAGATAGCACACTTTTGCAAGAATCAGAGACCTCAACCATATACGCTCGATACGTACTTTCGACCCTGACTAAGCTGTGATTCCGACACTTCACATAAATCATGTGATTTATTTGCCACGTGAGATATCGCCATATGTCGCCACAGCCTGACACCAGTTTGTACGGCACGGAATTTACGGAAGTCGGCTTGTATTCATACGGCATCCCGAAACAAGTTCGATACCGACTCCGATAATACATGCCGGGAGTTGTCGTTATGTGGGTTCCCCGTATATACGGTGTACGGAGTACTCCATGTGCCTTGATTTCGCATCCACTTCGGATGCGAAAGAGGAGTCTAGGCGATGATTGTGGGTACAAGTTTGCCAATGATGTTGTGCATATGGCTGACGAAGTAAATTGGTGCGAGCTATGCGGTGGTGGTGGGTTTGATATCCTTCTATCTTGATGCCTATCGTACAACCGGGTGCTATGGGTATACGCTGTGGAGATCTTGGGTATCGCAGTATCTTATCCTCCAAGCACCATGCAGAGTAGTTTGGTGATTATGCAAAGGTCAACCAAGCCTGAGAGCATAGGCACTAGCATTTCGGTCTTTCTAAGCTGATTGTTTTCTCCACTGGTTTATTCCCCTGGAATTTGGTCGCATCCACGAAGACAGATAGTCTACGCCATGCCCCAAACGGAAAGTCTAGAATGGCACAGATACGAGGAAGATTATCGTATACCATTCCAGCAGCTTCCCTCTGAATAGTATCTGTAACTTGATCGGATGTTTCCCATCTGCATTCTTGGGCACGGAAATACAAAAGAGCCCCAGAATCAATTATAATGACCCAGCTGACAGAGAACGGGCTCTACGAAGACCTCAAGCCAGAGTCATGTTTCTTTAAGCCCACGATTTCTATCAAGGAATATCCTCTATGACTCAAACCCGGAGATGCGTACTCTAAACATCAACAAAGCGTCTACGAAGAAATAAGGAAGCATGAGGACAATCCACGCAAAAACCGCCAGGCAGCCTATACGCTTGCCTATGACATGATTTGGGTCCTTTAGTGCATACCCCAAAGAACAAGCACTGAGTGTATTGATTATGACGTTAGTGCTCTAACTGACTGGCTACCAGCACTGTATGTGGTAACCGACTAAGATATCGAAGACATTGGCTAACATTTTGATAGGGACTTTGACGAAGATGTTGTTTTTGCGGAAAGTTTCACAGATGCCTTTTTGTCTGGGGAGGAATAACCAATCCTGGAGCCCCTGCCGTAGATTTTAGGGATATCAGAGATCGACTGCCTCTCATATTCATGGGGGAACATTGTCTCGAGCCTCAGGGTGAGGGTTTACTCCGCCGCAAAGCCCTGGTTATAGCTGCGGCGATCATTACTAGGTTGGAAAGGCTTGAGAAACAAAGATGTATCTCTATCCTCGTCCTTTCATGTGATGGGTGGGCTTGAAGGGAAAGACACTGTCATTTGGAAGACGAAGATGTACCATTTTTGGCTTTTGGAGGATGCTAAAAAGCGGATTGATGTTCTTATGCAGCAGATGGCGAATGTTCCTGTTGATGATACCTTTAGATAATGGGGTTATAGATAGCTAAATACAGAAAGCCTGTTATAGTGTTTCATAGCATTATCTTGTCCTGAGACCTTGGGTGTTCCTTCATGATATACCATTCGAGCCCTGCATTCAGCTGCTGTAAGCAGATACTACAGAAGTAAGGTTGGAATTGCAGGCACCAGAGCTTCCCTTATATTTTCTTTTTGACAATTTACACAAGCCTTATTACGTTCAACAATCGGCTGTTCTAGTACCTTCAAAGTACAACCTCAAACCGCGAGCCCAGGAATCAACAATTACTTATTACACACCACCCCATCTTCACCAGTAGGCCCCAGACAGCGGCAGTCTTAAGCCTTTATCAGTAGGCTAAGCATCTATTCTCTTGAAGGCCATCAATTTCCATTTCCAACAAACCACGCCATACAGTTAGCATGCGAGTTGAACCGATTTGGACCAGGTGGAGACTACCATGACTAAATTCTGAACGGGGAGGTCAATCAACTCACCTTGCTGATTCTACAGTATCTTTACCTGGAAAGCAGAGAGGTATGTATTTTTTTTCCTTTCTCTATTTCTTCGACTCTGCCCTCATCCTTTTTCATAGCGCAAAGTTTTCGAGTCAGGATATGCAATGGATTTTCTACATTGTATATGCATATGACTTCTCGTCTTTTACCATTTACGACCCTAATTGCAGTCATCCCCGGCCAGAAACAAACTGCGTTACTGCAATAGCCAGCAGAAGGAAGATATCTGAGATCTAGGATGCTTTGCTATGAGATGGCCTATGAGTTCAATGAATATGAAAGAAAGGGAGGTCTTGTAGTGGCCATGTGCTAGCTCTATTAAATCATTTCATTCACACATGATCCTTCTTTCATTCTTTCCCTCAACCATCTTCCTAAATCATGCGAAGATGACATCAGTAGCTTCCTCGCTCCATAAATATCCACTCGAAAAGAACCTATTAGTTGTATCTTCCCTGAAGGATCTGACTACTCGCCAATAGTTGTGAAAACTGAATGGTAGGAAGCACACAGCTATATCGCGACTGGGATGTATGTTAGTGCGTGGCGTAGCAACGACTGAGATAGTCCTAGTTATATAATGGTCCAGTCTTACTGGTAAGTGAGTCAAAGAGAATGTAGAAGCTTGGGGAAACGGCACTTTTGGAAACATTTCCTTGATGTGAAAAGAACTAAGCCTACTAAACCATTCCGTACTGAACATGTCTCGGCTGTCTCAGCGATAGATCATTTTTCGGAGCTAGCTACCCGCGCAGTGTCAACGCAGTCGATCATGTCACAGAGAAATCCTCTGTTCTATTAAAAGATTTCTCAAGCCAACTCCATTGTCGAGTTGAATATAAATCGACTCCGGAAGAAGTGGAGTACATCCGCGCAGAGGGCTACAAACCCGCGTAGCTGGACGATCTGGACATCTTTTCTCTTAACACTTGATTGAATTATGTCTTAGTTCACGAGCACTAGCAGGCCCTGTTATTCTCTTTTTCCTGCCTTCGAGGTTCAATGCTATCATCGAGTTGAGCATCAATCGACTCTGGATAGTCGCAGCGGAGGGTTGAAAGCATCCGAGACCCAGGATGCTGTGACTTCCAAACAGCGATTCATTTGGATGCCTCTCCATGCAAGAAAAAAAAGGTTGAATACGTTCTGCCCCTTCCCGATGACCATGTTTGGCCTATGGGGAGGGGTGGTGATATGGAACTCATAGTTGAAGACACCGTGATATCTGGAATGGAGACGGTATTTAGGACATCAAACCCCATCACTACCCCCTCCCCCCCCTCTTGCCAGCCAGGAAACGCTTTCAAATGTAGTACATACTGCAAATGACCACAGGGATGATGATGAAAGCTGAGTCCAACAAAGACAGAGACAGTAATGATGGACATTAAATTCTGCAGGCACCTTGTATAATCCTGGATTCCATGACATGCATACTTAGCGAGGACAAAGAGAACACATTATTTGGAAATATGCGTTCTGACATTATTCAGTGCTTCTTAAACTTTTGCTTGAGGCTGGAGATTGGGTACAGATAGTAGACTTTATGCTGGTCTTTATGACGAGAGTACACTGAAAATATGTTGTACGACAAATCCCTTGTAGTATATCCTGCAATATATCATCAACTATATGAATATATCTTTTAATCTTATTTTCCAGAATGTCCTCTACCTCTAGAATTGACTTTGGATCCGGCTGAGCATCCGCACCTATCTACACAACCCCGGAGAGGTGATCGCTTAACTTTACCAACTAAGCAAAGGGAAACTAAATCCTATGCACATATCGCGCTTCGGAGATTTATTTATTTAATAACACAAGTCAAGATCATTAATTGCAAGTATTGTGCCTTTTCGGTACGCTCATCCGACTCGGTGATGCTTCCGATTCGGATTCTTTTCCATTCCCCGCAGTATCGTACTTCGCTATCTACCCCAGGTTTGTATATATATAAGAGCGTGTTATCTGCAAGATGGATTTGAGCAACGATTCGAATTCCGCAGTCGCATCTTATTCGAATCCTACGCACTTCAAAATCCTCACAACCAGATCCGATCCAACAATAAAAATACAGACACATCCAACCACAATGGGCTCAATCTCTACAAACAAATCCCACGTCCCCAAAGCCGGCGTCTGGTGTCCAGCAGTTACCTTCTTTGACCCATCAACTGATGAGATAGACCTCGCCTCACAATCCAAATACTTCACCTACCTGTCAACCACCGGGCTAGCAGGTCTGGTCATCCTCGGGACAAACTCCGAAGCCTTCCTGTTGACCCGGGAAGAGCGATCTCAAGTTATCTCGACAGCACGGCAATCTGTTGGTCCTGACTTCCCGCTTATGGCCGGTGTGGGCGCGCACTCGACGAAGCAGGTCCTAGAGCTTGTGCGGGATGCGAAGGAGGCAGGGGCGGATTATGCGCTTGTCCTGCCACCAGCGTATTTCGGAAAGGCGACTGATATGAGTGTCGTGAAGAGGTTTTTTGCGGATGTTGCACGGGACTCTCCGTTGCCGGTAGTTGTGTATAACTTCCCGGGGGTGTGCAACGGGGTTGATCTTGATTCCGAGACGATCACTGCTATTGTACGGGAATCGAAGGAGAGCAGGGCCGATGGGGTTTCGAACGTCGTTGGTGTTAAGTTGACCTGTGCTTCTGTGGGGAAGATTACCCGTCTTGCTGCTACGTTCCCTAAGGAGGAGTTTGCTGTGTATGGTGGCCAGTCTGATTTCCTCATTGGAGGGTTGAGCGTGGGTTCTGCGGGCTGTATCGCGGCATTCGCAAATGCATTCCCCAGGACCGCGTCTAAAGTATATGACCTTTACACGACTGGGAAAATTGATCAAGCGATTGAACTCCAAAGAAAAGCAGCCCTGGCGGAAAGCCCGGTCAAGAGCGGTATTTCGTCGACAAAGTATGCGGCTGCGGTTTTCACGGCGCCGTTGGCAGGAATTGAAGGAGCGGAAAAGAAATTGAAGCCGCGGACGCCGTACGGGGAGGCTGGTGAAGGAGTGAAGAGGTCGGTTAGAGAGGGGATGGGGGGTTTGCTGGAGGTCGAGCAAAGCCTATAAGTTCAAGCAGTTTATAGGGTTATGGGAGGTTAGTCTAGACTGCATGTCACGATAGCTGTCAGCGATTACTAAATCATTTGGGAAAGCACAAATTCAGAACAAAGTAACCTTTCAGACAATGCCATTACGGTGTATAGAACTCAACGTCAAAGAACCGACGACCCTCAGTCCAGAGGACGGGGTATTCACCTGGTTACTCGACCAGTGCTGGAAAGCACTTTTCTCATCCCAGGCAATACACAAATCGCCAAGAGCTTCGATACCTTGATACGGAGCCTTTTAGATTGACCTGTATTCGTATATCACCGCACAGGTCAGGCAGCTTCCCTGCCATGCATGAACACGGGTCAACGACCAAAACGACGCATTTCAACGAGCAAGCCAAGAGAAAACCTCATCATACGGCATTACCTCTAAGCATAATATCCAATGGAGGGTTATGTTCACACTAGCCAACAGCAAGCAGCGAGAAGCTCTGGTGTCGGGAAGACTCCGAGCTTCTTTGATATGGTATTTCCCCGAGACTAACCCGACAACGATCCGGGGCTGGGGTAACGGCTGCTGTGACGGGTCGTAATCTGATCCTGAGAGCTCTGTGTAGTCAATATGGATCATACTATGAATAACCCTACACAGTACACCGCCAGGACCTCGGGGTTCTACGGGATCGGACGGCTGAGATGACGGGTCAACGGGAACACCAACGTGAGTTCTATAGCAAAAAACCGTTCTTTATGAAATATCGGCATGGGCTGCACGTCGGTCACCTGCAGCGTATGAACGGAGTCTGGTGTGCATGAATCTAGTCCACTTCCCGTCACCGTGAACCGATGTATAGGGAGCCGAGGTCGTAAGCAAGCATCGGAAAGAGATATACAAGGCTCGGACCGGTGGGTATAGAATAAAGAGTCCTTCTCATCCGGTCCGTATCAACCCGAAGATGTGAGATATAATGCCGCACTGGAGTGGGACAAGCTGTGACTGTGACGTCCTTTACATGTTGGACATGATAATCTCCACTAATGAGGCCTCGGCAATCTGGCTTAATGGAGTATAATGAGTATACTAAGAGCTGGGCGCGTGTGTGGGAAGGACAATTTCCGATTATGTTAGCGGTGTATTGGCGTACTTGCCGTAAGCCAGGAGACAACAATAAATGGTAAACCAAACACTATCAAGTCTTGCTAAGCAGTCAGCTCAGTGAAATCCTAGCGCTAAATTCATAGAAAACCAACGTACCTTTGAGTGCGGGAGTGGATTGGACGGCAGAAAGTGTGGAGGATGAAGTTGGATGGTGGCCTGAGGCTGTCTGTCCTGCTCTCCGCGAAGTTTCCCTTTCGGGAATAGTATTTTCCCCACGCGCTTCTCCATATCCCCATTGTACTGTCTTTTGCACTGCTTCAAATTCATACAAATTGCTTTTGAAGCGACGAATTCCTACAGCATAAGAGTCATAGCACAGCACATGTCTACCACTAGGCCATGATGCGAGTTGAAAGTAGCTATTGTTGACACCCCGCATTTGTACTGGAAGCATTTCTTCAGTACCCCAGCCTTCGCAAGACCCTTGTCCGTACAGAAGGCACTCTTTCGACAAATTTGCCTTTATTGAAGTTAGTGCTCCCCACAAGTTTGACCACATGGAGCCTAATATCCTAGACGTATCCATGTATTTGCAGAGGGCAGAGACAACATGCAGTTTCTAGCGAAATAGCTGTGGGGTCCCGGCGAAACCCCGGGGGTTTAGTTCATTTTACTTCACGAGGAAGATATTGCTTTTTCGGCATTTCGAGAGCCAGAAATAATCCATGCAAACTTGGATCGAATGATCTCGCATTCGAGGTGGGGAAGATTGATGTCTGTTTTTGCCCGGGAATGAGATTCCGCGTACATTTCATGAAAGGGAAGGCTCGTACGGCCGGTAAGCAGATACATCTGGGGTATGGAGAAAACCCGGAGAATTCGGAGAATTGGCACGGCATCCATCCTCGATTCGTCGCATCGGGCCGACTGACGCTTGGGCCTGTCCCCGGCTATCTGCCTGAATTGTGGAGGTGGGACAATTGCTGCTGATCTCAATAGGGTTCGAGTTATGGGGAAACTCTGTACAGGACGCAGAATGATTCAGCCAAGAAGCTTCTGCGTTGATGCTTTTCCTTCCACCGTCGAGTAATACCGTATGTAGCCCATAAGTCGCAGTCGGATACTTTGACGCTAAGCTGCTGCTATGGGGCAGTACGCTTTGCCGTGCCATTGTCGGTTGTGGTGTTGGCATGGCATTGGCGAAGACTGGTTGTCAAAATGCCGCACATGGAGAGGTAGTCACATAAATACCTCTCGTTCTGAACCCGGAACCGATGAGTTGAACCCAGACTGTTCTCATTCTTCAAAGTACAATGCATCTTGGACTCTTTGCTTTACCTCTCCTGGCGGCCACTGCCCAGGCAGCCGCAAACTACTCTGGGCCCCTTCGGCCGCAGGTTCAATTCTCGCCGCCTGAAGGATTCATGAATGATCCGAATGGATTGTTTTATGATGCAAAGCGGAGCACCTACCACTATTATTATCAATGCAAGTAAAATCTGAACCTTTCAATACCGACCACAACTGACTCAAGCAGACAACCCCGACGAGCCAGTAGCCGGAAACCAGCATTGGGGACATGCAACTAGCCCGGACTTGTACCACTGGACCAACCACCCACCGGCCCTCGAGCCCGACAATGCAGACACGTTTATCTTCTCGGGGTCGGCTATTATCGATAGCGAGAACACATCTGGCTTTTTCCCAGACCAAGACGACGGTATAGTCGCTATTTACACTGCCCACTCTTCCGCCAAGGAGACGCAACATATCGCTTATTCCACTGATGGCGGATACACCTTCACCAAATACGCCAACAACCCCGTCATCGACAGCCATACCACCCAATTCCGGGATCCCAAGGTCTTTTGGCATGCCGGATCCCAGAAATGGGCCATGGTCGTTGCTTGGGCTGAAGACCTGAAGATTGGTGTCTTTACGTCGCCTGACCTTAAGGATTGGACAGCGACGTCCAACTTTACCCAGCAGGGACTTCCCGGTGACCAGTTTGAATGTCCAAACCTCATCAAATTCAACGTCGACGAGGAGACCACAAAATACGTGCTGTTTATCTCCGTCAATCCTGGCGCCCCGTTGGGTGGCTCTGGTACCTACTACGTCGTCGGAGATTTCAACGGAACTCACTTCAATTCTGAAACCGAGGACTACACTCTCATTGACTTTGCCAAGGACAATTACGCTGCTCAGTGGTTCGATGGTCTCCCTGAAGGTAGCAACCCTGTTTCCATTGGCTGGGCTAGTAACTGGGACTACACTGAGGAGGTACCCAGTGCTCGTGAGGGTTGGAGAAGCGCTGCCACCTTGCCTCGGGAACACACCCTAATCAAGGTCGACGATGCTTGGAAGGTGACCCAGACTCCATTCGAAGGTCTTTCGTCCGTCAAAGGTGACCAGCTCGAAGACAAGACCTTCAGAGAGGGTGACATCTCCGTCGACTTCTCCAGCGTCGAGTCCAACACTGTTTACTTTGATGTGGCCATCAGCAACCTCCCACCTACCGATGCAACTGGTGAACTCACCTTCAATTTCACCTCTTCCACCTCCGGCGAATACCTTGACGGCGCCGTCGAACTGAACACGGGATCTTTCTGGATCAACAGAGCCGGCACGCATCTCTTCACAAAGGCAGACAACGGCAACTTCACCGGCCGATTCGATACTGAAATCTCCGTGTCTGAATCCGGCCAATTCATTTTCTCGGGTGTTATTGACCGTTCTGTGTTTGAGGCCTTCCTTGAGGATGGCAAGCAGAGCGGAACGATGAGTTTCTTCCCTAAGGAACCATTAGACACGGTGACTTTTGCGGCTACGGGGCTTGGTGAGGATGTCACGGTTGATGTTGGGGTTTGGGGGTTGAAGAGTGGATGGAGTTTGTGAAGTATGAGTAAGGAATATGGTTATGATTTATGCATGTGTTAGGTGATTATATAGCAATTTATACCATTCTGTACTTGTCTGACATGGTCTTGATCTACTGATTCCGTTCTTTCAATCCATAGCAGCCGTCAATAACACAAGACCACTGACCGATAAAAGGCGTGCAACGTCCGTTGTGTCATCTCCTTCAAGACCGCCGTTATTTCTATACTCATCGATGGTCTTAGATACCAGTGTCCCGCGACCAGTGGCTTCAGGGATATTCGATATCGCAGCGTGAACATTGAGCAGAACCGGACTCGGCAGTAGATATCGATCATGGTACGAAGTAAGCGTTATAGTTCTGTCCTCTAGTAAGAACCATTCATGAGCAGGATTAAAACCAGCCGTTATCATTATGTTGTACTGATGACGAGCCAAGCCCGTTGGTTCAAGGGTAAACATGAATAACTCGAATTCGTTACACAGGAGACTCTCAAACATAAACACGTACCGAGTACTGTTGATGTATGTATGGCTCAAATGCAAGTCCGACTGCAGGCGTAAAAAGTAGCGGTATATGGTCTTTCAAATAGCACATGTCTGCTGCCGATCCGCATCATTTGAGACATCCAAGGGTACCCTGTAAGATACGAACTATTTCTAGAATAGCAGTTAGTTTGCCTTGGGGTTTATGATCCTAGCTTTTGTCGTGAGTCCCTGTAGCAACACGCTTATTGTCTTATCTTCCGAGACACCGCTCGCGAAGCAATATCTTTGAGTCTGGCTCATCTAAGCCGTTGTGAAAAGGCACGGCCCTGTGGCCGGCAGCTGCCAACGGACGGAGGAAACCATAATCAATATGCTCAACTAACTCGTGTAGCTGCTCATATGAAACGCATTACCGCACGTCTTTAATGGTATTTATTCTACCATCATAAGGGAAATACATAGATGTCTTCTGCAGGAACTTGGTAGTATCATCGTGCTCTCCGGTTGGTTTGTAGGTGGCTTGACTTGATTGGAAATTTCCTTGCAACTGGACGTGCTTTGCAATATCTGTGAAGACCCTACCGAGGATTGAAACACTACCTATTCGATTTGCGATAGCTTTGTTGGTTGAGAACCATGAGAAGTCCTAAAATAGACTCGTCAATATAGTAGGAAGATACGCGATAAGACAATAGGACTAGGCAAGGTCACGTGCTTTTAATTTATCTTATCGCACATTCCTGGTTGTGCATGTTTGTACTCCCTATGTCACCAACAGTTTCCACTCCAGGATTTTAGTCTACTAGTGTCCAATTATTGGGAACCATACCCCGTAGGACCAGTCCGTAAAGAGAAAATAGCACGAGTTCTATTCTTGAGGGTGATGTCACCATGGAATGGAACTGTTCCTTAATATGATTGGTCAATAGCACCCACTCGCGCGGAAACATGCTGAATACAGCACTGTACACAATACCATATGCAAACTATGCAAACCCCGAGCATTCCCCCGTCACAACGGTAATACCAAAACGAGCGGTGTCGGGAACGCCCTGAGCCGCGATCATACGACTGAGAATCACGGGTAAGCGACTCGCTCAGTCAGCACTCGAACTGAACTGGACTCTCTTTGGCAACACGTTGAGATGTTAGACGACCGTTTGATACGCTGTCAGGCACGCCACAGATAACTAACAGCAAAGCGTCAGAGAACGCGATACGAAAAAACGACAGTCAGTGCTCCCGCAGTTCCGGCGTTAGTGGACCAGAAGTGCGTTGTGATAAGATCTGATTGACCCCCGTCGTCCCACGGAGCCTCTTTCTGCAATTGGTGAGTCTCACTGCAATCCTCGACTCAAAAGTCGGGATTGCCACGGGCATGCCAATCCAGAAAGACACAGGAATATCGTTCTAACAACCTGCAGCTCTCTGTGCTCTACGGGAAACTCTTGCAGATTCGCCATCCCCCATCGCTACCGATTGATAACCCAATCAGCCCTGAATCCGACTCCACAGTCCTTATCCTAGACTCTTATTAGCGCCTCTCCATTGCTACTGATCAACATCCACGCTTGCGAAAACGAGACTTTAAGCCCGCAGCTCGCCCCGTTCGGGTTTGTCCACGCCACTGCCAGGTACTGCTACTTCACAGTGACATTTCCCAACAGTTCGGACGTGAGTCAACTCACCTATGTCGAGTCTCTACTTCAACCTAGAACAAGCTCATTGACGATTGCAAGACATTATTCCCAATTGCTATCAATAGTAGTCAGATACCGCGCTGTGCCTCCATGGTTCAGTTGCGGCCTCCCTCTAGAAACTAACAATGTCTTTCGCCGGCATGGAGAACGACTTCCAGCTCTTCTCCCCCGATCAATCCGCCGATAGAAAAAACTCGCATACCGACGCCATCCCCCCCTCTACCGATGAATCGCAGGACTGGACGCAGTGGATGAGATGGGACGACCAGGTTTTTCCGGATCCTAAAGACGCTCCTTTCGACGCTTCATTAACATCACCGAACACTTCGCTCGGTGCCAACTTCTCCCAGCATGAGTTCTCCCCCGACATCGCACACGGACTGCCAAGTCTTCCCTTTGACGCCTCGGGCCGAAATCGGAGTGGCATACCCCCAAGTGACGGCATTCAGCAACGTTCCCAACCTTCTATTTCCGGTTCTCCCGAATCCTTAGGCATGACTCGGAAACGAAAGACGAGCAGTGACGATGATGGATCGACGGTCAGCGGAGTCCCTCAGAATGGTGGAAAGAAGATGCCGACTAAGAAGCGGGCCCACAATGTCATTGAGAAGAGATACCGTGCGAACCTAAACGACAAGATTGCCGAATTGCGAGACAGCGTGCCAAGTCTACGAGCTACCTCCAAGAGTACCAATGGAACGCTGCTTGACGATGAAGATGCGGATGGCGTCACACCAGCCAGCAAGTTGAACAAGGCGTCCATCTTGTCGAAAGCAACAGACTACATCAAGCATCTGGAAATTCGCAACAGACGGCTCGAGGACGAAAACACTGCGTTGAAGAATCGACTACGCCAGGTGGATAAAGCTGCTGAACAAACCGTCACATCCGCCGCTTCGGTTTCGTCCCCAAGTAACTATACAGAGTCAGGGGCGAGCTCCTCTCCGAGCGTGTTCTCACATACTGAGGATGCACCCAGCGATCATTCTCCGACTTCCTTGTATCCACCAGAGGGTTTGCTCCAGGTGCCCGACTCTTTTAAGAAGATGCAGGCTTCGTCAAAAGACAACGCCTGGTCCCAATCATACATCCAATATCCTTCTGGTGGAAATGGAACGGCGCAAGCAAGTGGCAGCAGCAGTAAGCGGTCGAACTTCCCTAACAAGTACATGCTGGGTGCTCTTGCTGGATTGATGGTTCTCGAAGGCATGGGCACCGAGGAGGAATCCAACGAAAAAGGACTGCTGGCGGTTCCTGTCCACCTTCTAAGATACTTACCTCAGATTAACTCGCCATCGCTAGCATACTGGAATGCTATGGCTCGGAGCTACTGGGCTTCGTGGCATGCTAGGGCCATCATCCACTTTGGCATCCTGGCCTCTCTCGTCGTTGGAAGCGCATTCGTGGTTTTTGTTTACCTTTTCAACGCGGAACCTAAGCACTCCGACACTTCGTCGAAAGTACCAGCCTCATCCGGATCGTCCTTGTCCCCGTACAACTTCAGACGACAAGCCTGGTTAACAAGTATCCAGCAAGTTGGTGTCCCGCGCCATCGGTTCTTCCGAGAGTGGTATGTCGTAACATCGCGGTGTACGGAATACGTTCTGAGATGCCTCATGGGATGGAAGCTCTACTCTTGGATCACTGGAGTTACCGAGGAAGATGAGAAAGGCCGTGTGAAAACATGGGACATTGCAATCGATGCTCAGCTAGCAGGTGGTGATGCGGAGATCAGCAAGAGTCGACTTGTTTTGACCATCTTTGCTGCTGGTACTCTTCCTCGTAGCCCCATGAGAATGATGCTGAAAGCGCTTCATTGTCGCATCCTGCTCTGGAGAGTCGGGGACCCTGGCTCTTGGACCTTCCACATCTCGAACGATGTGGCTCGTGCACTTGCAAGGTACCAGTGGGACCTGGCTCGACAGATGCATCGCTCGCTGCCAGAGGATCACCCAGATGCCCTTCCGAGTCATTTGGCTGCGCTCCTTTCAATTGACAGCGAAGACGTCATGATTGACAGCATTGTCCAACGGGCAGCGAATCTCACGTGGAACCGCCCAACGCAGGAGGCAAGTGACGATCATGAAGCGCTTCTAGATATCGTGGAAGAGGATCCTGCCATCCAGTCATCGCTGGACGCCCTTGCTGCTTGGTGGTCTTGCCACCTTTTGCAGCGCGCCCTTTTGAGGTATTTCGAAGCTAGCTCTGGCGGCCCCGACTCGAAGCAGAGCCGCGACCTTTTCAAATCCAAGATATCCCTCGCTCTTAACGTGGCCCCTCAACCTTCAGCCGCTCACACGCGTGCCCTCGTCATGAAGGCCGTCTTCTTTGAACAAGATCGTGTCAAGAATATTGGCGCTGTTCTTGCTGCGTTGCCCAGTGACAACGGAAAGAACAAGAAGAGCCACGGTTTCAATTTCTTGGACTCGTCACTCCCTGTCTCTGTTCGTGAGGAAATCTGCATCGCAGTCCGTTGTGCCATGATTGCTGCCATCGTTTCCGCCAGAACGGCCGGTGACATGTCTCTCCCTGCTTCCTTCACGATGCAGAAAGCGATTAACTGGTTCAACCAACTACCTCTTGATCCGGTTGAATTGACTCTCTTGGGATTTGCCTCCGTGTACCATTTGCTCCATGTGCTCGTGTCCGATACGGATTATCTTTCATCCTCAGATTCCTCAACAACATCGTCGCCTATACCAAACGCATCTGCTGCCTCATCTGCCGATGATGAAGCGGACGAAGAGATGTCACAGCCAGTGCGCGATCGCGAACGTGTTGCCCCTTCAACATCCTTCCCGAACCTCGGCCGTGTCGCTGCAGAGTTAATGTACTGGGCCCGCAACGCATACAACCCCTCTTTCTACGGCTTCACGTCCGAACTCGTTGATGTCGTTGAGAAGGAATGCACGTCCTTGTGCCAAAGTGCCGGTGTCGACATCGCAGATTACTCTCGACTCCGTGAGCACAAGCTCAAGACCAAGCGGCGCAAGAACAAGAAGAGAAGAAAATCGTGTAAGCAGTCGACTGAAGAAGTTGTCGCAAGTGAGAAGGAGGAGACCCGTACTGTCCCTGCTCAGGTTGAAGGATCTAAACCCTCGTCCAGCGACGCTGCTAAGGGCCACAATCAGAAAGGACTTGGAAACGCTTGCTCCGAACGTGTCCCTATCCTCTCGACGTCGTGATCTCTGCTATTTATCTTCACGGATGTGTATGAAATGATAATTTTGCTGTCTTATGGGCTTATGGATTGCTTTTTAAGGAGTGTTTCCTCGCTGAAAAGGTAGAGGTTTGTCTATATACAAGGCGCTGATGGATTGTGATGGGTTTCTGGAATCTCTCCTCTCGTTTATGGTATAAACCAATGATGGAGGATATTTCTACATAATTTCGGGTGCGTTCGGTGCAAGATATGGTGTTTGCTCTTTTTAACGTTTTCTAGTAATGCTACCTTGTGTCTTTGGATATTGGTGTTGCATTTGTCCACGGCGATAGATATTGGGCCTCGGGGTTCTACATTACTTATGCAGGTACAATTTTGGAATGTTCGAACATATTTTATAATGACCTTTTGCTTTTTGGGCCCCGTACTTTTCACTCTATACCTTGTTTCGTTGCTGTTTTACAAGTTTTGGCGACACCTTCCGCTTTTACCGTCGTTGCATATCAGTGTTTGGGGCATGAATCCTCTAGGATGCGAGTATATTATCCGCTTGCGGCCAGACGGCAATATGTTTCTGCCCCAAATCTATATCCGCGGCTCGGAAAACACGGGCCAGGGCCATACGGAGCGAATTGGCTATGAATCCTCGGACTCACCGATGTGTTCAACCCGACGATTTGGTTACCACACATTGTCCAGGCCATTTTCTGCGGCAGATTCTGGCTCTGCACGGGAGAGCAAACCCAAATGGCTTCAAAGTTTCTCGGGTTACCACAGTTACAATCCGACCTCGGGCCGCCGGATCCAGCACCAAGGTTGGTCTCTGGAATTTTCGATATCCATGATATTGGCATGCTGATCTTTTCCCAACCAACATAGTGCAGATGTACACCAAATTCAGCGACGTAGTATGCAAGCTTCTATGTCCTTGCTTTGGCAATGACTGGCTGGATATCACAACCCGGTCAGTTCAGAATGACAAATTAGCAAGCAAAGGTTGACGTACGACTATGTACGTCTCTTTCCTCTTGCAGTATCACGTTCTATTAAGAATGGGGCTTGAACTCACGCATCCCTGCGTTTTGCCTAGTTTCCGCTTCCGGAAGCGCGGTTTCGTCGCAGTCAACATTGCCTTATGCGGCCCTTTCTGCAAGCCTGAATTGGTCTGTGCTGCCTTATTTGTCTCGCTCTTTTCGTATACTCTTTATTTTAATCGATTACTCATGAGCGCTTTAAATTTATGACCTCGTGACTAGTATGCATTCCTCAACAATGAAAGACAGGTTTGCCCGTCCCCCACATTCCTGGGGTTGCATCCCGCCAATGGATGCTTTCTGCACTTCCTCCTCTTTCCATGTATGGAAGAAAGCTCGTGTGTGACAGCTCCATTCGTCATCCGGCCCGGTGATGGAAACGGAGTGATTGGATAGTCACCCGAACTTGTTGATATAGAAATTGCATGGCATCCATGACACCACTCTCTTATAGGGTCTTACCCCAACACAGCAGACTTCTTGGTTAGTAATGGCAGTTCCTGTTCCTCGTTTCTTGCGAATCGCTCAAACGTCAAAGTTGGTCCTGCTTGCTGACCTAGAGCGGTTGTGTTCGCAGCTGCTGGCCTGCTTTGGATTCGCCCCTAACCTTTACCTTCTTCAGCGTACGAGTGCTTTTGGTCAAAACTATATGAAATGGGGGTAGAACTGGTAGGATCAGGGAAGGGGGAACCCCCGATGAACCCGGCATTGGCGACACCTCTTTACGTTTTGGCTGGTGCGGTGGGTGTTTCTTTCGTTTGCCGCATGGGTGTCCTCATACGACATCGTCGACGTCTGCGTGGGATACTTCGAAACGGAGATCAGTCAAAATACACCAAGATTAGCGGATTTCATGCCAAATTCAAGAGACATGTTCTGTACGCGCCGTTATTTTCGACTCACCATAACCGCGAACTCCAGCTCATGGGCCGACTGCACATGGGCACGGTACCATTACGACTAGAGGTCGGCGTGTTGCTTGGATATATCACGTTGAATATCATATTCTTCTTCTGCCTGATCGACTGGCCCGTCGACTTTCAAGAGAAGATGTTCCAATTTAAGTACGCTGCTGGACATTTGGCCGTGATGAACTCGCCCGCTTTGGTATTAACGGCAGGTCGGAATAACCCTTTTATTCCGCTGTTGGGCATATCGTTTGACGCGTTTAATCTCCTTCATCGTTGGATTGGGCGGATTATGGCTGTGGAGGCAGCGGTTCATATGGCTTGTGTGGTTGCCGGAAAGGCTCGTTTGAGTGAGTAGTTATGCCAATTCCGCGAGAGTCACAGACTAAAAAGTGTAGTGAGCATGGGTGAAATGACACATATGATGTGGAATGAACCTTTCTATATATACGGATTGGTGGTGAGCGATCGTCTGTCAATCGATATGGGATATATCTTTAACTTTCAACTGATAGGCATTGATCGGATTCGTGTTAATATTCTTCCAAGCCATGTCGGCGCTGCGTCATGCATGGTATGAGACGTTTCTTCATCTGCATATACTTTTGGCTATCATGTCCTTCGTGGCATTGTGGTATCATCTTAAGAATCTTCTTCAGCAGCGGGTTCTTCTCGGAACTGTGATTCTTTGGGGTCTTGAGGTACGCTGCCTTTCTCTACAATCACAACTACAGTGCTAACCTCAGCAGCGGGCCGCACGAGGAGCATGCCTCCTCTGGCGAAACTGTGGAAAGCAATTCACAACAGCCACTATCGAAATCCTCCCTGCCGACGTAGCCCGCGTCGACGTCGCAATGGCCCGAACATGGAACTTCAAGGCCGGTCAGTACCTTTACCTATACATTCCGACACTAGGACTATGGACGTCACATCCATTCTCCGTCGCATGGACATCAATGGACTGCACCGATGTAAACGAGAAACGCAGCTCAGGGGATTCACTCAATACGCTCATTGGCGCACCACAAAGGCATAAAATGTCGTTCTTGATTAAGGGGAGGGATGGGTTCACGAAGAAATTACTCAAGAAGGCGAGAAGGACTACTGATGGGTCTTTGAAAGTTACTGCTCTTGCGGAAGGGCCGTTTGGTAGGATTACCTCTTTTCTTAGTTGGGATGGATATGCTGATGCGCTTAGGTGGACTTCATTCTCTCTCCTCTTATGGAACAGTTCTTCTTATTGCAGGGGGAATCGGAATCACACATCCGATATCGTATCTACACGAGTTCGTCAGTGCTCTCTTTACACCCAAACACACAGCAGTCCGACAAGTGAGCTTGATCTGGGTTGTCCGAAGCATCGGTACGCCTTGATATAGCCCCCTCTCCATTGAACTCTACTAAAACAAGCAGACCACCTAACCTGGATCCAATCATGGATGCTCACCCTAATGTCCCACCCCACCCTCCGCTCCAACACCACCACTATAACCCTCTCAATTCACATCTACATAACTGCCCCCCAATCTACAACCGACGAATACGTGACCCTCTCAAATCCCTGGGCCCACCACGCGCCTCCCAACATTCCGGTAACGATTAATTGGGGAAAACCGGATTTTTTGTTTATCCTGGAAAACGCAAAGGCGTATCAGGTCGGTGCCATGGCTGTTAGTGTTTGTGGGCCTGGGGCGATGGGGGATGATGTTAGGAGGGCTGTTCGGGAGAGGCAGGGGGGGACGGTTGTTGATTTGTATGAAGAGTCATTTTCTTGGTAGTTTTCTGTTCTGGATTTCTGTGTTTGACTGCTTCGTGAGTTTTTGTTTAATACCACCTGATTGTGTTACGCTCTTGTTGTCCGCTTTCTTTTCTGGATATCCTGTTGATATTATATTATGTTATATACTGTGGATTGTTAGCAATAACACTCTCTTGGCTTAACTATTTGATTTGGACTCTGAAGATTCTAGGTACAAATAGCTTGTTTACCCTTCGGGGATGTATAAAAAACAGGCCAACTTCCGCTTCCGGTAGGCTTCCAACAAATATTACCAACATTTGCCACCAAGAAGCGCACTATTCAATATACAGTCCAAGGTAATAGAGCTAGAAGAGTATTATAGAATCCGGGGTGCAGGACCCTGGTATAGGAAGATCCCTAATAGTATCACCCGTGAAGCGCCGAGAGCGGAGTGAGAGCGGAGCCCTATTTACTAGGATGATCCGTTCCACGAAGGCCAGTAAGTAGATAGATCACCAATGGGGAAATTGGATAGGTATAAAATAACTTGCTAGTAAGTTTTTCTTAGGCTCAGTTGAAATCTACTCTTGCATTGTATTTTCGGGTCTGTCGTTAACAGGATGTAGTCATATCTTCAATACTGCCGAATAAAAAAAAGCAGCGGATTTCCCGTGTGCACAATTTGACCGATCATCTTTAATCCAAAACATACCCACGCATGTGACGTCTTCATAATATGACTCAAACCAACCAAAAGTCGGCTGGCAGGGCACAGATGAGCCGCTGAATCCGCACAACTTCAGCTTCGCGTAATGCATGAGAGCATCGGTGGTGGTGTCCGGGTTCGAATTTATGGTTGGAGCTGCATCGGTGGTTGATGCGGTTTTTTTACCCCAAAATAGTGCTGAGTTACATGTCAGTGAGCTCGTGGGGTCTCTGCCTACAGATTCGTTGTTTCCACTCTAATTAAGTTCATAAAAATCACATCTCTTTTACCATATCATTATCATATCTACCCATCAGGGACAACATGACAAGTCCGGTAGCATGAGGGGCGTTGAATTAACTGTTTCTGCTCACAACTTTTACAGTAGCCAATTATGACATACGAGCTCTCTTTGTAGCCCAATGTATCGCCATTCTTCTGATGCCACTTCAGACCCGAAACTCTGGATACACTCGCTTCTGATAGGATTCCGTTTCGACCACCAACGTCTGACATAAATAACGCCGCAAAACTAAACTACGCGTCGTCTGCCCCAGACTAATCAAACTAAGCTTTGGCCACGTTCAGCGGGGGCGGGTCCATAAGGTGTACCCCGTAGAGTAACCTCGGGTTATCCGAGAAGTACCTTGGCCCTTCGGGTTAGCCGGATTATACCGTATGCAGGTACATAAGTAGCTAGTAGCAGGGATTGCCCGTTTCAAACTCCGTGCAGAGTTTATATGTTCACTATATAGACAACATGCGGTTCGACCCATTTCTCCTACTACTAGCAGCAGTGGCCTCGGCCATCCCCTCCGCATCCACCTCACGACCGACACCCTCCGTCACTCTCGACTACACAACTGTCATTCCAACAGCTGGAAACGCATCGCTAGGCTACTACAAATACCAAAATATCCGCTTCGCCGCCGTCCCAACCGGCGACCTCCGCTTCGCAAAACCAGAATGGCCACCTATTGAACAAACGGTTAACGACGGCACCCTGGCCGACGCAGACGTCGACTGCGCGTCTACCGAGGACTGTTTATACCTTGACATCTGGGCACCTGCTAATGTCCACGGGAAGAAGTTGCCAGTCATGGTATGGTCATACGGCGGAGGTTTCACCAGCGGAAGCAAATCGGATAACACGCCCGAGGGCCTATTCGCTCTGAACAAAGAATTTATCTTCGTCGCTTACAACTACCGCCTCGGAATCACCGGAAATGCCAACGGTCCCAGTCTTCTCCATGAAGGAGGAACATCCAACGTCGCCCTCTACGACGCACAGCATGCCTTCCAGTGGGTGAGAAAATACATCGATGCGTTCGGCGGTGATCCCAACCGGATTACAGCAGTAGGCTTCTCAGCCGGTGCATCGCAGACGATTTTCCAAATGACTCGGTTTGCAGGACGCGTGGAGCAATTATATAACCAGGCTTATATCATGTCCCCGGGATATGTGCCTGGTGCTGGACATCATCAGGCGGAGATGTTCTGGCGGAATGTTTCGACGGCTGTGGGGTGTAATGGAGGACATTTGGATTGCATGCGGGGTGTGGGGCTTGAGGAGTTGAGTAGTGCTGCGAGTGATGTGGTTGGGAAATATGATTACCAGCTGCAGCCGAGGGTTGATGGGGATTTTGTTGGTGATACTTGTACGTTCATGCCCTTGCCCCTGACCTGATAGGCTTGGTGTTGACAATGACAGACGAAGCACAGCTCTACCAGAATCGGTTCAACTTCACCGGTCCCCTCGTGATTACCCACGAGAAACATGAAAACAACAGCCAAGCCTGGCCCGGTGTGAACACTACGTCCGACATCTCCAAAGAACTTCGGCTATTTTTCCCGTCTATAACCAACGACGTCGTCGACAGATTGTTAGAACTATACCCGGAAACCGACTACTCGAGTCCAGGCCTGCGGTTCGCGGATATGAAACAGTCGTTTGACATGACGGCGCATGATTATGCGCTGACGAGGGCGTTGAAAAACCAGACGTGGAACGGTATGGTTGACTTAGGGAAGGCGACACATGGGACTGATCAGAGTTATTACTGTATGTCTTTCTTCATTGTTAGGTATGTTCATGCTAATGGCAAACAGGGTACAGCACGTACAGCCTCTCAGGTAACGGGACCACCAGCGGCTTTGGTAGTAGCTCGCCTGTTGATACGAATGTCGCAGTATGTGACCATCTAAATTTATCACATCAGCAAATGCTAACGACATACAGAGGAAAATGCAGAAATACCTGCTCTCGTTCGTGCACACCGGCAACCCCAACACCATGTGGCCGAATGACAAGATCTACTGGCCAAAGTACGGCAGTAACGCGACCCAAATCATGTTCAATTCAACCATCCATCTTGAAAAGGATGACTTGGCGAATGCGAAGAGCGAGTATTGGAATGAGGCGTTGTGGTATTAGTTGCCGACCGCCATGCATTGTCACTGCTCCACTGTAAATACGAACTGTACACTATATTGAAACTGAAAGACCTTTTATTTTGATATTATTACGGTAATAAATAGCCTCAGCACTCACAACTTACTCGCAGGCCCCTTTGGCAACATGTGCAAGTTCACCGGCGTCATTGCCTTCCCCTTAAGCAAATACCCTTCAATATTCTCCATGGCCAACCTTTCAAAGCCAACGTGTGTATCAATCGTTCCACCAGCATTATGCGACATCATCATAACCTTGGGGTGGCTCGCCAGGCGCGGGTGCACATTCGGTTCGTTATCATGCACATCCAACCCCGCTCCAGAGAGATGTCCGCTATCCAGCGCTTGCAGAAGCGCCTCTTCATCAACTAGCGATCCGCGCGCGATGTTGATGAACCTTGAGCCCTTCTTGAATTTCTGCAGCTTCTCCGTTGTGATGAGTTTCTGGCCCGCGAACGGCGTCGCAACAACAACACAGTCCGAGTTCGCAAGCAAATCATCCAGCTCCTTGAAAAATGTCGCCTGGACGGTCTTCTCCTGTTCGGGACTCTTGCGGAACAGATCATTGTACTGAATTTTCATGCCAAATGCAGCGTATGCCTTCTGCGCAATCATAAATCCGATCTGGCCCATTCCGATGATACCAAGCGAGCGGCCGCGGGGGTTGTAGGCAGTTAGTGGGGAGTTCTGGTGTGCATCGAGGAAGCGCGAGGGGTTGACTGAGTGAGCTGCTTGGTGCGACCAGGCAAAGTTGCGGAATGTAGCGAGGATGAGGAAGAGGGTCATGTCGGCGACGGATTCGGAGGATGCTGCTGCGCCGTTGCAGTACACGATTCCTGTTATTGTTAGCTAACTGTCTTTTCTCGATCGTATAGGGAAAGAAGACATACCATGCTTAGCAAAAATATCCACATCCGCCCAGTCATAGCCAGCGCCTGCGGACGCCATGACCTTAACCGACTTCGGGAGCAGTGGAATCAACTCCGCATCCCATCTCCCCATCTCACCACCTGTATTCCAGAACGGACGAAAGACGGCATCGAAGTCACCCCAGCGACGCTCTTTCAAAGCACGGATGAATTCATCGCGCTGGCGCTCGGCGGCGGTAGGTTGGATGAGTTCGAATTCTGACGCGAAGCGCTGGTAGACGTCGTGGTTGTACTTGATGTTGTCGCCAATATGGAGGACGCGGAGTTTGGCCATCTTTAATTTCTGTTTAGACTTAGTTTAGGCTTGAACAATTCAGTTATTTTGTGTCGCTGGCGCGGAATGGCTAGATATACCAGGTGTATGCGCGGTCAATTGCCGTCAAAGGCCGATTGCCGATGCAAATCCGACCACCGGGCAAGGAGTTCCTCAAGGACATAGCCGGTTGAAATGCGGAGTAACATGCATTTTCGGTGCACTCAGAAGGGATGTGAAACGATGCGAGTGTGTTTGGCCAGTGTTATTATGGGAGTGAAGTGTGGAGGAATGCGGGGATCCAGATCCCGAGATGGCCTCAGACTTGCCCGATTCGGAGATTGTCAACATGCCTCGTTGCTAGACTGGTTTTGGACATTAATCGGTGTGGCTTGAACATTGTACTGTTTACATTCGGGCAATATTACTCGATTATGTCTGATGTTTGTATTGTGGAATATCATTAGCCAGATGTATATATTACAGCTGTCCGGTTGAATGATATAGAAGTTCGAAATGAGCAATGGGTTTAGCTATACGTAAACTAAAAAATGAGGGGAAGTAACCGAGCACACAGTGATGAGCTCTTGAGCAACGTGTTCATGCGTTGGCTTCCACATAACTTGGCTATGTTTCTGAACTTCCTTGTTTTCCCGAATATTGACGAACCCAAGGCCAGTATCTACCGGTTCTACATCACTTGATAACCCTCCAGAGCGATCATGTCCAATCAATCCTGCGGACCCCGGACGGACAACGGTGGACTCATAATTACCGGACACTGAAAGGAACCGCGGCCATACAGGTCCCAGTTTCTGAGGACAGTTTGGCTCATCCTTGTCCTCGTGCAAGCTCTCATTGACAATTTTCAGAGCCCTATTCTCGTTGCTGAGCGATGGAATCTTCTTCGAAGACACTGACACCATGCTTTCCACCACGAACCTGTCAAACATGAACTGGTTTCCAAAGCCCTGCAGAAAATCAGACTGCTTAAAAAGTCTCCGTTCGCTTCCATAGCACCTTCCAATTCCCCGCGTATAAAATCAGAATACTCGGATTCTAGAAGACAGCTGCTGTGATTGGTGAGGAATTCCTTTGCTATGACCAGGATCCGTTGAACATCAAAAGCGTCGGCAAACGTCTTCATGTGTCGCAAGGGATGAGACTTGAGGCCGGGCATGCCATATCCAACCTCCATACAGTAGGCAAGGACGCTCCGCCTGTACTCTATTCGCCGTTTTGCAATGCCTCTTGAAGATGGATCATGAAGTGTTTGACCATCACTGGTACAGAGATAATGGACCATGGTATGGGCTATCTCCTATAAAGGCTATCAGGATTAGTTATTCTGCCGGCCAAAATATCTTGCAGCTAGCTAGGATTCGAGCTTCGACTGATGGACACGCTGCCTGGACAGACACTAGCCTTGTATAGATGTGATAAGCTTATGGTAATATCTGCACTCACTCTGATGTAATGTCTACCATTAGAGAAAACCAGGCAACTAGAGAATGCGTCGACAGAATTATTCAAAGAATGGAATTATATGCCATCAATAGTCGAAACAAATACATCCCAAATAACTCCCCGGCGTACTACCAACAACGCCTTCTTTCACTCCCCAACACCAACACAATCTACAAACACCAAATTCTTCCAGTCCCTAAATCCGTACAGCCCATAATGACTTCTCCATTAACCAAACTCCCATTCTAGAACCGCCAAGCCGCCAGACGGATAAGATTATCGATTCCCGGCGCTAATGCAACCCAGCGGGTCTTAACGTCATCGATCACTGACATAAAAAATCAAACACCCCCATTCCTCATTTTCAATTCAACAACTTCACAACAGAAATTGCGATATGCATATCCTGTATCTTCTATCAGTTGCCCTGGGTCTCTGCGGGCAGCTTTTGGCTGCGCCCATTAACGTCACTCCTACCAATGGATGTGACATCTCGAATGAGACCATCCACCAGCTCCGTGCGCAGCTTATTCCGCTTGAATTTCAGCCATTCGAGAACGATGAGAAATATAGCGATGCTTCAGACAATACCCTCTCGATTTCCAAAGTCGAATGCAATTTACGGTCTGAAACCGAGTCATTCGGCTCATCCGTCTTCTGTCTGAGAGCTGACTCTGCGATTGGCGATATCTTGCAACCTTCCTACGAAACCGAGGTTACGCCTTTCGTCTCGCGGATCAGAAATAAGACGGTGACATGTGACATCGTCGAATCCGATCCCAACATGGACTCCGAGGATATCAAGCTGCGCTGTTCGTCCGTTGACAGTCCACCGAGTTTAACGGACCGTCCCTGGGTACCGAAGCTCTTGATCTTCGCGGTTTTCTGGGTGACTGGCTGTACGATTCGGAAGGTTTGGGTGGACAGACGTGCTAGCAGAGCTTTACAGCAGGAGCAAACTGCGCCGTTTCTTGCGCTGGGTACGTCGGAGAAGGGTCCTGTGACATCTGTTGAGGATGTGGATGACCTTGATGATAGTAACTATCCGATGGGTTAGGCGACTATGTGAGTGGCTGATGAGCCAGTTACTACTTGGTTTTGGAGAAGAGAATTGGTGTCGGGGTATTTATATAATGGTGTACCGTGGAAAGAGTTATAAAAGTACAATTGTGACCAGTTAATTTATAACACTAATAATGCAACAATTAAACCACCTAAGGCAAAGCCTCATATCCAAACTCCGTCCCCAATGTCTCATCCCTCTTCCCACCAAAATACTTCGTCCTCTCCCTAACAAACGCCGCATACAAACTACACGACGTAGACACAGCGATAAAACTCATCAAAACAGGCCAATGAAACTGATCTGGTCGTGAGAAGAAGATCGTCGTGGCGTAGGAAAGTAATTCGAATGTGTTATACCATGATGCTTCTGTCGAGGAGAACGAGCCTCTGTTTTCTGGTTCGACTCCCTACACACTGTTAGTTATGGACAGTAACAGGAAGGAAAGAAACGAACCTCCTGCACGATAATCTGCGCGCTAAGACTAAACCCCCACATCCCGACACGGCTGACTATTGTACCAGCCACAAGCGCAGTCGCTGCCAGAATCTCCGGCTTAACCACAAAGAATGCACTAGCAGCCCCGGCCAATGCCACCGTCTGCCAACTCAATAACCACATACCCGCCCTCAAAGGCCCAATCCTCGACATGAGGAGTGGTCCAACCCATGTCGCTGATATCTCAACTGCAACAGACGCACTTCTTGCAATTGCAACATCATATGAGTTATACCCCACGGAGAGGAGGTATGCGACCATGCGGCCTGAGAAGGAGAGGACGGTGAAGTTTAATAGGGCGATGGCGAATGAGGGTAGGAAGACGCTGTGTTGGAAGTAATGTGTTGATTCGCGGAATCTTTCAAGGAGGAAGGATTTGGTTGACCAGCGGGTGACTTGGTGGCCGGTTGTTATTGATGTTTGTTCGTTTGTGGGGGTTGGGGGTTGTTTTGGGGCTTGGAGAGACGGGACCATTTGGTAGACCTGCGGTGTGTTAGTATTTCTAGATAAAGGGACTGGAAGGCGCACTCTTTCGATAGCATAGTATTCTACAAATATGGACAAGATATTCATCACAAAGTTGACCACAATTGCAATCTCTGTCGAGAACCCATCAATAATCGCTATGACGAATGGACCCACGAGCTTGCAGATCAGGTCTATGCGACGCATTTCCGCATTGAGGACTGCCCTGCGTCAATACTTGTATGATAGATATAAGCAGCTGTAGCATACCTTCCAAAGCCTCCGCCCCATCCATAGCAACCACAACAACCTATCACAGTCAGTATAAGCATGCCATAGGACAAATGCACACTAACCCAATCCCTCTCAACGGATATAGTATTCATAATATCACAAAGTTTCTCAACACAGGCAAATAGAGAAAGCAACCCTAGCAGCCATAGCTTAAGATCCGGCACCGTCCTCTCCGTAGCCAGTAACCAGAACACCACACAAGAAGCCGCAACAGCCAACCTTTGAAAAACTGCTGTCATCAGACATTATCCTCTCAGCATAGTGAGAAAACATACCAATAGAAACTCTTACAACACGCAACCGATCCCTCGTATCAATATACCACCCCACAGCCTGCGAGAACACAACCGCCGAAGCTCCACGCGCCAACGCATAAACAGACATTGGCAGAAGTGTATTCGGGAAGATACACGCCAGGTACAGCACGGACCCGAACTCGAAGACGCGCGAGTTCCATGTTGACAGGAAATGCGATATGTAGAGACGGCGTGCTATGAAGGGGTTTGCGGGTTGGTTTGTGGCAGTCATGATGTCGCAATTGATACCAGGGTACTTTCATGCAAGAATACAACAAACTGAGCGAAGGAATATACATGAGCTACCCCATTGGACAGGGACAGAGGTGGCCGATGCTGCTCAGCACAGGTCAAGCTTCGGGACGGCAACGCCGAGGTGAACTGACATTGGACCTGTTAGGGCTTAGCGTGTCGGCAAAGCACAGCTCGGCAAGCATAAACGATCTGTATATCGTAGTCTTGACTAATTGGCCAGAATATACGCAATTCTGGGATGTCAATCGGGGAGAAAATTCGAAATAAACAGAAACGTTGGGAATGTTTCTTGGCAGGCACGTTTCCGTTTGTGGAATGTACTACGAGATGTTCCAATTAAACAGAGCATACTTGTTATCCCCTATCAATGACGATTTGAAGATAATAGCATATAGCAATCTGTTGAGTATGTGTTCAGGGAACTGTCAAACTCAACGCTGCAGATTGCTGTGCACAAAACCCAGACCAGTTAGTCCAGCATTACTTGACCGCCAACGAGCGGTGACAGGCTGCCACATACTGCCGGCCATATTCTGTTGGGACTATAGATGCAGTGTACACGAATTCGCCGCAGATGGGAGATCTGGCCCGACACCCCGCAGCGTTGTTGCATTGCTCCCTGTTACTATCAGTGGAAAAGTGTACCTAGCTACGCTGTTTGGGAAGCGGGATCCTAGTTCATTGGGTTACCAAGACACCGGAAAGATGCTTAGTGACGTGTGGGTGTGATATCGAGAAAAGGACATGGGTTGAGGTTGATGCGAGAGGTGGTGTGCCGGATGGATTGGGAGAGGATAATGAGCGGTTGAGGGATGTGTGGATTTTGAAGATTAGTTTGAGAGGTTACACGATGGTGGAAGAGTTACCAAGGAAGCCAAAAAAATGATCAGATTAGCTGTCTCCTAAGAAGAGATACCACATATTACCGATCATGGGTATATCACTTTCAGCATCTCATTCCAAACCAGCGACATCCAAAAAATCACACCCTAAATACCAATCAAGACCCAAAAACATTTGTCAAACCACGTGGAATCCCCCACCCATGCACCTTACACGCCCGTCTATACGCTTGCACTGCTTCCCCAGCGTTATAATCAAGATTGCAACCACTCAAAAGCCTCGCCGGCGCAGGATCCTGACTCATAAGCGCCAGTCGCACCTGCAGCAACACACTCTCAATCGTAGCAGTCGGCAACCAACCCGTATTTGTAAGAAGCTCCATACACATCGCGCCACCGGCAGTTACATGTCCACCACCTCCACTTTGGAATGGCAATAAACGGGGCCGAACCACGCGGATGAAGGGCGGGCTTAGCGGGAATTGGGGCGGGAAGCGGAGTTCGAGGACAATGCTTTTTAGGTCCGCATTTTTGAGGTCCTGCGCGAGCGGGAGATCTGGGTCGAAGGAGTGCAGCTCAACAATCCATTGGTAGACCGTGCTGATTAGTCTGGGGTCGACGTACCAGCCTAGAGCACCGGGGTATTCTTTGTCTTGGATTTCGAGGGTTTTTTTGAGGTGTTGTTGGAGGATTTTGGTGGCGGTGGTTGTTGCATACGCGGGGTGGCTGAGCATGGGGAGTGTTCTTTCGTCTAGGGTCCCAGGGACAAAGTCTGTCGGGGGGATAACCTCAACAGGCTCTTCGTGCTCGACGTCAGATAAAAGGATCTCCAAATCCTCGCACAACGTGGCAACACTAGCGATATCGTCGTCCTTGGTCGCTGTAAAGCCATTTAAGGGAGTATCAGGCTTCGGTTCCAGTTCAGACTCGGGCTCAGGCTCGGGCCCGGGGTCATTATTCTTCGTCCGGCGCCGCTTCGTCTTCTTTGTAGTGGATTTAGGCGCCTCTCGTTTCGTAGATGGCTTCTTCGCAGGTGGCCTGAGTGCAGGCTTCGTCTCGACATGTCGAAAACCTGGTGGTTGCGTCACCTTGGGCATTTGAAGCAATTGCTGTCCCCGTCCCCCGATCCTCGAAGCTGGCAAAGATAGAGTTTGCCCAGAGGGGCCGACGGCCGGGAGTGCCGGGTCCTGCTCGTAGACAACGGATGGCCCAGGCGCTTTGGATCTGGGCGGAGCATCCTGGCACTGGACGAAGAGATATCGCGGCTGAATCCAGTCCAACTGGTTGACGACGTAGAATCTTCGCGAATACACAAACTGCTTTGGCGCGTTGACGACTTCGTTCAGCGAGAGAACCATTGAGATCTTCAATTTACTCTGTGACCAGTTATTGTAGGCGCCGTAGACATTCGAGCAGTAACTTGTGGAGGTAGTAAATTCTCGAGCCATATAGACCCCATGGCCTTCAGACCGGCCGTGCGCGACATATTTAAAGTTGAGGCCTTCGCGCAAAATACTGTGCCAGTTACACAGGTCGCTGCCATGCCAGGTGAATATGGACGGATGTTTTGAATCATTTGTATACTTTTTGACGGCGTTTTCAAATTTGTGCTCTTTATCTGGAGCTCCCTGGACGAGTCGGAATTGGACATATCCATCCATGTCGGGGATGAGATGCTCGGGATTGTCATCGCCATCAAGCATAATAAATGAGCGGTTTGATGCGACAATCCATCTCAACACGTCCAACGCTGCCGGCGAGATGAGGTCTTTCCACAAGGCAAGAGATCCCCCATCAGGAGTCATGCTGAGATACTGAGTCATGGCGTCAACGCTGGGTAGGGTATTGAGAAGTAATGGTATCACTCCCCGCTTCTCATTGTCGTCCAAGTTATCGAAGTTGGCGTCATAGATCACAAATTCCACAGTTTGCACATTATCCTTATTCCCTTTCCTCGAATTGTCTATCTTTGGCTCCGAAACTAGATCGCCGTAGTTTATCGGAGACGAGAGTTGGATAAGTAGGTCGTCAATGGTCTGCACCCGACTATGCCACTGGCCCTGGCCAGTAGGCTGTTTGTTCACTTGGTAGTTGTAAGGGTAGATGTTGTTGGCGTTTGCATTAGCATTGTTTCCGTTGGTATCCTTATCCCTTTCGAAATTCGTAATTGCAATCCAGTCACCGACTTTAAGAGGAGGAACTTTGTCAGCACGTTCAAGATGAAGTACCAGGTTAGACGAGTCCAGCTCCGCAGTATACAACGCTGAGGTGGGCCTGGGCTTCGCAACTGGCTGTTGGCGGGGCTGATTATAATAGCGATTATAATTGGGTTGTTCTATCCATCCGATCCCACCAGGGACCTTCATGCCAAGACCAGTAGGGAAATCTTCGAGGCGACCGGCTTTTGCCCGGGAGTAGGCTAGACTGATGAGCAGATCGACGACATAGGGCTGCGAGAGGATCTCGTATTCCAGACTAGGGCCCATTCCCAGCGCCATATACTGATACAAGCATAGACTGTTTGAACATACGTATGGTTTCAAAGCCTCAAAATCCGTGGAGACCCTGCAATGACAGACAAGGCAGAACTCGGTACACCTGACAAAATGGCGAAGGGTAAACTGCATAGCAAGCAGCGGTAGTGAGAGTCGGGGCTGGTCACGGTTGCTATCAGCAACATGATCAGCTAGTAGTAAGTCCGGTGTTGCGCTGCTCCAATTGTCCGGCTCGAAATACTCGTTTAACAATTCGCCCTGGACATTGGAAGGCTTACCTTGGAACCGGTGGGCGTACAACTCTGCTCCTGTCCACGAAAGGCCAAGTTTCAATCGATAACTGGTAATGACCAGAAGCCGTTCGTTGAGCAAAGAGTTGATTGCTTTGTCAATAAACAAAGGTCTTATGCTGGGGCCCGAAGCACCGCATGAAGCACCAGACCCTGCAGCACCATCACCCTGCCGCTGTTCCGCAGCTTTACCTTGAAATACCCGGATGGCATCTTCATGACTGGGCTTGTATGAAGCGCAAAGGCCAACATACATCTTTAGCAAAGGCGTTCGATTCCCCGCGTTGCGAAGAAGTTCATCCAGATTCTGGTACACTGACGGATAACGAAGGAGTAACACCAAGTACTCCGACGGCTTGACATCCCAAGCCTGCATAGTGTCCTCTGAGATTCCTAGTTTGGAGACGCGGCAGGATACTGCAACAATTACAGAACCGGTCGCAATACCCAGGTATCCCAATCTGAAGCCTGCATCTTTGGCAACACGAAGATCACGACAGAGCATCGACCGTGCCTCTGGTCCAGATTCCATCGGCACTAGAGCATGGCCTTCGCTAGTTGCTTCCCAATCTTCATCCTCATAGTCGTATTCAACCTCATCATCACTGCCCACCTTCTCCAAACTGTCTAATAAAGAATCCTCCCCGTATATGGTGCTCTCGACAACTTGACTAATGGTAGTGAGCAGTTTCGTGATCGAAGCTCCCTCGAGCAGAGGCTGGACACTCTCTACAGCGGTTGTAATACCCTTCGGAATGTCATCGGAGGTTGTGAAGACGAAGTAAATATGCGATCGGGGGTAGTCGCTAGAATCTACGGAAACGTCAGCTATATCCTGGCCCAGTATGCTGCTATCACTTACCTGATATGACGGCCTGAAACTCGATATTGATATTCTCTGTACAATGGGAAAACCTGAATGTGATCGACTCATCGTTGTCTCCCGCCTTGATATTACTCAGATAGGGAAACTGTGCGGTGGCTGCTTGGCTCAGATCACGCTGAAAGTCCTTGCGAGACATATCGGCTCGACTTTGGATGCTACCACAGCGTTGCTAGGTGGTATCGATGAAGATGGCTTGAGGACTTTTTCAGTAGGTGACAGAATTTTCACGCCCGACTTGAAGTCGTGTAGGCGAAATGTTGAGGTCATGAGGAGTTCAGGCAACGAAGCTTTATCCGCAAATTCAAGAAGCCCCCTACTGTCCAAGCATCATTCATTAGCAAACAAAGCCCTTTTCAGGATTATAGAGATACCCTGTTGTCCTTGTCCAAGGTGTCACACAACATTGAGCTGAGGAAAATTGGAAGTTTGTGGATGCAGCATTATATACCAGGTGTACAGGCTGCACACCCCGTAATGTTTATAGTAGATGTCTCTCCATTGTATTGAATTCAAGTTTCTCACTTCTGGAATCGGTTGAGCCCCTCATTCTTGTGCATCCTTTTGCTGATGCAGGAGTCATCGGGCAATGCAAATCAAGCCGTACCCGTGAATGTCCCAATTGGGTAAATAGAGCTCATATATAGGGCTAGACGTCCCCGATCGGGCGCGTCCGTAAACAACGACCTCCAACAAAGCCAGGCACGATGGTTGACACCCATTCCATACAACCACCAACGCCGGTAAAGTACAGGCCTTTGAACTATGACGAAGATGGCGTTACAATCAACGGCATTCATCGAAAACCCCTGTGTGATTTGCAGTTGCTGTTTCGTGCAAATCCTTCGCGCATTTGTGTCAAGCCGGCCACCAAGCCGTAGATTACGGATCAGTTACATCACTACGAGATTCTGCTTGGAGAGTCCGATGCAGCTCCCCAATTGAGGAGCATCCTTGAAGCGGCTGTCAAAGCTGGAGAGGTAATTTTCATATCTCTCGAGGAATAATTAGCGCGGCAGCATAAACAACAGATAGATGCTCGCAATGAAGTCCTGTTGAAGAGCCAAAAGAAGTTTTTCTCCCGTCAGCCTTCTCCCACGGAAGAGACGGTCTGTGGCCCGGAACTGTTTCTCACCAAGTACTTCCTAACAGGCCTTCATGGTCAACCGGATAGATAAAAGCAAAAGAAAGCCTTGGTCCAAGGAAAAATGTGCAGACTCGAAAGGTAGCGCGCGAGGTTCCAGGCCTCGTGGTACACGAACTAGGTTACAATCTCCCGACAGTCGTAGGCTGGAGGGCTAACTTGCCTAGTACAATCGACGACGCTTTTGCGAGAATTTCAATCTTTGAACAAGAACTTTATTTCCCGACATTAGAAGCGAATTTAAATCTCGACCATTTCATAGCAAAATACCCCTTGGATGGGCTAAAGAGCAAGCCTGATCCAAAGAGGACTTCGGAGGCACTCACACTCTATCCTTTTCCAAGAATATGGTACATTTTAATCTCACGCTTGAGTCCATTCCGGGACTTTATGCTCGCGGCATTAATGGATGGACATTTGTTGGAAAAGATATGAGCAATGTCGCCCTGGAAGTACGCAAGATCAAGTATGAAAAGGCGTAGAAGAAGGCCGAAAAGGCTGCTTTTAGACGCAAGGGACTGGAGAAGAGGTGAAAGGAAACCGTTAGGCCTCACCTTGAATACATAAAAACGCACACCGCCCCCTCTGGACCCCTCAAGCTGGTGCACCTTGAAGGGTCGTATCTCGTGAAGTCAGGATTTCGAAGAGTAAAATCCACATGATGAGACATGAAGCTTAACATACAACCCCAATGGAGTCCACATGGAGCCGTAGCCGCATTAATGTGGCAGTCCATAAAGGAATGATATTACTGGCTTTGCCTAGCGATCCACTCGAGCTTCTATGGTAAGATATAGAATACGACTTGGGTGGTCTGCCTTCGAGGGTCAATTGAAGGACGACGAGTATCCATGCGGTGAAACGTAAAGCAACGAAATCGCCTAATGGATATCTTTGAAACGTCGCTTGGCGGAAACCCCAAACCCAACCGTGTGTATCTGTTATGGGGCAGAAGAGAGAAATGCGAAAGAGAATTCCTGCTGGATGCTGATTCTCGAACAACAGCCACGTTGGTCATATGGATTTCGACATTTCAATGGCAACTGCCCAGGGCGAACTATTCTGTCCGGCAATTTTTTGGCAGTGACCAAGTAAGTATACTTCTCAATTTACAAATGTGCAACACTGCAATCTAGTATCCAGACAACTGGAACAAGTTATGGCAAGCGATGATTGAATAAACAATATATTGAACTTGGCTCTGATCGTCCTACATCTCATAGACAATACCAATCAGCAATTAGAAAGAATCGCTCATTAACCCACTCTCCACAAAAAACTAACCGGCAATACATCGGAGCTCCGGTCGAAGGCTGTCAGCACCCTGCATAAGCGTGACGTATATCGGCTAATCAATGGCGGTATTGGAGGCATTCAAGCGGGTCAAAATCCGGGAAATTCTCTACTGTCATCGTCGTACGGAATTAAACCGGAGTTAATCCAGGACAGAGTATGTTGTAATGCACATGTTCGCGTATATAAAAAGAAGCATGCCCTCTACTCAAGCATTCATATTCAATGATCAATCAATTAAATTACTACAAAATGTCCCAATCACTCAGCCGCTACCGCCAACTCGCCCCGACGGCCTCCGTCCGGGTCTCCCCACTATGCCTCGGAACCATGACCTTCGGCACAGCCAACAGCGAGCGCTATGGCGAATGCAGCAAAGAATCCGCCTTCGATATCCTAGACTACTTCTACAGCCAAGGTGGCAACTTCATCGACACCGCCAACACCTACCGAGAGGAGCAGTCGGAGATCTGGCTGGGCGAATGGATCGCGTCGAGGAAGAACCGTGATGAAATGGTTATTGCGACGAAGTATACGACGGGGTATCAAAATCATCATAAGGGGAAGATACAGGCGAACTATGGTGGGAATGGGATGAAGTCGATGCGTGTTTCTGTTGAGGATTCATTGCGCAAGTTGCAGACAGACTATATTGATTTGTTTTATGTACATTGGTGGGATTATACGGTTTCGATTCCTGAGGTTATGCATGGTCTGAATGATCTTGTGACTTCGGGTAAGGTGCTGTATTTGGGTATCTCGGATGCTCCGGCGTGGGTGGTTTCGAAAGCCAACCAGTACGCCCGCGACCATGGTTTGCGACAGTTTGTTGTGTACCAGGGAATGTGGAACGCTGCTATGCGTGACTTCGAACGAGATATCATCCCGATGTGTCGTGATGAGGGAATGGGTCTCTGCCCGTACGGTGTTCTGAACCAGGGACGCTTCCAGACCGAGCAAGGATTCAAGGAGCGCGAGGTGAAGAACGATGGACGAAACTTCATACCACTTTCTGAGCATGATCGAAATGTTTCCCGCGTTTTGGAGGATGTGTCTAAGGCCAAAGGTGTGGAACTCCTTCAAGTTGCCTTGGCGTACGTTTTCCAGAAAACGCCATACGTCTTTCCCATCGTCGGTGCTCGGAAGGTCGACCACATCCGTGGTGTTGCGCCTGCAGCTGGAATATCCTTGTCGGAGGAAGAGGAGCAGAAGATCGAGTCTGCTTATGAATTTGATCCTGGCTTCCCGCACACTTTCCTCAGTGGTACATTGTTCAGTAACGAACCTCCTAAGGGTGCGTATGGACCGGGTGACGTGTGGTTGACCAAGGCTCTGGGATCTTTTGACTGGGTTGAGTCTTCGAATTCGATTACCTCGCAGAAATAAACATAAAACGTGAGAATTTTAAATAGCTATTGATGAAGGTGAAAGTCCTAGTTGAGCAATATATCACCTATCACGAATGGAAACCCATAATCCAGCAATAGCAATAATGTTGTCCACCCATCGTCAACCTGTATAGCTTTCCTTGCTTGAGCATGACTCAATTCTTCCGTTAATCGACACAATCTATCTCACTACTCAGGGATTCGAGATCACTCCACGATTCCTCAGAATCACTTGGTGTTTGAGAGCCAGTCGATGAAGCTTCATAGTCAGGCGCTAATTCTTGATACAGCCCAGGCTCAGTCCACACTATCTTATTTTGTACCAGTCGATTTGCAGAGCATTTGTCTTCATGGACAGTCTCACTACCATCCACATTCTCCACTCGCTCAATCTTCGCAAACCTCATACTGTCGTTGAGCTCCGAGATTTCAGATGAATGTAGTTCTATCACGCTCTTTAGCACAAACTTATTGAGCTCCGGAACCTGTCCCAAGCATTCAAAGAATTCATCCCTCTTAAAAAAATTCCTGTCAATTTTGAATGCAAACATCAGCTTTTCCCTCAGATACGCAAGGTACCCACCCGAGAGATCCATCCGTCCCTTGAAAATAGGAAGAACCTCCCTAGCAATAGCAAGATTTTGGTAAATATCAACACAGCCTTCATGAAGCCGTATCTGTTGTTTTGCGAGCCATTCCAGCTCCTCCAGCCCGTACGCGGATGCCACGCAGTGGACATGCACACTCCGCTTGTACTCTAACTCACGTCTTGCAGTTCCCTGGGATGGTAGAGATGGGTCGGGGAGTGTTTGATACCGGCCGGTGTAGAGCCAGTGGATTATGGTATGGCCGATGTCTTCCTCGGCAATGTCCATGTGGACATCCGAGACATCTTCGTAAATCTCAAAGTATTCAGAGAAAACTTCGAAACGTTTGAGGACTTGTCGAGGTACTGGGTAGACATTTCGCTTCTCCTTAAAGTTGACACTTATGAGCTCTGTCAAATAGGGACTGTGAACGTTAGCTGTTCTTTCTTAGTTATTACCGTTTGTTGTTGGAAGGTTATTGGATATGGCGACTCACGAGATTCCTGGTTGGTCGTTAGCCATATCTTTTGTTTCTTGACAGTTGCCCATTACTTTCTGTGAGAATCAAGTCTGATTATCGTGGAGGTTGGATGTTAAAAGGAAATTGACTGACGCCTAGCAAAATACCGTGACGGATGGCTCGCATGATATAAACATGACGCCATGCTCACGAAGAGCTCGAGATATTACCTCTATTGATTGACACAGATGTTTGAATCGTAACACAGACTACAGTCCGTTATTTCATTGCTTCAGAGGCGGACTGGTTGCATAAGAAATGGATACAATGGCTTGTAATAAGATAGCTAGACCGAGATATGTGAAATTGTAATCGACTATCTGTGATTAGGTTAGACCTGAGACATATAATCCAGTTATAGCAATATGTATCTCTTCTAGGTTGCTTTAGCCACACCAATAATCGACACGTTCCATCCCGCCAGCTGGGCATAGTTCGATCCAGGGCTCTTCAGAATCACTTGATCCCCGGCAGTCAGGTGTTGTTCCTTCGGATCCCTTAGGATCAGACCACAATTCTTTATTTATTAATTGTCCGAAGAATTCAACCTCATTCTGTGGAGTTCCAGTCCTGGGAAAGCATAATTGAGTGTTGCACAATAAGTGTGAAACGTGAACATATACTAATGCTATGTCCCTAAGACTTGTGTGACAGTTGTCTGTTATCTTCGAGCACGAGTGTCTTGTGCTACTAGATGATATAAATGTGACAACTCCAACTTATATGTTGCCATTTTTGACATGGTATCCAATAAAGCAGTCAAACATTAAACACGCACTTGATAAAGGCGAAGATGAGGATGGATGCCGTCCGCGAAATAAGTATTTCAGGTCGTTGCCACTTAATAATGAGTATAGGTGGTTTCTGGCTTCATTACTTCACGGAAATAAACTGATCGTTTTTTATTGAAATGGCTATTGCGACTAAGCCTGTCGTCCTGTGCCAGCATCTTGAATCGTTACTTCAAATGAGACGTAGATGTCCATAACATATTTGGGCAAAGGTAAGCCACGTCCATGTTGGCAGATGCTTGACACGATCTTATTCTCTTTGCATGTAAAAAGGCTAACCGAGCCGCTGTTGATAAAGAACAGCTTATATCACTATATCTTGTGACACTCTGATACAATCCAACCAGACTACAACGCCCTTCGACCAGGTCCAATACCCGTCATAATAAGATTCAAATCCTTCTCGGTGCCCTTCCATGTTTCTTCAACAACCTCCCGATGCCCCGGACTACGAACCTGAAAATCAGCCTTAAAAGGAACCGGCTTCGAAATAGCAGCGTCTGCCATCCCGTACGAGTCAACATCAATCTTTTTCCCATTCTCATGCGCATATCCGATGTCATACGCCCAAAGGACACGAGTGGTGATAAGTTGCATGGAATTCATGGCGATATGTCTCCCCGTACAGACGCGTCGTCCGAATCCGAATCCGTTGAGAGGTAATTTGGGATTCTCAATCCAGCGCTCTGGTCTGAAGCTGGTGGGGTCTTCGAATACTTCTTCATCTAAAGCCAGAGCCCAGTGATTCGGGAGAATGGTGGCACCTTTGGGGATATCGTATCCCATGTATTCATCGTCTTGGGTGACAGAATGAGGAATACCAAGTGGTGCAAGGGGACGCCATCGCATTACTTCCTTTAAGAACGCGTTGGCATATGGGAGATTCGGGATGTCATCGAATGTGGGCAGCCGTTCAGTTCCAACGACATCATCAATTTCATGCTGGACCTTGCGCATCGCATCTGGATGCAGAACACAAGCAAGCACGAAGTAGCCCAACGTTCCAGCAGTAGTATCACTTCCTGCCTCATACAACACGCCAATGATGTACGCCAACTCTGTTTCGGATAACCTCTTCGCCTCTTTGATTCTCTTCATATCCTTACTCCAGTTCCAAGATTGAGCACTTTCAGCCTTTTTCATATTATCTCCAAACAGAGTGGCTTCCCTCTGATGATATTCATCTCCGAGACTTTTCCACGAAGCCAAGAATCGCGGAAGATAATTCAACACCGGAAATATATCTACCATCCACTTCCCAGGAGCCTGTTTCTCCGACAAATTTGTCATGAGCTCATCGATTTCACGAACTTCGTGCTCGTCACCCCAAGGCATCCGCTTTCCATATGCCAACGAAAAGATCAAACTGGATGTCATTCGATGGAAGTTATCGCTAAAGTTGTTTGATGATAAAAGGTCATAGACAACTTGACGAGTCTCAACATCTTGCAAGGCACGATATCTCTTCGATATAGCTGGATTCAAGAATTCGGCTTGAATCCGGTGCTGCGTTCGCCATTGTCGATTGTATGGTATGAAGACGATCCCCAGGCCCTTTGTGATACATTCGCCGGCGATGATGGACCGCGGACGGGAGCTATAGATGGCGCTGCGCTTGTCCAACAGGTCATGCGCGATTTTGTGACTCCCCAACGATATGAACGTTTGAGTTCCTAGCTTGAAGCTGATGATGGGTCCGTAGGCTTTGTGCCATTTTTCAAAGCCCAGCCATGGCCTTGACGAAGGAACTTGGTGGAGGTTGCCTATCAAGGGCAGTGGTTGGGGTCCGGGTGGTGAATAGCGACGTTTTCGTGTGAACAAAAGGTATATAATTGACAGGATACTTAGCACAGCGAGACCTAACATTGTTAACAGATAGAATAGTGCGACTAGTTGCGAAAAACTTGTTGAAGGAAAATTGCATGCTCCAGGCGACAAGCCCATTTAAAAAACCGCACTGCGAACAGAAAGCAGTAGCCGCATACTCATATCGAGCGAGGGAATATCACCTCCACCTCTTGAAGTGGAGGATGACGAGGGCCTGCACTATGCCGTTGTCAAAAGTACCGGCACCACCTCGTCCAGTCTGGCGAAGACGTGTATGGTGAGCACCACGATGAACCACTCTATCGAACCACATCGTGTGACGATCAAGCTTGGCCCCCAATCCCGTTGCTTCTATATATCATGAATGAGGAGGTTATGCAGATACCGCAATATAAAAGTAGTGGGTCCATTCCATAGTGTGTGATAAAGCTGCAGTAGTGGCCTGTCATGGAGTGTGACGAGCAACCTGATTGACTCATTTTCCTTCAGTGTATTTGTCTCATATTAACAAACAAACTAGCGCATCCGAGGTACATATCAACGGCCATGCATATATATAAACCAGGTAATCCGATACCCATGCTAATCGTCCAGGAAAGGCAGAGCATCCCACCCCTCTTCAGGGTTCTCCTCCATACGACACCGCTCGCACTGACACGTGAAAGAAAACTGCACCTGAAGATGCTTTCGACGCATGTTGACATCGACGTCACCAAACAGGTCCATGTATGATATGCAGCATTCTTCTCCGGGTGCGATATCCCGCGATGCAGTAAAGACCATTCGGCTGTGATCGTCGGGTTTGTGCGTAACCTGTGATGTTATTATCGCTCATTCTCCATCAAGACAGGACACGAGACTAACATTGGGACAACACGAGTGATTTGCTATCGAGGACCGGGGGTAAATCGCTGCGCCGTATTGTTCCCCCCGGTCAGACGTCGACGCAAGGCCTGTCGCTTTGGGATAAAGGCCGAAAGAATTCGATTCTTGTTGGCAAATCAGTGTCAGAATATTGCCTGCGCTCAAAAGGATGTTTCGCAGTGATGAATCAGCGCATATGTATTTCTCAATCAGCGATTGCCAGTGCAGTAAATCTGCTTCAGGCCATAGTTTTCGATTGTCGCAGAGTTCTGTCATTGCCGTCCATCCGCTGGAGAATTTCTTTTTTGACATCGACCAGGAAGATCCTTCTATCTTTTCCACATAACGCGCCGCTAATGCCCGGACAATCAACCATAGCACGCCGAAATAATACTCTCCCTCATCCTTGCGAAGCGACATCGCATGCCCCTTCAGCCACTCACACTCCAACACATGCCGAATCCTATCGGTATCCCGACACCCAACATCACACCAAAAGACCTCAGCCGCGCATCGATTGGAACAACCAATTCGTCTCATACGGGGAACCTTGCGCCGACAATTTCCATTACTGCAAAGAACCTCGTCACTGTGCGCGGGATCATCAACTACTGGAATCATGGCATACGGCGAGTCTACCATGAGCACGTCGCCTGCTTTTAACGGTGCCGTGGCGTGTAATTGTCGTCCTTTGTCCGGGTCGTGGCTTTGTGAGATGTGAGGGTGTACATGGCTTTGTTTTGCGGTTGGTGCTTTGGTGATGGTGGTGCTCTGGAGTGGGTGCGGACCAATTGCCATTTTACGCCGTACGGTAGATGGTGGTCACGGATGTTGTGGGTGCGGGTGTTCTCACGATTAACGACGGGAATGGCCTCTTTTTAACACTGGCTTACTACTCAGGTGCGGGTTCTGAGTCGGTAAACGGTAGGTGTTTTTATTGGACAGATCAATCGCCACGGCTTAAGTTCGGAGATCGACTCCGTACTGGGAGGCAGTGAACATGTCCTCACCGATATGGGATCATGTCAGGGACAATGGCCATGTACGATGTTGGTAGACGTGCTCTATACCGACATTGTCATTGGTGGCTTCAAGTGATGCTACGGAAGACGAGCGGATACGTAACCCTTACTACGGAGTACACATGCTCTATCTAGCTAACTGATATTCAGACGCTGTAGAACGGAGGAGTAGACGTCCAGTTCATCTGTTGATTGCCTCAGCTTAACCGGTCACCCGGAGAGCCGGTGAAAATCTTTTCAAAAACACCGACTTCCGCATACTCATTTGGGGACAATCTAATTGGTCAATTCGGGTGTTGTGCAGAATGCTTAATTGCCAATCATGCACTTTCCCGTAATTTCATTGGTCGAATTTCGCGTAATTCTATTTTTAGATTGGCCCACTTTTGGTTTTTGTGGGCTTTGATTGGCTAATATCGAGATCGTTACTGGGATGTTTTTGGTGATGAACTGCCGAATCTACGGGAAATGGCAGAGATCAATAAGAGAAGAGTTGAATTTTTATTAAAATCAATTTTGTAGACATATGACTGTATCTATATGGGGGCCCACGGGTTATGCACTTGAATAATATACATACAGAAAGCACTATGCCAGGCCGGATCAGTATGTATATTCTCAGTCAGCTTAGGGCTATTTCATCCAGGATACTAAGATGCGGTTTGACATTTCATGCCGATTCTTTGTTCAAAGGAAGGATCGATAACTCAATAAGCAAAGCAGGCTTTTTCTCAGCAATGATTTACAGGTAACCTACTGAAATGGCTTAGCTGTCACGGAGCGCAGCTGCTCACCAGCGGCGTGAGATGTTTGATGACTTTGACGACTTTGAATATAGGGCAGGAATCGCTCACACACATACACACACACGCACACACACACTACATGGTGCAGCGTTGACAGGCCCAGCTTTCTTCTTTCCTTTTCCATGTTAGTATCTCGCGAGATAGTCTGCTAATATACTGATATAGTTTGAGATGTCACATCAGCCTAGAATACGCTTTAGATAACCTTTTAAATTGAATAGCTGTGACTTCCCCATGCCTAGTGTTGGTCAAAATGACTGCCATGGAAGAGGATGGCTCAGAGAAGATACACTACCATTCGACTTCTTGCTTTCATCATCTTAGGACGAGTATTGACTAAAGAAAAGAAACGCAAATTGGTATGTGCCACTTGGAAGACCATCCAAGACTACCTCAGCTCTGGTAGTTTTTTCCGCGCTTCGTTGGTCATTCGCTTCCGTTCTGAGAAAGAATAGTTCCTCTACCCAGCGACTACATATCATGAGGTATTTTGTTCTCGCTTGCCATCAGGTGTACTTCCACATTCGGGCATGCTTACTTGCATTTTTCATGAACACGAGATGTATATGATCTTCTAATCCAAGTACACGAGTTATTTTCTCGTTCGCTAATAGATATACAAAGAATGGGTATACCGAGAGCCTGGGGTCTTGGAAGTTATGTCACTGCCTCGGAAATGATGTCTATTAGCTTATATCGAACGGCATTATGTGAGGCCTTTAGTTCGTATTGCACTATTGTCTGTTTCCATTTATTAGGTGCTTGCAGACGAGGAAAAAAGAGTATACCTCTCCCATAGAACTGGAACAGACTACAAAGTCAATATCTAAACCCGCGAACTCTGTCGACCTGTCAAGACTGGTGAGCAACTATTCCAGGGACAGCTCCTCTGTCTCTATACTATTTGCATAATTAGGTCGAACGTACCAGGCCGCAAAGTAAAGTCAATCCTATAGGCACAGCCATAATCTGACAACATACGAGCCGACACATCATTGAACCTCGGCACGGCATCAAATACGAACCTCTCATGTACATTTCTCCTCAACCCGCGTAATCTCTTGGCCATTGAATTCCAGAACTTTGTATAAAAAATAAGTAAAAGATAGACGTCATGGCATGCAGACTACAATACGGGGGTACATGTATATAAGCGAGGATACGAGGAGCTATTTAGGGCTGCGAATTAAATCGACGAATCAATCGTATTATTGAGACATCACACGTGGCGTGGTAGTGTTAGTCAACCATTTCAACTTTTTCCATGTATTATCTTCTTATTCAGGTTTATTATTGTGACTGTCTGGGGTAGCGGGGGATATACTCCGCCATCGTAATAATAGTATACTCTCACCACGGAAAGGGAAACCTAATCTACATTGACCACAAAGAATACGGGACGCACCGGTATACTTCCCAATCTGTATACATACACCTTGGCCATGACGACTATATCGAAATCCACTCCGTATACAGACACACATAGCTATACGAGCGATGACAACCGACACGCCGTGGTTGAGTTCGAATGTGTCATTCCATTTATAGAATATCTCTCAGGTATACGAACTTGTTAGCAAAGTCGGGGGGAAGACTGGGGTATATAAACCCAGCTATCTCGAGGAAAATGAATCTATCTCATCAGTATCAAAGCAAGCAAGCAACAGTCCAGTTTTCCAAACAAGACATTCAATCAACTCAACTTCTATCACAATGCAGTTCACCATCATCTCCATCCTCACCACCCTGGCCGCCACGGCCATCGCCGTCCCCGTCCCCGGCGATTACCACCCCCCCTCCACGGCGAAGGTCAACTTCTTCGGTGCCGCGGACGCCTCCTTCTCCCAGTCCTTCAAGACCGATGGCACTGAGGCCGATATCCGTACGCTCCTCCGCCTTATATCCATATCGATATGATAATGTATGCTGACGAAACAGACAACGTCCTGAGCGTGTCCAAGATCTCTGTTCCTGCGGGTGTTACTTGCACCTTTAATGGGATTGATGGGAGTGTGACTAAGGTTAGCAACCAGGCTCGCGTTGATGTTGGTCCGCCACAGACGCAGGTTTCGGGTACTTGCTGGAACCTGTAAGGGTCTGAGTGTGGAGCACTATGGGTACATGTTTTGGTGGATGAAGGTTTGGGTTTGTATGTTTGTTGATATGGTGGATTGATATATAATTACGGTCTTTGTATATGATGTCTTGGACATGTTATGGTGGTTGGTATATATGTTTACAGTCTCTACGATGTTATGTGCCATGTCGATGTCGGTCTTTCTGAGTTATGTCAATAATCTTTCGGCTTAACATGAATCAGTCTATGTTCAAATTTATCTAGCCTGAGTCTATCCCATCATGTGCAGGTTAAACACTCTCCAACGCCCACCTCACTAACTCTGCAATCTTCCGACTAACCACGTCCTTCCGCGGAATCTCATGCCCACCATCATGCGCATACGTCTTCATATTATCCGTGTCAAACAATGCCGACAACTGCACCCCCGCCAAATACCTTGGATCCTTATCCCCATAAATATGAACTGTCGGAATCTCAATCCTCCACGGAAACTCCATCTCATCCCGCAGCTGCTCCTCATCCGATATATCCCACCAACCGCCCCTCCACCTCGCAGCCCCCTGGCTCAGAATCGCAGACGAATCAGCCTGCTGCGCCAGCGCCACACGGGACCAGTTATCCCTCTCCCGCATTTCAGGACTCATCTGATACCCCAGCATCTCCGCAATAGCGAGTGGAGGCCCACCGCAGATAAAAATCGCGGCCTTGAACAGCGGAGGCGAGCGCGGTTCCTCAATTGCGTTGAGCAGAAGCGCACTCGAACCCAGGGTACAGCCCTGAGAGAACATCATGACGGCATCGTAGGGACCCGAGAGAATGAGGTGCGTCTTCAGCAATTGGCGAGCGGTCTTGATGGCTTCAGCAGATTCGCCTTCCCACCAGGAATAGTACGGTGGGCTGTAGAAGAGGTCTATGCCCGGGGCTGGGGAGGAGGGGATAGGGCCGTCGAGGAAGTCAAAGTCGATGTTGAGAGGGGCCAGGTGGGCGCGGAATGAAGCTGCTGCCGTCAGCGGTATTCTACGCATGCAGGGATGGAGACTCACCGGTTTGCGATTTGAATATGGCACCGCTGGTGCCTTTTCCGTGGAGACAGAGGACCCTCATTGTGATGCGTCCTGATGTGCAGTGTAACCGGTAGAGGGTGTCTCGTGGTCTAAATACGAGACATAAGGGGGTAGTTCTCTTCAGTTGGGAGTGAGATTGCCCCACCTGCTGCAGGTAAGACGGCCTAGACATGGCAAACATCGGTGAAGTAAGCATGCCATATTAGGCTCCTTGCTGCAGAGCGCGTTCAGCTGAGTCGATCGAGGTTCTGATATACCAATTGAGGACGATAAGATAAGACATTTTCTTCCTATTGCGGTTAGTGAGGCATTCATTAACTTGCGAGCTAGCTTACCATGCAGTTAGAGATCGAGTAATGATAATTCTACGATTTTTCTCCGGGTCATCGGAGATGCAGGGTAAACCTGTTTAAACGGCAGATAGTGTGCGGGATGATGCTATAAGTTTTATAGCTCATTTGAAAAATAGGTTTGATTCCTTCATTGTCAATAGCGTTATATCAATATCAAAACATCGATCGTCTCCGCTCCGTACTGAGTACGGAGTACTTTGTTCTTCCATCGTATGTTATTTGCCACTACTCACCGCCATCCTCACCGCCAAAAACTTCGTCGCAACCTGAATTGGAAGTGTCGAGGTTTTCGTTCTAGGACTCTGGCATTTTATTTACCTCATTGCAAAAGCACGGAGATATTGATTAGTTGAGATTACGCATCATGGTTGGACCAACTGCGACTCTCACACCCCTCACCCGTACCGACGGTTCCGCATCATACCAATGCCCGGCCACCGGCTTCAACATTCTGAGCTCCGTCAACGCACCTGTTGAACTTCCTGGTCGTCGCGACGCATTGAAACCCGAAGATGCGACTGTTGAGGTGCTTGTGAAACCCGGTACCGCCCCGAACGGTGTTGGTGAGCAGTATGCAAAGGAGATCATCAAGAATCTGCTTGGGAAGTTGGTCCTCGGACGTGAGAGGGGATTCCCGCGTCGGGGAGTGGTGGTTACATTGGCGGTAATTGGTGGTGAGAGTGTTGCACGTGGTGACTCGGTGAGTGGCATAATGTGTATTGGGTGAGATGGTCGGCTAATCGAGGTCAGTATCTGACGATGCTTCCTGCACTCCTCCATGCTTCGCTGCTCGCTCTTCTCTCCGCCGCTGTTCCTCTGTCGATGACATTTTCCGCCACCGTGTTGGCAGTAACCAAGTCAGGGGATATCATTTCGGAACCGTCCGTGCAAACTGCCAAGGCCGCCGCCTCGTTACACGCTCTGGCGTTCTCATCCAAGGGGCATCTGCTGCTCAACGAAAGCCAAGGAGCCTTCGATTTTGAAACTTGGGAACAGGTACACGAGCGTGCGTTGTCACTCTGTCGTGGCCAGGCCAGCCCTGATGAGGACGTTTCAATGGTGGAGAACGGAGATAAACAACCCCTGGAAGGTTTCATCCGGGAGACTGTGGAGGATAAAGTTCATCGCGACTATGCCTGGAAGATTGACGAGGATTGAGCGATAGTATAACAGTTTTGCATCCATTGCACGGAAAAAGCAGGGACCAGCTACAACCACAGTGTACTCTTGGTGCTTACCAGTGGTCCGCGATACCGCTAATACCCTCGAGCCAAGCATGCTGACACTGGCACTTTGTCCTACACCTGCTTTATGATGCGGGAGCTGTCAGGGCAGGGTGCACCATTGGATCGACGAGGATTGAGTGCTGACGGACTGCGAGTACGAAACTCAGCGGGCACGAACTGATACGTTGATCAGATATGAACGAATGCACCGAGATCGGGAGGCAACAATACTCGATAACGCAATAGCATAATTAACGTTCCACATTCCCTGCGCCTTTGATGACGACGCGATACTTTTGTAGTTATTGATATTTAGTCTCTAGAGCAATGTTGATCTCGTCATACACTCGCCCTGTCCGGGGTTAGTAGCACTGTGACCATTGGCATCTGTCGTCACACAAGTTAAGCAATTAGGTTGTAATTTATGAGCAGTGGATGTTTTATTTCTGTTTTATGTATTTTGCCTAAAGGCTACAGCGCAAATAGTAGCTAATGTACAACCCCAGCGGTGATAATCCATCGCCTCAATAACCCAGCCCAACTCATATCCAGTCAACAACATCAACTAATAACCGTGGAAGATACTCGAATCGCAGCTTATCGCCCAATAACTGCAGCATCCAGCGATTGCCCGCCCGTGGAATCCTCCTCCACCTCCGCTACATCCGATTGCGGACATTATTCTGCTTGCTTCTTTCCACCACCAAAACACAAACCGACATTGCATCTCCCATGGCTTCATTTTCAGCCAGCCATGGCCCTTTGAAATATAGGACTACTTCTGACACTGATTCATCATCCTCGTCATCGCCTCCCCCCGCGTCTTGTACTGCGGCCACCGCTACGATTGCTACGGACCCTCCACCTTCAGCCGCACCTTCATTGCATTCTCGAGACCATGTCGTGCACATAGACGCTTCGCAGGCAACGGAAACCACTCCTAAAGCGTCTGCCAATCGCTCCTCTTCCGATTCCCGCTCTACTGTTGTTCCTGCGCAAAGGTTCGAACTTCCTCGTGCAGAGTCGGAATCCCGCTTATCCTCACCGTCGCCGTCCTTCGTTTCGCTACGGTCGCTGACAGCCCCTAACCATCATCCCTATCGTCATCGAAACGCTCTGTCCAGTGACACGATTCCTCACCAGACCATAATGAAAGCAATTGCATCGCGTCCGTCATGGTCCAGCAATGATTCCAACATGCCGCCGGCGGCATCTCTCGGACCCCTCCCAGCCAATACGTACCCTAGTCCTCCAGCTGAGAAGGAGGAGCAGTTCTCTTCGCAAAGTCTAGCGGCGGCGCTTAATCGTCTACAACCAGAACACGAGTTACTGGACCGGTCGCTAGTGCTACAATCTCCGTGCTTCTTTCATCAGCGGTTCGATGATGCGGTTAATATCAAGAAGGTGCTCGAGGAGATTGCGGATGATGAGTGGCTGTCACATTCGCGCTTGGTACAGACTGCTACTGGGGTGAAGGAGGTATCAAAGCAGTTACAGCGACGGCCCATCAAACGGGCTGTCAGGAATGTCATGATTGTCACCAAGGCACGGGATAACAGCCTGGTGCGCTTGACTCGTGATGTAGCAGCATGGCTTCTGTCTACGCCACGGTACGGGAGTGACCTTGGTGTCAATGTCTACGTTGATGCCAAACTACAGAACTCGAAACGCTTCGACGCGCCGGGTTTATTACAATCTGAACCGCGTTTTGCACACATGCTGCATTACTGGACACCAGATTTGTGCTGGTCGGCGCCTGAAAAGTTCGACCTCGTCATTACTCTAGGAGGGGATGGGACCGTGCTGTTTACTTCGTGGCTCTTCCAGCGCATTGTGCCGCCGATTCTCTCCTTCTCATTGGGCAGCCTGGGCTTCCTGACAAATTTCGATTTTGATGATTATAAATCACACCTGAATGCCGTGATGGGCGACGTGGGTATGCGGGTCAACCTACGGATGCGGTTTACATGCACGGTGTTCCGGAAAGACCGGAGCAAGGGCGCAGAAGCGGATGCGGTGGAAGAGGGTGAACAGTTCGAAGTATTGAATGAATTGGTGATTGATCGGGGGCCTTCGCCATATGTGTCGAATTTGGAGTTGTATGCGGACAACGAATTGTTGACGGTGGTTCAGGCGGACGGGTGTATTTTCTCCACGCCAACAGGTATGTTCACTTCACTGTCTACAGGCAAAAGATATCGATACTGACCTCTCAGGATCAACCGCTTACTCCCTCTCGGCCGGTGGATCACTCGTCCACCCATCAATCCCTGGGATCCTCCTGACACCTATCTGCCCTCACACCCTCTCTTTCCGCCCCATGGTCCTATCAGACTCCTCACTCCTCCGCATCGCCGTCCCCATAACCTCCCGTTCAACAGCATACTGCTCTTTCGATGGCAAAGGCCGCATTGAACTCCGCCAGGGCGACTACGTGACCATCGAAGCAAGCCAATACCCATTCCCGACAGTGGTCTCTGGCAACGGCGAGTGGTTCCAAAGTGTCCGCCGCGCCTTACGCTGGAATACCCGCGGAGCCATGCAGAAGGGCTGGAACGGGCCATCTCCCGACGATCCTGATTTCGCAGTTGACGGGAATGAAGATGAAGAGTGGGACATCGACACGGACGTGGGGTTGGGAGGGACAGATAGCGGTGTTGGACCGAGTGAGGATGGAGACGTTCCTACAAGTCCGATGAGGAGACAGATGAGTTTGCTGCAGATGTAGCATTCGCTTTTCGGTTATGACCATACTTTTTTGCATACCACTTATTGCATACGAACCAGTGGACATGGACATGATACAGGCGCTGGCACATATACATTATAGTTACATGGCATGATTTCGGGTGCATCTTTTTTGGCGTATAGTTAGGTTCATTGAATGAATTACTCCCTTGTTTTAGGCTATTATTGGATATACAGATTGAGCAGGTGCCGTACAGACCCATTACATCTACTATAACATCTGCACCACGGTGATATGGACTACAGTCCTCCGCCCTCATAGTAAACTGATATGGCGCTATTAACACCATATCTCCGCTATCCCCGAACCCCGCACAAAAATTTCCGTCATCACCGACAACTATCTACAGACATTGAACTTAATATAGAACAAACTCATTGTTCGTTAGGGTCAACATTCACCATGGTATAGTCTCTTGAGAAGCAACAGCCAGTCAATAACGAACATCACTAACGAGACAGCCCCACGCCGACTCATCCTATTTCGCACCGGGATTGTCCAAAGATGAAGTGTATACGCAGATGATCGAGCAGGCGAGGGGGTTGATTTATGGGCAGAGGAATTGGGTATGTTCCTTTCCCTGGTATATTGATTTAGCATGCTAACGTGGTGTAGGTTAGGTACGCATCCTCCATCAACGCTATGCAGTACACCGGAAGCAATGTAAAGTACTAAGAAGGCGATAGTAACCTCTCAAATACCGCCTCCCTCCTCTGGCACGCCTACGCCGTCCTCCCGTCAAACATCAACTGGGCTGGTTTCTACATCCGCGATGATAAATTCCCTCCCTCTTCTTCCCAACACTCATCCCCAGACAGGGTGCTGCTGCTCGGCCCCTTCCAGGGAAAGCCAGCCTGCCAACTAATCCACTTTGGCCGCGGCGTGTGCGGAACCGCAGCTGCGAAAAAAGAAACCGTGGTCGTTGACGATGTGATGGCGTTCCCGGGCCATATTGCGTGTGATGCGGAAAGTCGGAGTGAGGTTGTTGTGCCGGTTTTGGTTGGCGGGGAGGTGAGTTTGTCTTTTTCCGGGGTTGGAGTGGGTAGATGGTGGGCTAACTTGGGGTGTTGTGCAGACTGTTGCGATTATTGATATCGATTGTACGGAGGAGAAGGGGTTTGATGAGGTTGATAGGAAGTATTTGGAGGAGTTGGCGGGGGTTCTTGCAGAAGGGTGTGATTGGTGATTCTCACCAATACCTGAATGGATAGATGATGACATTTATAGGCAAAACAAGAACCAAGCATATATACTACCATGCCGGAAAGTGAATCAACTAAAACCCACACCCGGCCCAGCAAACCTCTTCCTCCCCGTCGTGCACCACGTACCTCCCGCAATAACCGCGATAACCCCAATCGCAGCAGAGGTATAATTCATCGACTCATGTGAGACAGGATACGTAGTGGGGAAATTGAACGTAATCGCCGCGAAGAGCAGAAATAGTAGACCTATGATGTTCAAAGTGATGGATATCGAAACGGGGAGGGTGAATGGGCCTGTGAGGTTGGGTTTGTGGCCGGTGAAGTAGCCTAGGAGGCGGCTGGTTAGGGCTGTTGCGTAGGAGAGGTCTGATTTGTTAGCATGGTGTAACTAGAGAGAGAATGAGGGCAGGCTTACAAAAACCCTCGGTGGCAATGGCGATGACTGTTTCGAAGCCTGTTGTTGTTCCGAAGTCAATCGCATCAAGGGCCAGTTGCACGGCCAGAGTCAACAAGACAGCGTTCACAGGAACCTGTTTCTTCGTCGATACGCGCGACAAGAACCCTGAGAACGGAAGGCCGTTATCGCGCGCAAAAGCGTAGATAGACCGCGATCCCTCGGCAATGAGGTTATTCCCTGCCACAATGACAATCACGGAGATCATGCTAGCAAGCACACAAGTACCCGCTTTGCTCCCTGTAGAATCATAAATGATCTGAATAACAGGAACACCGGTAGTCGTGTTTGCAGTCTCATTAATATCCCCAATGCAGAAGCATAGTGTGAGCAGGAAGGCAAAACCTGTCACAGCACCCAATATAACAGAAAGAATAATCGCCTTCGGCGCCTCCTTCGATGCAGACTTCATCTCTTCCGTCATATGCGACGGCGCGTCGTAGCAACACATCCCAAAACAAGCCTGCAAAATACCCACAATCGCAGCCATCGACGAGCCCCAACCACTAAAGTTCTGGAATTCCTGAAACACAAACGAAGCGGGCTGTTTATTATCATTTGTCGCGAGCAGGACGATCATTGTGATCAAGAATGAGCCGACATTCCAGATTAGTATGAACCGGGAAATGCGGTTGAGGAGGTGTGCACCGTAGAGGTTGATCCCCGTGCCTAGGATCGCGATGAGGTAGGCAACTAGGACTGTTTGCCAGCGTTCAATTGTGTAGGAGGGGAAGACGAGGTTGGCCATGCCGAGTATGAAGTTGGCGGCAATGGAGTTGTTTGTTGCGCCCATTGCCAGGATGCCTAGTTCGTTAGTATAAGTATGCAGTGAGGAGTGGGGTACGTACCGATGAGCATAAACCAACCGCTCACATACGATAATACCCTTGCTATACTTGGAGGTGCTAACGCGGCAACCCAGGAGTATTGTCCTCCGGCGACAGGATACATAGAACACATTTCGGCCATGGGAATTGCGACGGCGAGGGTGACGACGCTAACAGCGAGGAAACTGAATACCATGACGGGAGGACCGCCGGAGGTGATACCGACGATGAAGACTCCGCACAGCGCTGTCCATCTATAACTGTCAGTACCTAGTATGTCGGTTCCTTAGGTGTAGGGAGCATACGATGTCACGACACTGAAGCTGAACCCAACCATACCCAGCAAGCCAAATGAACGCTTGAGTTCTGCATAATTAGCATAACAACACACACGAGGATAAAGGAGACACACCCTGCTCATACCCCAAATCCCCCAACCGAACATCTTCATTCGAGCCAGAAAACACCTGCGTTTCTTTGCCAGACATGACTATTGTACCGTTGTCCTTTTCTCTGCGCTTGTCACCTCAAGACAAGGCAGAGTCACCCCTTTAACAATGCGACTGCTCATCGCAACTCCTCCCTCTATCATGCACATGTTTACACTACCTATCGTGAGCCAGTAAGCGGCGATAACAGAGCAGGGATGCAGATAAGATAAAACCATGCTTAACCTAATAGAGAAAGTCGGCGCGATGGCGTCGGGTTGGCGCCGATAAGCGTCTGGGGTAATCCGGAGAACTTATGCTTGCATACTTTTACCAATCGTTATTGTACTTCTGGTGAATAAGAAAGGTATCAATCAGTCTCGATGCGGTAGTAGGGCTGAGGGTTAGGTTAAGAGGTACCGTATGGCATGACGTCATCTATCCGGGTGTTATTACAGGGGTATGGTATGAAGTATTCCACTGCATCTACAGACTCTATAACAGGAGTATGTACGCCTCACTCTGTAGGGCGCTACCCTCAGTTGACTCAATGCAGGCAGAATTGCATGACGCGGACTCGGAGTTAACAATTAACTCCATCGCCCCCAATATATAACCCCTCACCATTCTGCTCCTGCAATTGAACAACTATCATCAATTCTTCCTACTACACCATGAAGTACGTTAAACTCGGAAGCAGCGGTCTCCGCGTCTCCCCCATATGCGTCGGATGCATGAGCTTCGGCCAACCCGACAAACAGTTCAAATGGACCCTCCCTGAAGAGGAAGCCCTGCCGGTGCTGGACCATTGTTACCGCTCGGGACTGAACTTCTTCGACACCGCCAATGTCTACACCCACGGTAGTTCGGAGGAGATCCTGGGAAAGGCAATCAAGAAATTCAACTGGCGCCGCGATGCTATCGTTATCGCCACCAAGTTGTGCGCGCCCGTCGGACATTCGCAAGAAGAGACACCGCTATTCATGAGTGAGGAGGATCGGGATAACGCTGGCTACGTTAACCAATACGGACTGAGCCGCAAGCATATCTTCGAAAGTGTCGACGCTAGTCTGGAGCGATTGGGCCTGCCTTATGTCGACCTGCTCCAGATCCACCGCGCGGACCCCAACACTCCCGCTAAAGAGACCATGGAAGCACTCCACGACATCGTCAAATCCGGCAAGGTGCGCTACATCGGCGCCTCGTCCATGTGGGCTCACCAACTCCTCGAATACCAATACACCGCGCGCCTGCACGGCTGGACCGAATTCATCTCTATGCAGAACCTCTACAACGCAACCTACCGCGAAGAAGAGCGCGAGATGTTTCCCGCCTGTGCGCAGTTTGGCATGGCATCCATCCCCTGGTCGCCCGTAGCAATGGGCTTCCTCGCCAGACCGTGGAAGGCATTCCAGGAATCCGCTCGTGGGCAGACCATGAACGGGGCGTTCATGGGACATGCCATTACGGACACGGATAAGAAGATAAATGAGAAGATTGAAGAGATTGCGAATGCGAGGGGCGTGTCGATGGCAATTGTGGCTTTAGCTTGGGCTTTGTCGAAGCCATTTATTACGTCACCGATTGTGGGAATGAGCAAGAAAGAGCGCGTTGACGAGGCTGTGAAGGCTACTGAGTTTGAGTTGAGTAAGGAGGAGATTAAGGGTATTGATGAGCTGTATGCCCCCAAGGCAGTGATTGGGCATCGCTAAGAGAAAGCTTTAATGTACATATGCCAACATCACTGCTACATCAGCTAGATAATCTACTGCTCTGGAGCTTGTATTGAGTTCCCCGTAAACTCCAATAAGAAAAACAATAGGACTAGTTGCGTGGGGCGCATTGTCCAACATGACCAATACCATCTTGGGTCACACAGTAAAAGTAGCATCTCAGATCTGTCGACCAGATGTCGCGCCGTCATTTGACTTCCATGCTAATATTTTCTAGTCCCTACCCTAATATGGTGGCCTTGCAAAGCATACTGGCTCCCGAACACTCCACTCCAGGTTTATATAATCTTTAGTTCTAGTTATATGTTCAAGTCTCAAGTATCGTACCGACCAACCAGAATAAATAGGCATACTTGGAGCGGAGAATTTTTAACCGTGGTGCTGGCTACTTTACAGTTTGGCAGGAGCTCGTTCAACGCAACGTGATCGTCATGCAACCACTATCCTTCAGACATAATAAAACGTGGAGATGGTATCTGATCGCCATGGTGTATACGATAATGCCAATTTGCGAGCTTTCCACAGTCCAAAATGAAGTACGAAAACTGCGTTCTACCCAATGGGCAGTAAGTTTCGGTCTCTCCGGTTTTCGATGGATATAAGTTCAAGCTCAAGTACCCAGACCTCTATACTTCTTTCCCACCTGAGTGGACTATCTATCTTTGGACAGAGACAAAAGGCCGCAATGGCGCTGAGCCCGGAGGTAATCCTACAGGGGGCCGTGTACTATTCACGGAGCCGTCCCTCGAGAACGACAAATTATACCTTTCATCCATGTCGATGCCCTCAAGTAAAGATCTAAAACCTAACAGTGCTCCGACAAGGAAAGTGGCCATGGTTATGTGGGTTACTTTCTTGTGGTATTTCCAGGAACAAGAGCGAAACCCATTTGTCATGGTGCCCGAAGGACCGGACATCCCGGAAGAAGACAGAGTCACCAAGGACTGGAAACTTAGCATCCAGCAGAAAGGCATTTTGCATGGGAAGAATCAGATGGTGAAACTGGAACGTCTAGGTATCATTGCAAGTGAAGACACTTCCGTTGGGATGAGAGCCGACTCATTCGGCTTCCAGGAAATGTTTATCACTCAAAAGGCCTTTTGGCAATTGGATCCTAGAGTTTTTCTTATCACTATTAGTTCAGCTGAATCATCGCCTGGAAACATATGCCCCGGTCCTGCTTGGTCGCTGGATTCTCTTGGAACAGGATTCCCGTTTGGTGCGGGGCCAAACACTTTTGGAACATTTGTTCCATCGTATTATCCTCCTCGACCCTTACAGTATACATTTACAAACAACGTTCGCCATCCAATCCGGTCAAAAAAACTTTAGGCAAGGGGAAGTGTTCTATGCTCGATACATCCCAAGTGGTGGCCATTATTTCACCTTCCGTGTACCAGTCCTGCCTGGTAGGGGCCCATTAAAATCCAGAGCCCCAAACTCTGATCAATTAGATAGTGAAGAGGCCCCAGACTTGTGCCTTGACTCAGAACAAGCGCATGACTTGGAACTCATTCATCGGTGGATGGAAGATAGACTTACAGACTCAACTTGAGTTCTTAGAGGAGCGATTGCTATGCAGGCATTCATTACCAGTAATGACTTGCTGGGATTCAAAGGCTGTCGGATACTTTGAGGTGTTTTGGGTGTTGGAAGATTCTTTAGGCACCTGCTAGGCGAAGTGGGAGATTGGGATCGCGGTGTGTGCTGTTTTGTAGAGAATGAGAGGTCTACAGAGCTCCGAGGCTTGGAGATGTGTCTGAGTTCATTAATCCATCACTGTTGGCTATACGATCAGAGAACCAACACTGTCATGTTTGATATCAGAGCCGATAATCAAAAGTACGTATCCTCCCCAAACTCCTACCGGGCGTTCGAACGACGTTTCGCATTTGCATTGAATTGAAAATATCATACGCATGGTGGCAAGATGATTGATGCTGATGAATGGCTTCTAGTTTCTTCTCAAGTTTGGAATCAATCAGTTGTGTCAAAGACCGCGAAGTCAATCAATCCTGTGGACGTAATGTAATTATGAAGATCAAGCGGGAGTCATGGGTGGCTCCCGTTGTATAATAGGTTTATGGTGATATAATGCATTGTTTATAACCATGCATCTATTAACATGAATATCTTCTGTTTTTGCACCAATATACTGTATTTATTACGACTCATGTTGATCAGCCAGCATATTGTTAGCTATCCACAAACCATTCAGATAACTATTCGTCGTTTAAGCAAGCAGCCATGACTCTGGATTCTGGCCACGGAATCTTAGGCTCGCCTGTCGTCAATAGGATGATGTCCTATACTTCCCCCTGTGCCTGTATTCTAAGTACGGGAAATGATCATTTATTTCTTGATAAATCCATTCTCAACGGGTTTCATTCTTGGGAGAGTCATGGCATGAGCTGTGCACGGTGATGATCTCTCCTTCTCTTTGGATAAGAAAGCCGGTAAATACGACCGTAGGATGTAGAGAAGGGGTGCTTTCCGTCTGCAGAGCCAATGCTAAGATAAATACTAAGCTCGGTCAGTAGTTCTTGCTCTTCTGCTTTTGCCGCTTTAATGATGAATAACTGGGCCTGGTGGGATACTCTCGAAGTGAAGCAAGGCCTTGCATTGGAAATGAAGCTTGCATAATTAGACAGTATGTATTTAAGTTAATCATAAATCATCCTATTTTGACTTATTTCATTTGACATCAAATATAACCAGGCCTTCGCTGTGGACCGAGGAATGCAAAAGTCTTCCATGCATGGCTCGGTGAACGAACCAAGATCTATCCGATATCATACCACTGAGAATAGCTGCTTTACGAAGAGGGGAAGAGACTTTCAAGAACAGCATTGGCTAGTATTACGGCTTTGTCGATATCCGTATAGCGTTATGCTGTTTGTTCAGGGCTGCCCCGCATCGGGATCACCATGACTCCTCGGTCCACTCACTTACTCTTTTTACTCAGCATCCCATGTGAAGGGAAACTACCAATTGCGATGGCCGGTAATCTCCTAGCAAAAGAAGTGCCATTATTATTGGTTGATATTGTTGTATGCAAAAGATCATGTATATAAGGCCAATATACGAGTTTCCTTTCATGGAGCAAATATATCAATCTCAAACCCTTTATTTCTCCGTAATAAAACGTCCCTTCATGCCTACCAATATCATGAGCTACGCTCTTAGCAAAGCCGGTGAGAGCATCTCGGCCCAGCAGCGCTTCCTCTACGCACTGCTAGGGCTGTGCATATACCTGGCTCTGGTATCATTGCTACGTTTCCGAAGATGCCGCAAACTGCATAGGGCATATCCCTATCGCACACGCGAAGAAATGAGCAAAATGACCGATCAAGATGCATGGGCGATTCAGAAGCAGATCATGCAGGGAGAGTTTCCCTTCATGATGCTCAAGGCGTTACAATTTGCTTTGTTCCGTGTAAGCAATTTTAGCCCACCTAGAAAAGGAAACAAGAAACCTCTAGTGACTAACCACAAGCAGACATACGGCATCCCAACGATATCAAACCTTCTCCTCAAGACGTCACAATTTTCCGACTCTGCCACTTCATTCAAACGATACGCCGATACGGGCACGTTGATTGGCGAGTTTATCGCTTTCGAGCCACATTCAGACCGGGCCCAAACTGCCATTGCTCGAACCAAGTATCTGCACAAGGGCTACCGGGCTAGCGGTATGATCCTAGAATCTGATATGCTATACACCCTCAGCCTATTTGCAACAGAGCCGATTCGGTTCGTGAAGCTATATGAATGGAGGGAGATGACCGATATGGAACGGTGCGCTGTTGGAACATATTGGAAGAGTCTTGGTGATGCTCTGGGGATCAATTATGACACTCTGCCTTCCGGGAGGACAGGGTTCCGAGATGGCATTAACTGGTTGGAAGAGATTAGTGCTTGGGAACAGCAGTATGAGGTGGAACATATGAAGCCACACGTTCGGAATAAAGAAATTGCCGACAAAACCATTGACGTGCTGTTATATTACATACCGAGTTTCATGAAGCCGTTGGGAGTGAATCTTATTTCGTACTTGATGGACGATCGACTACGGATTGCCATGATGTATGTTTCCCATCCATTTGGTCTTCGTGGTACAACTGAACATACTGATAACCATCTATCTAGGATGAAGCCCGTCCCGCCAGCCCTCAGCGCTGTCTTCGCAACGGTCTTCCAATTGCGCCAATTCTACCTGCGCTACCTGGCTCTCCCGCGTCCAGACTGGAATCGTCTAAACGCCTTCACTGACGCACCAAACAAACACGGCCGGCACTTCTTGCTGCAACTCCAAGGAGCACCGTACTATGTGCGTCCCACGATCTGGAATCGATGGGCCCCCATGGCATGGGTCAAGTGGTCGCTTGGGCAGCCGTTACCTGGAGATGAAGGGAAAAAGTATTTCCCACAGGGATATTATACGCCTGATTTGGGGCCCAAGTATTTTGAAGGGAAGGGAAGGAAGGAGATGGAGGCGATTAAGTTGAGTCTACAAGAGAGTCGGCAGGGACAGTGTCCATTTCCGTGATCCTACATGGATGATTCTCTGGCACAGATGATGGGATGTAATGCTGGCTGTGGATATGATATAATTGGTTAATTATTTTTCCTATCGGGGAGTGATTAGTAGTAGTAGTAGTAGTAGACCTCTTATTCCTGTTGTAGCTGACTCTATATCTATGTCGCTATGCAGGAGTGCTCGAAGCGCCGCTTCCGAGCTGTCAACAGCCAGCGCCAGCACTGGAGAAGAGGAGGTTTAGCCGACGGATTGGTTCCTCCGGCCACCGTCCCTGCGAAAAGAAGTATGCAAATGATCTATCAAAAGCTTAAACAAACATGAACCCAGCCATATGCCCTCATCACCATCACTGTCCATCCTCTCACTGGGCCACCTGGCTTTGCTGCATCACCAGACTGTCGTATCACCGACCTCACCAGTTCCTCATCCTCATATACTCCCGTCATTGGCTGCCCGGTCCTGGCAGTTATTGTATTCATTGGTCTCCTCCTGTGGCCACCACTATCCTGGCGTTGTGGCCACTATTCGTGCTGCTCTTTGTTTCCCACACTCAGTTACCCTGCACTGTGTTGTCCTCATTGGTTGTACCAAGCGCTCCCTCATCTACCGCATTGAATTGGGAGAGCAGGCCCGTTTGGACCATGAAATCGGCGATAGCCACCGACGCCTTCGGCTCTGAAAGCAGCTCATCCATCCCCAGTGTCCGGGATATCTTTTTCGCCTCCAGTTTTCTCCACATCATTTTCCTTAGCTCTGTCAAAAGTGGACATGCCAGCAAGACATGTTGAGGTGTCTGGCTGCCCAGCCTGCACCTGCACCATGCGCTTTCTCTGACCCCAATGCGAGATAAGTAATGGCTCAGACCAATCCGTCCCGTGCGCATCTGCATCATTACTGATGCTGTGGCTTTCCGCAAGCCCTTCCAGTAACTCAGTACCTTCCTTGTTGGTGCCCTGACCAGCCGCTTTGTTGGCTTTCCCTCCGGCGCCTTTTCCCACATCTTCAGCCACTTTTGTGTGATGTCCCCCTGTATCTTCCGCTTGGCCGCTGATGCCAGCCACACTGTTGTGCTGGATTGCTGTCCTGATCCTGTTGCTGCCTCCTTTGCCGTCTGGTCAGCTGCTTCATTGCCGGGTATCCCCTCGTGCGCGGGGATCCACTGGATAGCCACTGAGATCCCCTCTCTTGTATACCACTCCAGCAATCGGAAGCATTCGCGCTGATATACCTGCCCAGAGGCCATGCGGGGATGAAGGAGTGCCTTCAGTGCGGCCTGGCTGTCAGAGAAGATGACCACTCCGTGCTGAATCCTCTCTCTCCACCTCCGGGTCTCCCTCCGCTGTTTGACTGTTTCCAGCGCCATTTGGATTCCTAGAAGTTCTGCCGCATATACTGTGGATACTGATTCCGGGCCAAGATGGCGGCTTGCTTTCACTCCCATATCTGGGACGACCGCAGCTGCTCCCACCTGGCTCTGATAGCTGCTACTGTCTGTGTAGACCACAAGCGGCTTGTCGTCCTTCTGAATTGTTGTGTTGTGTGTGGCCGTGGCCTGTTCTCTCTCTTCAATGAACACCTCCGGAGGCTTATGCCATGGTGCCCGGGTGAATGCCCACCGGCTTTCCCAATGTCCTGCCACAGATCCTGGGGGAGCCACTAAGCATCCATTCTTTGTCCATGCCTGGATCTCCAGAGGTGTTTGTCCTCCAAGCTTGGTCTCACTAATTGGTCGTTTTCGTCGCAGTCCCTCTGGAATTGCATGCTCCGGCCCTGTTCGTATCCTAATGGCCGTCTCTGCTGCCAATCTTTCCATCTGTAGCTTCACTGGTAGGAGCCACAGCTCCACGTTTAGCGCCTCTGCAGCTGTTGTTTGAAATGCCCCACTAATTAGGCATGCTGCCCGTTTTTGCACTGTTACAAATTGTTGAATTACCTTATTCCGCTCCTTTGCCGGCATGATTCCAGCCTGGAACCATGCTGCTACTCCAAACAGCATCTGTGGCACAACCACTGCCTGGTAGATTTGCCGCATTGCCACCAGAGATGTTCCCCATGTAGATCCTGCTATCCCCTGTATTGCCACAAGGCTCTTCCCTGCTTTAGCCAGCATATGGTTGCAGTGTTCCTTAAAATTGAGCTCTGGATCAAACCAGACCCCAAGGTACTGTTCTGAAGTCCGGCTGGCCTCAATGACAACCCCTTCCCTGGGTATCCGTAGTGGTGAGTATTGTGGTTGAACTGTTGATTGTGGGTTGACAAAGTGTATGAGCTTGTATTTCTTGACATCAAACCAAGACGCATGTTTCGACGCCCAATCTGCCGCTGTTCGACACGCCTGTTGAAGCTTTCCAATGGTTGACCTCTCACTAATCCCTGTGGCCATAATGCATACATCGTCTACCCAGCCATTCGCTGTTACCATTTTCGCCTTCTCAGTGCATCGTTCAATCAGATCCGCGTTGTAGAGCAGGTACAGTATTGGCGATAGTGGGGATCCCTGCGGAATGCCCGTTGGTGTTGGTATATCTCTTGAGATGCCCTCTGGCATTCGGATGCGTGTACTGCGGTCTCTCAAAAACGCCATGATCCACGGTGCAAGACACCCCAGTCTCCTCTTTCTTAAGATATGCTGTAGCCGGGCATGGGACACGTTATCGTATGCTCCCTCTACGTCTAGCAGCAATAAGCTGACCACTGGTAATCCTCGTCCCCACGATGTCCTGATATGATCAATCATCAACTGTACTGCATGGTCTGTTGATATGCCCTTCCGTCCTCCCAGATGCGTGTCTGGTAGCAGGCCATATTCCTCCACTGCATGACTGATCTGTTTTGCGATGATTGCCTCCAGTATCTTACCCAGCGTGTTAAGCAATGCCACGGGTCGGTAGGATTTTGGTATGCAGTAGTCCCTTTCTTCCCCGGGCTTCCGGAGGACCACAGTGATTGATTTTTGAAATTGTTTTGGGTTATATCCCGTCCGTACGCATGCGTTGAAGAGCTGGTATAGCGTTTCCTGTACCTTTGTTACCGCAATAAGCTTGTGCCAGAGGCTATTTGGGATACCATCCTCCCCCGGGGCTTTATCCGGCGGCGTGGCTCTGATAGCCGTTTCGATCTCATGCCGTTCAATCTTTGGTAGGGGAATTGGTTCCGGGTATTGGTGCTGGTCAGTGATATCTGATAGATCTGCTGGTGGTGGCTCCGGGAAGAATGCTTCCTGGAATAGCTCAGCTTTGTCCTCTACCGTTTCGGCTCTCCTTCCACTTGGTGATATTAGTGTTGGTGTGATTCCCTGCTCATATGCACCTCTCCTGCTCCGTGCCCATTTTGCTAGCCGCCACATCCCCTGTGGACCTGCCTCAGTGGCTTTTTGGACCCTTCTGCGATGCCCAATCTTCAGCGCTTTGCCTACCAGTCGTTTCTTCTCATTTCTTGCAATGGTGTAGTAGATCCAATCATCTGGGTCATGTGTTTGAGTGTATCGCCTTCGAAGAGCTCTTACTGTTTTGACCATCTCCCTGCACTCCGGGCCAAAGTCAGAGTTAGACCACTGGCTCGGCCTCGCCCATGGTGTTGACTCCTCAATTGCTCGCTGCACCACTGCCAGAAATGTCCCCATCTCAAGCTTAATCCTTCGGTGAGTTGCCAGGGATAAATCCCTGGCCACTAGATGCTTCTCCAGGAATTCCAGCATGATTTTATAATCTGTGGCTTTCCAATTCCTTTGCTTCGGCGGTTCATTTGCTTTGGTGGCCACATCGAGACATGTTCGAATAGGCCAGTGATCTGAGTCATGTTGTACGTTGTCCGCCCTCTCCCAGCATACAATTCGGTTCATCAAAATACTTGATATAAAGGTCAAGTCAATCACTGATCTCTGGACCCCCTGCTCCCATGTTACTGTTCCTTCCTCTGTCGCTAGCTCTAGGCCCCCTTCATCTACCACCTCCAGTAACTCCTCCGCCTCTGCTTCCATCACCGTTCCCGGGCCTCCCCACGCTGGGTGGTGTGTATTCATGTCTCCCACAACGACGTGCTCTGCTGCTTGGTCTTGGTGGTTCAATCGTCTGAGCTCGCCCCGGAGACGCTGAAACGTCCCGCTCCGTGGTTCATTGTATATGTTGTGGATATACAACTGTCTTGTTTCCTCCCCGCGGTGGTATGATATCTTCAGAATCTGATAATCCTGAGACACCACTGAGTGGGACCAACTGGCTGTGTCAATTTGTTTGGAAATAAACATACACACTCTCGCCGTCCTTTGTTCATTCTTCCCTGGGTAAAGCAGCTGGTGGGTTGCTTTTGCTGGTTGATGTGTTGTATCACTAATCTCATTCCTCCATGGCTCCTGTACCGCAATCACGTCTGCCCCCAGGACCTTATTGTCCCGCAAGAAGGTCGCCATCACCCCATTCCGGGACTTATGCGTGTTATATTGGAGGATTTGGAAGTTAGGATGCATAAAGCTTACCATTGCTTCCTTCGTGCATTGTTGTGTTGTTGTTGGTGTTGTCCTCTGGAGCCGGTGGTGCCAGAGAGACTGCTGTTGTTTGAGCTTGTTGTAACTGTCGGATAAGCTCCGCAGCCACTTCACTATCAGGGTCCCTTTCATCAGCTTCTTGCAGTTCCTCCACCTCCATGTCCATCACCTGCCCATGATGCTCATCCCTTCTTGGGCGTTTCACGCCCCTATGGAGTAGTTGATCAGGATCTGACATCATACTGATTGGGTTCCCCCTCCTCCGGAGAGACCTTTCTGATGGTGCCTGGGGAGCTGATAAAGCCATGGCCGTGCTTTGTGTGTTATTTGGCAACAGTATATTGTTCTCCCTGAAGATTTTGGTGCGTGGTTGTCCTCGTCCTCTCTTCTGCTCATGTGCTATTACCGGCCCAGCACTGTTTGTCCCATTGGTGGCATTTCTTGGCCTGTTGGCCGTTGGCATGATTGGCTCGGCCACTGCGGTCACTCGGCCCCTGGTTTGTTCGCTTGTCCCTGCTGTTTGGGACTCCCTAGTGATATCCTTCCCTTCTTCCTTCCTTGTTTCTTTTCTGAGGAAGTACTCTGGAATGCGGTGATACGGCTCACAGTTTCTCAAGGCCTCCTTGGCCTTCTCGGCCTCTGCTTTCCTTACCTGGCATGACATGCTAACTGCCCGGTGATTCCCTTTACAGTTGGCACATTTCTCCTCCACTATCTTGCCCTGTATGCTTGGGCACTCCCAGGTTGGGTGCTCTCCCGCGCAGGTTCCACATGTATAAGAGTTTGGGCACTGAGCGTGTACATGCCCTGGTTTCTGGCACTTTCGGCATAACTTTGAACGGCCCTCTCTGCAGAATACGGTTGTTCCATGAATTTGAGCTTCCCAGACCGTGCCCTGATCAATAGCCCGGTTCGCCACTATTGGATTGGTGAATTCAATCACAACTGAACCTTCTCTCTTGCCTTTCCGGGGCTTCACCAGCCATCCCACATGGAGGATTTTAGCTTCCTTTCCCCAGGTGTGTTGATTTGCCGCTAGGAGCCGAGTGGCTACGTCCATCATTTTCTCCTGCGTTAAATCCATACTCCGGCAGAGTACGCCGTGGGCCACTGAGGCCCAGGTTGGCACCCGGACATGGGCTGTCATGCCAAATGTTTTCACCCACTTATCAGCATGGTGTCGGAAGACCTCTGCCCCCACGGCATTGCTGGCCCGGAGACTGACATCCCCAGATGGTAGCTGACGTGCGGCAATAAAGGCTGACAGTGCAAGGGGAGAGTTGTTTGACTTTTTGACTGCACTTTCTCGTGCTCTCTCAGCCCGTTCCACAATCTTGATTGAAGATAGCTTCTTCAGGTCAGCGCGCATTGCCTCATCACATATCTTGACTGTGAGTTCACAGTCAACTCCTAACTCCGTGTGCAGTACTCCTGGGGTGGTGGTGCCCATGTCTTGAGATGTTGGGGTGGAGGCGTTTTGTACTCTGTGCTGCCAGTTTCGTGCCCGGAAAGCTCTCCAACAAGCTGCTGAATCAGGGGGCTCTATGATGCTCTGCTTCTCCCGTATATTTTTAGTGTCATTCTGGATTCTCTCCAGTGTTTTGTGAATGTCTGCCAAAGCGGAATCAGAGTTTTCACGCCTACTCTGGGTGTCTTTTGCGAAGTCCTCCACCCCCTGGAAAAAGTTGAATAGCTCATTGTACCAGTGAGGATTTGTTTGATAGTTTTCCATATGCTGGCGTATCTTCTGAACACCAGTTCTTAGTTTGTTCCTGTTGGCAAAGTGGTTCCGCGGTCCTTTTGGAGCCGCCGTCACTGCTGCCCGAGTGATTTCTTCACCTCCCACCATCGCGACCGGAAATCCCAATAAAATTGGTATTTTCCGGTAGCTAATGGAGTTAGATGTAATTGAACAATTTCTAAGCCGAATCCGGCTCTACGTGGTGGCGGAATTTCAAGAATTCGATTCACGCTGAAAGAGTTGTTTTTTTTGATTCCGCGGTTGATTCGGGGAGTGATTTTTAACGTGGTTTACGTTTATCTAATGCCATGTTGAATCAAGTAGCCTTAATTTGATATAGTGAGAACCTATATATATGCCGAGTTTCGCGACCTAATCCATTGCGCAGAAATACAGCCAACCCTAATCATAACATCATGTTTTGTGGCTCAGGTGATTCGGCACATTATATTTCGGCATGGGCCCCGCATTTACTCTACTGCATAGTCAATCGTCTCCACTTATTTCATCGCCGATTTCCCAATACCAGGCTGGAATAGTTATTCCGGTTCACTAACACAAGCCTCGACGACATGTTCGTGGTGTTAGTGCGTAGAGTGTGCTGCGATGCCTTAATTCCCGGATGCCCGTAGAACGACATCAATTCTGCAAAGAGAGACGAATCATAGATCAGAAACTAAAGTGAAAGCCAACGGAAATTCTTTTGATATTTTCAATATATACATATTTTAGAGTAGGAGTAAGTACATAAGACCATAGGGTGTGGGAAATAGGACTTCCAGTCCGCTCAGCCGTACTTAAGCCACATATTTCGCCTGGTCAATAGTTATTTTTGCCCTGTCTTTATTGCTGCTTTAAGGTTAACTGCCAGACGAGCTTTAGTTGGGCGCAGATGACTGTGCTAATGCATATTATAATGCGTATCGAAAAAAGGGGTTCTGCTTGTCAGTTAGGTCGTCGAAAGCTATTTTGTCTCGCTGCGCATTGTCCAGGTCCAACGTATCCCGAGCTCGGTTTTCTTGCCACAGCACCACATAAAGCACGGTGGCAGCGGCAATGGTGATACAATAGCTATTGAATTTGTCAAATTGTATATCCCATTTAACATTGAATATGCAGACCTACCAGATAATCAAGCCCTTCCACAGCTCTGGATAATGCTGATCTTTGGTCCTACTGTTGACCAACTGCGGCCCGATAATGTTTCCCACCGAATATGCCACGAAGACTGTAGCTGCCATGATAGTTTTCTTGGTTGCACCGGCGACATTGCTGGCACCAATGGTAATGATAAGGCTAACCACCGGACCAAAGAAGCCAGTAAGCGCATAGCCTGCAACCGGCGTAGTTGGTTGATATCCCCACTGCGACTTCCAAATCATCGCACAGCCGGCTATTACAGGTAGGCAACAAGCAATCAGCATCGGGATCCGAGTATTGGGGACGCGGGTGGGGATGTATCCACATAGCGGAATGAAAATGACACAAATGCCTCCGACAGGAAACTGGAATAGAATGGAATCAAGTGTGTTGTAGCCAAAGGTAGAAACAATCAACGGGCCAAAGCCAGAGATGGCACCGTTAATGGTATACCTATGCTTGTAAGCGTCTGCAAATAAGATCTGGAAAGGGAGGCTCACCCCGCCGCCATCATGATGGCTACCAGGTAGATTTTGAAGTCCAGCAGCGATTCTTTGATTTGGTCGAGCTTAATCGTTTGACATCGGACACCGGTTTGGCCTTTCCGCAGTCGCTCCACTGCCACCATTCGTTCTTCCGGAGTCAAGAACCAAGCGGAGACTGGGGAGTTAGGCATCGTAAAACACCAAAGGCCAAACAGAAATGTCAAAGCACCCGCAAGAATGTAAATATACTGCCATCTTGTCAAGGAGCCCGGGGTAATTTGTCCGAAGCCGTAGTTAAGTGCTCCACCAATGATCGTGAACCAGCCGGTGCCGGAGAACCACCATGCCTGCCGGAGAGCCTGTTCTTCCTGTGTATAGTAGCCACTAACAATGGTCATGAACCCAGTTGGGATAACACTTTCGATGAATCCTGGTTTTGGTTAGATAGGGTTACTATACACTCCTGGGTCCATGTGAGGCATACCAAGAAAGAAACGCTGCACAAACAATCCGCGCCATGATGCCACGCCAGCCGTGGCTGCACAGATAATGGCCCAGAGAAGGACTACAGGCCCCAAGACATAACGAGTGCTGAACCTCTGGAATACGAAAGTCATTGGATAGAGCCCAGCCAGCATTCCAAAGTAGAAAATTGACGTTGCCCAGCTGAGTCGTGAAGTGTCAATCGATGGAGGAGAAGTTGAATGGTCGACAACTTGCAACTCCAAGTCGGTTGTCATACCGAAGAGTGAGCTACTACCTAAAATGGCCTGGCAAGTAGATCAATGTATTGTCCTCAGAAAGAAATCATACTTCTATCGTACCTTGTCGTAGTATACCATGCCATAACCTACACTTTGTCAGCCAAGGCTTCTGACTGAGATCTTCTGCCTCTTGGTCCGGAGTGTAGCTCACCTATCAACATAGCAGGCATGAAAAACATATCAATTTTTCGCAGCACTCTTTTTTCTACGAGAGGATCAATCTCCTGCGCCACATCGCTGACCAAAGCCAACGCTGCATCTTTATCATAGCTGTCATTTGCACGGTTGTTAGCACTTGCAATGTCGTGCACCTGAATCATTTTTTCAACATCCACAGCATTCCGTATGATGTTAAATTTTGCGCCAATATACCAGACGTGTGGCTCACCGCCTTTTACGGAAGGCAGAATTCTGGCAGATGATCGGCGCTTGAATCAAAGTCTTTTGAAAAAAAAGTTGGCTTTGCTATTATCTCACGGAAAATCGTATACCTGGTATGAATTTGACATTAAAATTATTCTCACATTATTAAGCTGGGAGGCCCGTTGCATAAGATATTATATATGCTCTGAAGATTCCTGAATAGCAGTTCCTGAAGTGATGCCCTATAACCACGTCCTTTCAAGCCGTTGATGGGATTTGATGTTCAGCTTCAAACAACCAATTTGATTAGTGATTCAAAGACTTAGCTAATTGAGCTAGGGTACGAAAAGCATGATACGTTAGTTACTTCCGCAAATAATGATTATTTGATGACTCGTCCGCTCGTACAGCGAGTAGTGGGACTATTTACTTTCTGCTCTTCAACCTGGCACCCTGGGTCCGTAGATGCTGTTATATAGACCTTGGCCAAACTGAATAGTACTCACTATTTAATTGACTTAGGCAGAATTCTTTTCAAGCGGTTTCTGTCGAGAAGTGGTTCTTTCGCGTATTCCAGTGGCGAGTCCTGCCTGCTGCAAGACAAGCCTTTTTCCCTGTCAGAACCTAGTTCGGCATTAGGGCCAACTATCAGAAGCTTTTTTCAATATACTTTTCAAAGGCTTGTCGACGTATTTCCATCTGAACGGTCTTGTGAGGACAAAGAATCCCATCGATGTAAACTTCGGCGGCTGGCTGCTCAGCACCTCTCTCCTTTATCTTCCGCTTGACGTATTTCCACCACGCGGCTCCCATTCGGTACTTCTTAATTTTGCTTCATACTAGCAACTCCTGCGTGCTTTCAGAACTAAGTTCCAGTAAGAAAGGTGCAAAACCTTAAATTTTGCAAGATCCGTAGGTTTTTTCCATTATCTGACGAAGATTTTTTAGGGACCCTCCCTCTTTGAGGTGGATGTGTTCAATATTTACTGTGAGCATCCCACTGCAAATTCTATATTTTGATAATAGTCAGAAAATTGGAATACCGTTTCAAAAGTGGGGTTTGATGAGCGACTCTATGTAGGCCTGAGAGGGGAACAGATATACATCAGGGCTGAGTGATAACCTCCCTCAGTTACACATTATGTCAATATTAGCTCATCTTTTCAGGTCTCTCACACGCCAATGGCTGGATCAAGCGGTAATTCTCGGGGACGGACTGCTGGTCCTAACGAACACAGAAGGTATATCCTTCCTCCATCCCAATCTTAACTTGTATAGATTCTTACTTCTCAACAGAAATGCAACTAACAATGGTCCCGTGAAATGTGAATGGAAGGGCTACACGTATTCCTGTGTGTTTCTCTCGAAGAATTGAATTGAAGCGACACGTCGTGATAAAGCATATTTTCTGAAGGTCATACGAGTGTCCGGACCCGCGCTGCAAGAAATTGTTCAATCGGGAAGATAGTCTACTGGAGCATTTGCATCGGATGCCATTGCCGCAGTGTTTGAGCTATGCAACGTTTGTCTTGTACTTTACTCTCCAGGAGGTTACGGAGTATATTGGGAGCACTTTTTTGAGAGCAACACTTATGCGTCTTCATTCTTCACATGGGTTGTGGTTTCTTTCATCCTCAAGTTCAGTGTTAGTACCTGATGAAGAGATGTCAGCCAAGTCGTATGCATATCGCATTAGCGAAATACTAGGAGACTAGCGGAGGATATGAAATAGGTCGTAGATGAGCTGGAGAAATACTGTTTATTACACCTCTAACAATACTTCTTGAACATTGAGGCATATGTAAATTTGTCAAACGCTTAGGCCTAACGTAGTTGATAAGCGAACGGCGCACTTTCTTCGGATCCTCATATTCAAGCATCAATTACACCACTAAATCACATTAATCAATTGATTTTATCCATGGATATATATATAAACCCTTTTTTCATACTATTTGCAAGATCTAGAGTTATGCCCAGTCCTTCCGCACCTGCTACAGTGTTGCTGAGTTGGCTCAGTCTGTATTTTCCGACTACCTTCCTCGCGTATTCCATGCTCCAGTTGCGCATCAATATCCTTCTGGTTAATCAAACCCTGTCCATCTCCTACAGAAAGTCCCCTTCATGTTGCAGATGGTTTTTGTTTTTTTTGCCTGTCGGCGCTTTTTGAGTTCCTGATTTGCCTTCTCTAGTGAATGGACTCGGGCGTTCAAAAAGGTAATTGTATGGGCTAATGCTTGTTTCCCTCTTGCAAGTTGGTCAACAGCAGTATATATTGGTGCTAGAGAGCTGCTCTAATGCCTGAAGATACAAGCCTTGATGGATGTAGACTGCGAAACTGCCTCAGTTGAGTTGTGTGGTGTTTGAGAAACCCAATGGTTGGCAGAAGTTGGAGGCAAGTCACATGATTTTGGTGTCCCTAACCTAATGTCTAGCTTCGACAGAACAGCTTTAGGGTCCAGAGGTACTAAGCCAGAACCTCTGAATTATGCCTTGGCATTTTCTTTGGTTATAGATGTAGAATGCCTCGCGAAACACAATGAAAAAATGAAGTTTGGTAACATGATTAATGTGTGACTTGATGAGTCCTTCTATCTGGTGACGGTATGCCTGCTTGAGTGGACTAAAGCGTCTAACATCAAATGGCTGAAGAAGGTGAGATCAGTGAAGTAGCATACAGATTGTCACGGGCTCGGAATAGTAGATAATAACGAACTGAATTCCTATCTAGACTATTGTAGCCATCGACGAGAATATCGAATCTGGAGAAGAAAAGAGAAGAGGAAGTCTATCTTGGTAATGAAGGGGTTTTATAGAGGTTGTTGCCGACATGGTTGAGTAGCAGCATTTGCGATGTATCATTCATTGCTGCAGTGTTGAGCCGTCATATATGAGCCGTCATATATGAACCGTCATATATGAGTCGTCACACAGATGGAGATGATGTTCCTGTCCTTGCAAAATTGGTTGAACTAAGCCAAATGGTAGCTCTCATGGCTGTCAAACAATAACATCCGACATGCACCCTTCACACGGGAAGCTGTGTATCTATCAAAATGCTGAATCCACTCAAGGCCAGTCTCATTGTCGGTCCATCCATTATGGGTGGTTCCAATTACCCATTCTGGCGGGCGGTTGCTTTCTGAGTACCAGTTCGCCAGATGGTAAGCTCCTTGAAGTATGATAAATGGTAGGGTGCACCACCCATCTGCATTAACTCCCTGGATAACTGTAGCCCATTCCTGATTACCAGGCTGGACTCTTTTTATTTGTTCACATTGATCAGCGCGCGTAACTACCATTGAAGGCAATATAACACCCATCATAAATCCAGTCTTGTCAAAGTTATAGACATCAGCATCTTGAATGCCATACTTGGCTTGCATATTCCATACAAGATTGAACCATGCCTGGATTCTCTCAGGATACTCGCATAGAGCTCTTTGGTAGCCATATGGGAGATTTAGGTGTGTCTTGAGCTCTGGTTGTCACTTGACATAGTTCAATGCCCAGCACTTCCCAACATGTCCTGCATTGTGATCCGCGAGTAGAAGATTCGTGATATCTTCAACATCAGCCAATCTAGGCGAAAACCATCGCAAGTCCAGATCTAAAACATGTTTGACCATAGCCTCCTCTTCCAGTTTTGTTAATTTAGTTGAATTTGGCTGAAGATCCTGTTGAGCACTTCTATCATTCATTCTGGCGCATAAGGTTGTCTGTAACATGTTCTATATCCAAGCAGCTTCTCGAACACTAGTCACGTCGCGTTCTTTAATAGACTAAATAGCCAACAAGAGTCTACTTTATTTGGAAGCGGATTTCATTTGTTGTTGTTGAGAAATCACGAGTTGAAGATGAGACGCGATCGTGAGGCACCAAGTGCGCCGTTCGCTTATCATCTACTTTATATCAAACAGCGGACCTAATTATTTTAGTTAGCGACGGGTAATAATCCTAGATTTTGACCAGCTCGGAAGTCTCAAACCTGCTCTTCGAGTGGCTGTTTCACAATTCAATACACTTCTTCCGCTATGAACCCCAAAGCAACACTTGTCTTTGGGCCCGAGCTATTAACAACTTCGCCACGGCCGAGGCACTGAATATAGGCCGAGAATGGGGCTTAGGTCTCCATAACTTAACTGGACAAATTAAATCATCTACGGTCCACTGCTGGCCCATTGTAGTCAACAATCCCGTCCCCGGTGTGGTCAAGCCGCCCATGTTTCCAAGGGTTATGAATTTGGACTCCCTGTGGGCATCATCAACAGAAACGTGGGTCTTGCAATGGCTGGAGCGGCGAAATCAAATATTTCCCTCTTACTGGCGAATACAACTCACAAATCCTAGAGCGCGGTTGATAAAGATTACAATAGACAATAATTTTCGACTATTTATCAGTGGCTTTACTACTAACCTTCAAAATAATGTTAGTTTATTCCTAACTCGACTGCGTAGGAAAAACGCTTGCTTCGTCCGTTGATCATATCCATTTCACGAACCCCCAAAATCAAAAACATACAACATCCAGGAGTTAGTGAATTTTGAATACCCAAATAGTGATGCCCTACTTTACTTCCAGATTAACTAGGATTGAAGGTGGTGTGTTATTTTACAAAATGATGTATATTTTTATATGCATATGTAATCGTATTATGAGCCCCAGTAAATAAGGGCCTTCAGCACCAGTAAATAATCGAAAGCAATTTCGATTGATTCCATTATAAATAAACAGTATCGATAAAAGCAGACAACAAATTACCATCAATGTCTCAACACAACGTCACCAAAATCAAAAGAACAGATTGAGATCCCCAGCCAGCACCTTGCGCTGAACCTCCAGTGCCACTCGTTCCGGCGTCTCTGCAAAAACATGCTCCCAGCAGAACACATTGATATTCTCCGGTCCCCCTCCCAGCTCATTGACCTTGGCAGCATAGCACACCCGTTGAGCCTCAACCTCACACCAAACTGCATCCATTTTGCCATCGAGCTCTCTCTGTCTCGGTGGGGTGGGAAACGGGTGTTGGCAGTGGTCAGCAAGAAGGGATTTCGAAAGTTCGTCATGGTCAGTGGCTATAAATTTCTGGGTGTGTTGTTGGTGCTCTGGACAGGAGCTGTTCTCGTGATGAGGGAGATATTTGTGATGTCCATCTTCTCGGTAAGCAGTCGATAAATAGTCGAGATGGCTACTGTCCATGCTATTTCCGAAAATGGTGATGTATGGTCGCCCTTTGTAGTTTGGGTTGGTGGTAAGATCCTCGAGCGAAACAGGCTGTAGGGGCCACATGCTTTCCTCGAACAGTGAAGGTTCTTGACCTTTACCCTGTTGTTTTGGTGGACTAACCATGGGTAAGGCTATGTAGGCGCTGATGTGGTAGCCTGTTTCCGAAATAAGTGAGTAGTCACTCTTGCAGCACCTGAGAAAGATAACGCACCTTGGGAACAAAAGTTTCGATTGATAAGAAGTAAGGGCCAGCCCTGCAAGGTCCAAGCTCGGCGGCAGACAAGGAAAGCGGGAAAAGCTGCCACGACGCTGACGTCTCTGGGCGACTGGCGAGTCGCATCAATCAACATTCTGTGTGAATTAGCAAGTCATCTTATTTTACTGGTATCAGATAGTCTCACCGCTGTGCAGGTGGCGATAATGACAGCCTTTTAGCCCAGCTATGAATCCACGAGCAAGAAATGCGGGACATCCATTTCTGTAGATGGCAGTGTCGATCTTTAACCCTGTTGATGCGGAAGTCGGCGTAGTTCGAGTTGGTGCGGTCCCAATACGGTGCAATGAGCCGGTTTCCATATTCCATGGCCTGATCAGGAAGAAATCGAACAGTAATTCGCGAGCCCATACGAGCAAACTCCTTGTAATCTGAAAGGATTGATGATGCTGCGAGAAACAGAATACACAGTTTGGGATCTCCAACATCCCATTCCGTTGTGGAGAGGGCAGCTAAGGACGAGATTGAAGAAGGTATAAATGAACTATAAGCCATGGACACGGGAGAAGAAGCGGAGGCTGCTGTGGATGGAGCTGAAGAGTCCGAAGTAGGAGAGGTCGAGATATCCGAAGAGCCTGGAGAGGATGAAGTCGGAGAAGCCACTTCTGGGTCGATCTGCCACCCTAAAACTTCCACCACGTGGATCATATTATCGCGTTTAGCCTCTAAGCCAAACTCTTGTGGCTGGCGTTTCTCCTTTGTGAGTTTGGCGCAGATATCTTGCGCATTTCGCCGGACAGTGTGGAGTTGCGCGAGGATGGCATTTACCTCGACATCCTCCAAGAAGCCCTTTCCGGATACTTTGGCTTGTTGGCGGTAATGTTGATAGATCTCTAGGAGCATAGAGGCGCGGACATGACAGGCAGTGTCACCACCATGGGCATCGAATTTCTTGAAGCCGTCTTCGGCCAGTTCATACTCGGACACGAGAGTACCGAAGCAGCGAATGGCGTTGATAATGTCGGTGCAGTCGCGGACAATATCCTTCAGGAGCCCCGGGTATTGCTTTCGGATGTAAACAGCGCACGTGGCACCAATTGGAAGAACGGGGTAAGACATTTTTAGAGGTTTATTTTGACAAAATCGACGACAAATGGCCTATACGAAGTTGAAAACTTGAAATATCTCTTTGCAATATATATAGCATTTACTGTGCATCATACTTCTATAATTACCAGTAATATCGTTGATCGCCATATTTGATTTGTATTGTTAGTATTCTTGTTGTTATTTTTTTTTTTTTTTGGTACATCATTGCTGATCATGAATCGTTCAGCTCAGCAAGCCTTTGCATTGCTGGCACTTTGCCTTGTACATTTGGTCCATTGCTGTTAATTGTGCAACATGCCTGAGCAAAATCATAAGCAGCCTCCAGGGAAATGCTTCCGAAATATCCTGACTTGCAACAGCATGCAAGGTATAGCTCTGCTTCTATTGTCTACGTAAGCATCCTTTTGCACCCAACATACCTACCTGACAGAAGTCCAACAAACGAATTCTGGTGGTATCTTGTGTAACATGGGAGCCAGCATAGGGACTATCTTGAGTAACATGTCCCAATCATATGAGGAAAACACCAAAACTGACATTGTTGAAAGCGGCCTCTTCTCGGACTTCCCCGTGGAGAATCCCCCAATAGTGTGTAAATTCCTTATAGAAAATTTGAAAGCTAAAGCACGCAGAATCAGAAGAGTCAATCCATGACAGCGGGAATTTCCGGGATTCTCTGATCTACTGTTACAAAACTCGTCGTGGTTAATAAATGTCAACATAAGCATACCATTATGATAATTCAACATTCTTTTCAATTTAGCGTCCACACAATCTTCGTAGTCTCCCAAGTGGTTTATGTGTGAGGTGCTCTATCAAATTAGTTCACACCGTAGACAGGACCTTTGACATCATCGAACGCAGCCCTCCCGGTATGTATTGACACCTCCAAGTTCGGAACCTCTGATAGTGGAACCTCGTTCCCAAAATTCTATCAAAGTGATTAGCACTGGGACATACACTTCATAGAAAAGGTTGATGGATCTCCTTACCGTCAGGACATGCCAATACAAAGTCTTCTGAAGGAAGACATTCATGAATTCCGGGTTTAAACCCACATTCACACCCGTGATGCCAGATGCGTCCTTCAGGAAGGTGCTGTATTTCCGCACCAACCTGACCAGCTGTGGGGTTAGGGGAACTTGACCTTTCGAGAGCACACCATGCTTCTTCTGGCTTTCGCAGTTTCCGCAATCCCCGCTAAGCTGAGCACTGAAGGTACTAATTTGGCCGACATAATAGACATGATCCTCATCGACTTGGAGCACAAAGAATATGGTATACGGCTGGCCCTGCAAAGCGTAGCTATAGTATGTCAGTTTTAAACTGGGCCACTCTGGGCGTAGGCAGTGTGAGTGGCAATCCATACCGATCATACTGGACGTTGATTACATAGTCCTGGAAGTGAGTGTCTGTAATCCCTTTACCATCTCTGGATTCCATCAGTTCCTGAACGCTAGGCCGAGCGTATTTGTCGTTGATTAACTGCTGGAGCTTTTCTTTCGTCATGCCCGTGACCAACTCGGGGTACGTGTAGCCAAATTTTTCCCAGCGTCGCACGTCATTGGCAGTGAAAACTGTGCCTTTCTCGTCCATATGAAAAGGTTGCAATTCTTCAGTCGGCTTGCAGTTATCATCCGGCGTCAACCAGGCTTCCGGATTCAAAAATTGCCAGATTGCAAAGATTCGGTCGATGTTGCTATTGACTGTCAGTTTCCGTAAGCTCGCGAGCTAGGGATCAACACACTTATGATGCATCCAAAATACGGGATCAAACGAGGACACAGGTACATTTGACATAGAGCCGTTTGTTGGGACACCCTTTTCATCCTTACCTCCGCCACCCACAAATTGCTATATGTATATTAGTCGTGTCTTCCCGCGTACCCTAGGTGGTCTTACATGAATGTTGTTGTGGATCATCTCCAATGATAAATGGTCATTGGGGTTATGATCTTCACCTGGAGGACAACAAGTGGATGAAAATGGTTTGTAAGACTTGAAGTAGTTATCGCTAAGCAGACGATGGACATTAGAGGCTAGTGAGCCACTTGTTAGTTCATCGCTGTCCATCCATCTCCAATTGGGGTTCTGCAGAGCGTTGTTGACAAGGTCGAGCCTCTGGTTCCCATCGACCCATTCTTGAGTTAGCGGGTTAGCATAGCGGCTCGTGCCTTGTGTCTTGCCAAACTATAATACATGAGCCGTCAGCATCCTATTCCGCCACACGAGTCGAGATACTCACATTAAGCTCGGTCTCTTTGTCAACCTTATCAGTCACAGTATAAGTAACTTTGAGGTCTCCCATTCTCTCGTCACCCATTGGAACTGGGGTCAACTTGCCATCAATGTGCATACGGTGGGTATATTTGAACATCGGATTGGTAATGGAAAACTTTGTGCTTCCACCTAGCTCCAAAATGTCAAATTTATCTTGGGATAGAATATTAGGAAGCCCGAGTTTTTGAGTGTCTTCCTGTGGGAGCGCCCAGTCCCAGAATGGGAGACGCCATCTGTCTGCCGCCTCCCTCCAGCTCGCGCGCTGGGTTACATCCTTGATCTTGGGCAGGAGTTCGTTGATCATAATATTGTACAGACATTGCTGAGCGGAAATGGTCAGCCGAAGGAGCTCCATTCAAATGAAAGGACAAAACAGCCAGGAAGGGCAAGGAAAACAGTATCTCGTACCTCATAGAGAACCATGTAGGGCCTATGCCACACGGGAAACAAGTAGCTATTGTGGTAGCAGTATCCCTTAGCATCTGTACCTTTCATCGCGTTTCCCGGTGGCTTAGCATTATCCCATACTTGACCAGGCGAGCCGTGAATGCCTACGGTCATTAGCAATGTTATTATAGATTGGCTGTCAAACCACGTACCTGAAATTCGAAAGTACGAGAGCTGATCTTCCAATGGATCTTTCTTCTGCATTTTGTCCAGGGCATGGAGGAAGAGGGACACCTGTCGCTGATGTTCCTGGTCATGGGAGATGGACCAGCCAGACAGTTCCGGTCTCACTGGAAGAGCAGCACCGATAATTGGGTATGTCTTTGGCATTGTGAATAAGCTAGTTGCCAAATGTCCAGAGTAGTTTTGAGAAACCAAATCTTGACTTGCTGCTTCTTCAGCGGACATTGCGGCCATATTTATTTTGCCTACAGCTCCGCCACCATTGAAACGCTGCCATCATCCCTAGTACGATAAAGGTTACAGCAGCATGCATTCAATCCGAAGACTGCAAAAAGACTTGACCAGATGCCAGAGTTATTGTAACCACGTCTCCTGTGACGGGAAAACATGACGTGCACACTTGGCCAGCCGTCAAGTAAACTTTGTCGTTTCACTCTTTTCTAGCTAGTTCGACGGAGAGTGGCTCTCCTAATAGGGTTATCCTGCTTTCGGGAGGGCAATGTTGCATCGTGTAACCTAGAAGACATCTAACGGACCCGTGAGCAGGCCTATTTTCCACTTCTGAATCCATGGCACTCTGCTAGTTAAGAGTGAATAGATGATTTCATGGAGTCCAGTAAAAGACTGAGCAGGGGTTGCATTCAATAAAACAGGCTATCCCATTATGTTCTTGAGAGCACCGTCACTACCTTACTGGAATAAAACTGTAACTATAAGGCGGAGACTAGTTGTATTCATAATGACTTCAGTGAAGTCAATATCTCTTACAGTACCAAAAGACAGTTACACTTTGCAGTTAACTGTGGTTCAATCTGCGCAAAAACAATATCTCAGAACTGCTGAATACTAAATAGATCAAGTAAAGTAGCTACTAACAGACTAAAGTGCACGTGAATTAGAGCGAAATCCAACCAAAATAGTCACTCTATGCGTTTAGCTTCTTCCAAATGATAGGCTGCTGAGCCAGATTCATCCATATATCGGGTCTCTTCTGCCAAGTCTCATGCCCCTCATTCCCTTCAGACCAAGCAGGCGTCAGCTGGTAATTCTCGACAATATAGGACAAAAGTGTCTTCAAAAGAATATCCACTACATGTCTACCTAGGCACTGACGAGGACCGAATCCAAAACGCCAGAATCGGTACCGCCAGCCCATGGGACTTTTCCCCAAAAACCTTTTGGGACAATACTCATGCCTATCTGGGCCCCAGCTGGCATCTTCGATGTTGAGTGCGCATGTGTCAACCACAACTTCGGTATGAGCGGGGATGACGAAGCCTCCCACCGTACGGTTGGTCGGGAGCGACTGCGGAACAGCGAAGGAGGCCATCGGCTTGAGACGAGCAGATTCGAGAATTGAGGCCATTAGAAGGGAGGAATTGCTAGAAATATAAGCCTTCCAAGAGTCGAAGTGGCCCGAGCGCGCTTGACGGATCTCATCCCGGATTTCTTGCTGGATATCCGGGTTGGCCGCAAGGAATACTGGGTTCCACGAGAAGTTGCCCACTGTGACGTCCAAATTGACGAACATGATTTCGTCGAGGGTGTGTAAGAGCTCCGCCTCTGTCAGCTGGCCGCGCTCCAGGGCACTGTACATAGACACAATGGGAGCATCGGCCATGTTGATAGACTTGGCTCGCGTGAGAGCCTTATCGTTGAATTCTTTCCACTGCTGGTGGAAAATGTCTACACCTCGGCGCATTTTGCTACCGGGGATGAAACGCCCAATCGAAAAGCGAGCCAGACCACCAGTCATGGCACCCTTCCAGAGTTCGTCACGGCACGCTGCGATGTCCCTCAGCTGCTGCTCCATCGCCTCATCCATCCCGCCATACAAGATGTCACCTAGAACATAGAACGGGAGATACAAGAGCTCCTCTGCTGGGTCTAGAATCATGGTGCTGGTGTTCTTGAGCTTCGCCAGCTCGATTGTCTCCATCTGCCTTTGTACCCGATCCTGCATCAGACTGATATATGCTGGTGCCGTCTTCTGATGGAAAGGCTCCGCAAAAGCGACCCGGATTCGCGACCAGTCACCTTGGTTTGCCAAACCTAGGCATTTGCCCATCAACTCGCCTGTAACCCATCCGGAATTCATATCCACAGCCTTGAGATGGTCACCAGAGTCATGGAAAATGGTCTTGATCTCTTCGGGACAGCCGACGATGCTGGTAATTGGGAGGTTAGAATGAATAATTCAGTGTCCTGTGTAACTTTTAGGTTTCACTCACATCTCGGGGCTCGTGCCATTCCAGATGCGATAGATGGGCCCGTATCTGGAGCGCCATTTCACCGACATAACCTCTCCATGATAAAACTTGGCCACATTACCTTGTCCATTGGGGAAGACGTACGGGCACCCAGGGATTGAACTATGGCCGTCCTGTGATTTAACTGGATGGCGCCAGCGGAGGTAAATCTGAGGTAGAATGACTTAGCAGGACCCGTGTATGGATGGGAGTGAATGGACGTACGTCTAGGATCCATGACAATATATAGTTAGGTACAGTTCCTACTTTGACCGCACGCTGCAAGAACACCCCAACCAAGAAGACGGGGATAAAGAGAAGAAGGAACATGATCTGAGCTGTCTAGCGGGCTGGTTGCTTTGAGTCCAAATGGTCCGAATCCGGAAGCAGGAATCGATCTCAAAAAAAACGATAAATGCACGGGCTGGTTCTAATAATAATGAGCAGTGTCTAGAGTTACTACTGGGCTTAGCTATACATTCCTACCACAGGCTAACGCAAGAGGTGTGGCTTGAGCTGAGTCCCTGGCGTTCCGCATCCGACGCAGGATTCTCAAAGCCCAATGAAACCGCGTCAACATTTTCAGCTCAACCATACTTTTTTTCTTTTTTTTTGGGTCATCGATGTGAAATATTAAGTACTAGCTTGGAAGGAAGGAAGAATGAGGAAGCCATGTAGTCGTGGTTGAGAATGCGCGTCCCGCAAGGAATGCGTAGGAAGAAGGAACCTCAAGATTCAATACATACGACGAACGTTCAGGCCACGCATTCTCCTTCTCGGGCCGTTCCGTCATTAGTCCAAATTTCACAGCAACGTCGGTGCTCAATCTCATACTCAAGGCATTCGATTCATTTCTGCAATACCAGATCAAAAGGTAGCAAAGGTAGCTACGGTGCATTATTTTATTACTCAGGCCACGCATTTCTCGAAAAATAAAATTCTTATCTAGCTGGTTTATTCTAACATTTGCAACAGACGGCGAAACCCAGGTTATCAACCGGTCAGATCCAGCAAATCGGCCCAACCCCGTTCATATTCTCTCAGTTTCTCGCTCTCGTGGACAACAGAGCGTTCTGGGTGTTACAGATCACGCGTAAGGAGAGCCACATTCGCCTGTCTTCACATATTCGGCCCTATCCTCGCTGGGTACAATCGTTCCATTATTGCTGTTGCAGATGTCCTCTATTTCCTCTTCGGACTTTTCAGTGACAGCACCAAGCTGGCAGCTATAGATGGGAAATCGTTGCGGCTCGTCATGAAGCTGTGATTGGAGGTCGGCGCATTGGTGATCATTGAATGTTTTCACCCCACAGTAGGTAATATCTTCACCGTGGGAGACACTAACAACACAGGCACCGCCTTCATCGGCCGTTTGCTCGTCTGTCGTTGTTTGGGCCGCCACGATTGCTAATGGAAGGAGGAGGGCAATCTTCAAAAAATGCATATCCGCCGGAGGGAAGGTGGGTGTGGATAATAGAATGGGATTATAGCGATTAGGCTGTAGGGACCAAATTAAAAATTGTGTCCACCGGTAGTATGAGATGAGATACGACTAGTGTGCTAAGAAATAAAAATAAAAGCGTGAAATAAAAGACAGAAGGTTCCTTATATATTGTGGCATGTTGTACAAGCATAACAATGCATATTGATGTGTCCTTGCCTTCATACCAGAAAACAAATGCAGAATGAAACGAATTAGCTAAACCAGCATGACATGATGACACTATACAACCCACGTATATTTGCTACCATATTCTCAATATTATTTCCATGAGCTAGCCACTAGAAACATGTTGGTTCTCGAGTTCTCCTTGCTCCAGTTCTTTTACGGAATGTGAGATGTATGACTAGGATCGGGCTGCCATTGGGAGTTCACCTCAATCTGTACTTTATTCATTTCCTGTTTCAGAGGCTCTATGCTTTTGGTTCTGGTGGGGAATGTAATTGTGTCTGCTAGTCTTGACCGCAATAATTAATTCATTCCTGGATGCACACCTCCCATTGCTTCCTTGCCTGCTCAAACAACTGATTATCTGTGATCATTTCCCATCCAACTAAGGCCAAGGACTTTCCCACTGCAATTGCCTCTTTATGAGCCTGATCGGTGCCTGCCACAGCCGCAAATGACGGATGATGCGGGTGTGACCCATCCGGACCGGGAATTGCAAACATGGCGTGCAGCGTCGGGAGAACATAACTCACGTTGCCTATCTTACTTAGCTTATGACATTATGGTATTTCACGTAAATGGATACACCTACCGGCATCAGTTGAGCCCGACAGAACATTTTCATGGCGCTTAATGATGGTCCTCCCGTGCTTTACCATGTGTGTCTGGTAGCGTTCGCAGAGAATGTCAATTATCTTTATGTCGGCGTAGAGTTCCTTCCTATTGAGAATCATGAGCTCGAAGTTCTTGATTGAGGTGAGACATCGAGGGCATACTCGTCAATTTCCACTTCGCATCCTGCGGCCAGAGCTCCGGCTGCAATTCCGTTGCGCACCCTTGCAATTAGCTGATTAAGGCCCTTCAACGTCGGACCTCGCACCTGCCAGTATGCCTTGGTGTTTGATGGGATTATATTAGCCACCTTAGGAGTATCTAAAAACGCGCAGTGGATACGTTCGTCAGGCTGGATTTGTTGCCGCAGCATGGAGACGTTATTGTAGGACATGACCAGGGCATCCAAGGCATTTAGACCCTCCCAAGGTGTCGCTCCAGCGTGCGCACTCTTGCCGATAAAATTGCAGTGAATTTGTTTACTGGCGTTCATTGACACACCACCGCAACCGTCACTCACAACACCCGGAAAGAGCTTTCGAGGGCATGCATGGCTACGCTTCGTCAGTTTACCTGGTATAGATATCGAAGAACATAGACACATACGCCATCAGAGAGACATCAACTCCATTATAAGCGCCGGCATCAATAAGTTGGATCTTTCCTCCTCCTTTCTCCTCCGCTGGTGTCCCCAGAAGCTGTATTCGACCAGGAATATTATCCTTCTTCAGAATGGCTGACAATGCCAGAAAAGCCGCGACGCTACTCGTTGTGATCAGATTGTGACCACAGGCGTGACCGATTCCGGGTAATGCATCATATTCCGCATTGAAATTGATTAGACGGCCCCCAGAACCACTGATTGCTTCGAAGGAAGTGGCAAGTCCGTAGGCATGGCGGGTAACTTTGCATCCCTGCTCCTCCAGATAGTCACATATGACATCGTGGGCTTTGAATTCTTGATAGGCAGTTTCGGGATTAGACCAGATCTAAACAGACGTCAGCGAGTTTTCATGGACTCAATTATGATGGCAATAAATCAGTATATATATCTTACGTCTCGGTTAAGTCCTCGGAGGGAGTCATTTATAGTCTTCAGTATAGCATCTATAGATGCTCCCAATTCCTCCATGCTTCGCTGAAAAAGTGGCACAGTCAGGATGACTGTATCAGAAGTGAAAAATTCAATACCGTGCAGCAGAAATGAGATAATGCGCAGTCTTCAACCCTTAAGGAAAAGAATATATTCCCAGTATAAATCATCATATACGCTCAAAGGCTAAGTCCGCCAAATACCTGGCAAGACAATTTCTCGGAATGCATCCTGGGAAGGATTACGGGACAAGCTGAATCCCTTGCGTGCATATTAGAGATCAGCGTGCGGAGATTGCCAAAGAATGTTCCTCAGATAATATTACGGATTAGTGTGGTATCCATTCTCGTACTAGGCTTTTCTCCAAGACCTCCAATAGCTTGCTAGCTGGGCGGTTTGTTCTGTCCGGGCGCCTTGTGCATATACACGTTTTTTGCGACAACCAATGTCCAATCACCTATACCAGGGAATACAAGTTGCATCAACTTTATTTGCTTGCAAAAAGCCTGTTGAGCTATAAGATACTGACCAGACAATTGTGATGGAGGAAGCGCGCTCTGAAAAAGGCGCCAATTATCAGCTGCAAAATAACACAACCTCGAGCTGTGAGCTGAATTGGGAGAACGATTCCGAAAACCCCAGAAACTGGCCATTTTGGTATAAAGCTTACATTATGGTGACAGTGGCCTTCATTTCGACGGTGGTGTAAGTACATCTCTAACAGGTCGTGAAGACTACATCCTAATCCATCTTCTTACGCTCCTCTTATCAATCATTTGTATTTTATATAGGATTCTCAACTCCTCATCATATACACCTGGCCTACCTGGGATTGAGGCATCATTCCCAGGGACCTCCCGTACCGTGTCACTACTCGGCTTGACGACCTATCTATTTGGTCTTGCGCTGGGGAATTTGATCCTCGCCCCATTCAGTGAGATATATGGCCGACGTCCTGTCCATCTAGCATCGACAGCGTTGTTTACGGTTATGATCATACCGGTTGCATTAGCCCCAAACCTCACTGCCATAATGCTTGGTAGGTTCTTCAGCGGATTCCTTGGGAGTGCATCGTTGGCCACCGCTCCAGGCTCCGTCAATGATCTTGTTAGTGGCAAGGATAGAGCCCTAGCTATCAGCTGCTGGAGTCTGGGTACAATGAATGCGCCTGTCATTGGTAAAATATAGCTCGGACCTTTCTCCTATTCGCACGTTGTGATGCTTATATATACTAGGGCCTATCATGGGTGGTTTTGTGTTTCAATATTTAGGATGGCGATGGATTCATTGGATTGTACTCATCTGCAGCGGAGTTTCTTTTGTCGCGCTTTCCCTATCAAAGGAAACCTATGCTCCAGTTCTATTGAAAGCAAAACGAAAAAGAAATCAAATCCAGGAAGGCAACGAGCGTGATGACCAGATACATTGGTGGGCCCTCTTGCGAACAAATCTAAGCAGACCAGTGTCAATGGCAATCTTTGAACCGATATGGTAGATCCTCCTCGTTATTGTGTTTTTTAAACCTTGTCTTTTCGCGCTGATCTGACTATGTTACATCTTAGCCTCTTCTGGGATATTTACGTTGGAATATTCTATGCAGTCCTGTTTCTCTGCTTTGTTGGTTTCCCAGTTGTTTTTCAAGATATGCGCGGCTGGTCCCCAGGCATCGCCGGCCTCGGATACATCGGCATTGGGGTTGGAGTAACATTGGCCGTCTTCGCAGAGCCACTTTTTCGTATGCTCATCGCCAAACATCCACGTGACTCTGTCACTGGCCAGATCTCACCCGAAGCCTACGTGGGCCCAGTCTGCATTGGCGGTATCTTGGTTCCAATCGGTCAATTCTGGTTTGCGTGGACAGCGCGGAAATCTATCCATTGGATAGTCCCAATTCTAGGCAGTGTTCCGTTTGGGTTTGGCAATTGCCTAGTTTTCATTTATACAATGAGCTACCTAGCTGGTACTTACGGGATCTATACGGCATCTGCTGTAGCGGGTATGTCAGCTTCGAGGTACGTCTTTTCGGGTGTCTTACCTATTGCGGGGGTGAAAATGTACCATGTCCTGGGAGTAAATTGGACGGGGACGTTGCTGGGATGCTTGGAAATTTTTTTGATTCCTATTCCGTTCGTGTTCTATAGGTATGGAGAGAGGATAAGACGGCGGAGTCCTCTTATGTCGAGACTTAGTTAGGAAAGTGTCTCTTGGGAATAGCCTTGGGGCTACTATATACAAGTCATTCCACAATAGGTTCCGCGTAAACCGATGTCTCGAACAGTCTGCCATGGTCCCTGGGGCTGGATATGGACTATAAACTCGATAATTTGGGTCAATAAATACCTTGTCGTGCCTCCAGTACCAGCAACCAGTTCGAGAATCTTGGTCTCTACCAAGGTTCTGCCCTTTTTTTTTTGGACAATCTCCGTGAGATACTGTCCTAGAATAAGGGTCCCTGATCGCAAAACAGGCGCATGAATGTACACATCGCTGGTCAGCTGGTGGGTCGGGGCGTTTTTGAACAAACAAGACAACGGATCAATGTGGCCGGTCAGACAGTCTGTTAGTCAAGGCCTAGTAATATGGAGGAGCTCGTGTTTATATCTGTAAGCGGGGAGTTGGCCCATGATTGCGGTGTGCAGCGTCTCAGAGGAAGTGAAGGGAGCAGGCTTGTCAGTGGGAACCACTTGGTTACTCTTTCCTATCTCTAGTTTGATTAAGATGGAATGCGATGCCTTCAAAATGGTGTAGAGCTGTGGTTTGAGTTTCTTATGACGCTCTGCGACTAGGATTGCGTTGTCCGGCGCTCAACAAATACAATGGACAGCCCAGTGATCTGATTACCTCAACCACATACGCTGTCACTAGAGCGAACTGCTGAGGATAAACAGAGGAATAGAAGCCCAGCCAGTGAGTATCCTATGCTGCAGCATCGAAATCAGACCTGGTGTTTTTGACAATGCAGTCGTAGGCAATGGGTGCCAGGGGTTTCTGTGGCAGCTGTTTGGGACTGCCGTTGAAGTTTGGAAGAATATGCTGGAAAGCGTTGTTGAGCGAGATAAAAATTGGTTTACTTTGAAGATCTTCTACCGTCATGGCAGCGCCTAATCGTTTCTTGAATTTACTCAACAATTCTGTGGCGACGAGTGAGTCGACACCGAGGTTTGTAAACGAGAAAGAGGGACAGATCCCGTCTAGAGGAACGTTAAGAACCTCACTCGGGAGTTTTTGGATCTTCCCAATGCTCGACACATCATTCTCTACAGTATTTTTGGTGTCCATGGGTACAGACTCCTACTGAAGGCATGACTGCGGAGATGGTTGAACGTACTGGCAAGGCACACTTGGCCAATGCCTGTACGTTACCAATATTCTCCAGTTGCGCATCGGGTATTTTGACGTTGAATCTTTTCTGGGCCTCTGCGTCTAATTCAATCGTCATCAACTAGTCGATTCCAATCTCGTTTATAGTGGAAGAGAGTAATATTTCCTCAATGGGAACACCAATCAGCTCGCTGACCATAGCCTGAATACTTTAAAGACTGCAATGCCCAGAACCTACTGCTACACTCACGGACGGTACGGCTTAAGCCTGCAATTTTACAGGAGCTGTGGTTTGCATATTGTCCTCTATAGAACGTGCTGGTTCATCCGCACTGTCCATCCTGAACGGCACATTACTGTTTAACCGAGTGAGTGTAACTACGAGACCGGATGGAGATGCCTCTCAATGAGGCCCCAATGATGGTAAGCACACTACGTGATCAAGGATCAAACACCAAGATATCAGATGTGACAAGGTTCTTCGCCTGTCGCTCACAATTGGCATGAACTATCCAGGGTAGTCAATCTGCTCCCTTGATCTCCATGAAGGACTAGCTGATGGAAATGACCCCAATGGCAGTTCACACAAATCCCTCATTGGTCTTACAGTCTTATAGGATGAATTATTCGAGCTTTAGCGACAGGCCAATCCATCTCAACCATTCCCAACCTTTAAAGAAGTAAGGGACTTATCCTACTTGAACGCATGTGTGTGGGAGGACTTACGGGTTCACCGGCCATTTGTTCTCCCATTTTAACGAGTCATTCTAGAAGGAGGTGCCACCATCTGCGGTTAATATTTGCCCCCAGGCACGGTGGTGGGAATTAGTCCGTATGTGGCAAATAGACACAGATCGACATTTGGTGGCGATTCTGAGAAATGGCGACCTGAGAGATGGTTGGGGGTGAATTTGCAGCAGCGGCGGCAGATGCTGGCGAGCGTTATGGCGGCAGGCTGATTTGATCTTCGATATCTTTTTTCCTGGCTAATACTGGGTGTTTGGGTCGGGTCGCCACGTCTACCTAGGACAGATTATTGCCATCCTAGAGATAAAAAAACTAGTCCCAGCATTACTCACAAACTACGAGGTAAAATTTGAAGGAATCCAAGTCACTCATCAGGTATTAAAATCCTCTCCCAGTTCCATTTAATTAATCCGCTTAGATACAAGACGCTCAATGCTTGGTTGGCGAAGTAGTGGGGCTTAGATGTGACAATGAGTTGTCGAAATATCCAAGAACAAGCCTAGCTCACGCACTGGACACTTGCCTACAAGACCACACTACAGCTGCCAGTGTAATCGGCTGAGACAAATGTGAATCTGCAGGGCTACTCCATATTTGAAAGAGCTCCGTAGAATGCGCATATTGTAGATTTACATCACAACATGTCAGACACCAAATCAAGATATGCTGTATGCATAATAAGTAGACTGAGGAAGTAGGATACAATATATACTAATATTAGGGTTATTTATAATAGCCTTTAGACACTGGGCTTGTATAAATAGAGAATATATAAGAGGTAGCACTAGATACTTTCAACTTGTCACGGCGCTCTACTAGGATAATGGAACATCCAACTCATGGGTTCTACCTAGGTAGCTATCGACGAGAATAACCAACATAAGGAAGAAAGAAGGTGGCGCCGTATTTATCAACAAAGCAAACAACTGCATCTCACGTGATAGCCAGCCAACATGACCAGGCCGTCACACAACTCTTCCAAATATCAGACAGGACAGTGTCTCAACGCTGACTACCAGCTGACACTTATTCAGCTTTCCTCCAGTTTATTAATTTCCTCCAGTAGTTCGCATAAATAACAACCAGTCTTTATATTACCAGTCCGCATTAGTACTAGCTTCTAGATATGAATAATAAGAAATGAAGACTCACGGCTCTCACAAAACGATTTTCCAACTTCGGGCGGAAAGGTGCAACCACTGTACTCACACAGTATTACCCACGGGGAAGGGCCCCTGGCGTTTGTAGGCTGCGAGAAACTCGAAGATTGATCTGACATATTGGATTAGAAAGTAAATGTAAAGATAAATACAGCGGGCCCACGGTAATGGATTGGTCAACAAAAAACTCCCTTGATATTAATGAGAAGAAGAGAAAGAAATCGTAAGCAGAGAAAATGGCTTATTTATCATGTAGTCGCTGTTAGGCCCCGTTTTCTTTTAACCTATAGCCAGCGGACACGTTGGTCGAGCAAAAGTCAGATGAGAGAACGCCTACTTATATATTTATCCCATACTGTGGAGGCACCCTTGCTGGGCCGAGCAACTCGGTATTTTGCTTATTACTGCTGATGATTGAATATGGCGTGCTATCCCGGAGAACAAAACAGCTGTTAACGAGCATTGGCAATATATCGGAAAAGTCTAGTTAAAAACAACAAAAACATACAACAGCCGGGATTCGCTGGTGGTCACCCACCCAACTACTAACCGGCCGGCGTGTGGCTTAAGTACGGCTGAGCGGACGGGAAGCCCTGTTTTCCACACCCTATGGTCGTATGTACTTACCTTTCAGTTAAATGAGTATCAAATACTCTCTGAGTGAGTGAGTTAGAGCGACCAGAGGTGAGCCTGGGTGAGTGCGCTATAGAGGGTGAGCTATCACCCAACGTCACGCCGCGCAATCTCAATCCTTTGAAATCCTTCCAATCTCATGGCATGCTACAGCCACTGCTCATTGGCTGTCCTTTTCCAGCTTCAAAACACTGATTTATCTTGGCATCTGCACATAGCCACAATCAAATCTTCCCTTGACAAGTGATCAGTGATAGTATTGGTAACTTCAGATCCAGATTCGGATTTATTCATACCCGTCCCAGGCAATCTTAGTACATGGCTAAGCGGGAACTGTTCCGCCGCCTGTAAGCAGTTGGGAGTTATTGATACCTATTTACATCTATGGTGTGCTTGAGCTGAGGGCCCAGCTCCGCTCGAGTCGTGAGAATCGAGGGCCCTCGGGCCCTCTCTGGCTTGAATGTCTCCTAGATTTGACAGCAGCAGTATAGAGATGGCATTCAGAAAAACTCGATGAGACCCGCATGTACTAGAATAGGTAGATAACTTTCTTGACCCTCAGGCTATGTTGTAAGCTCACCGGTGACTCCATGGCAGATATTGTCGATACAATGGTGTTGACCCGGTAGAGCACTGGCATTGGATCTCAGGCTCAGATGAGACAGTCCATTTCCTGTATGCATTTCTCAGCTGGCAGTTCAATATTCGTCGCGGCAAGAATGGCTGGCACTGCCCAGGCATTGGGTACAAGAGCTCGCTTTGAGTCATTCTGGAAGTGGTGACATCTTGTTCTGAAACAAGAGACGGCGCCAGGACTGAGCAAAGATATAATCATCAAGGTGCAGGATGTGAGTATATAATTCCCTTCTGCTCTGGCCGAAGAAGGAATAGCTGCAGATGAATGTGTAGGTCATCACCATTGTCACCAAAGAGAAAGGCCAAGAGCTCGACCAGCGGCCAAAGGAGAACATATATATTGAAGATCTTGTCAAATTTGCACGCGTTCTCCTGACAACTACCAAGATGACATTCGACTACAGCTGGCAGTGCATTCAGATCCTTTTATTCTGCCAGCTCGCAGCCATTACTGCAAGCCATCCAGGGGCGCTCCTCCACCTTCACTATCAGGACATAGCGCTCACCATGATCCAAGATCCACCAGATGGGCGCCCCTGATTATTCAATTTCTTGAAGCTGAAATTCACGAAGAGCCTTCTTGGGAAGAAGGCTGTGTAGGTGTTCTTATTCTCATAGCCCTTTGAGAGCCGCCGAGCCGGTCGGCTGACGGAATTGGAAAGGAATGAATTCAAGATTTCAGAGATCATCTTTGAACCAACTCTGGTCCTCAGCCCGCATGTATGTTTGCTGAGCATGCTCTTTCATATCAAAGGCTTCAAGAAGATTTCTACAACTGGGCCAGTAACGGACTGTCTAGAGAAGCTTTACAGCCTTGGGGTACTAAACGGCAGAGTTAGTCCCATATGCATCAGGGAAAATGACCTCAACATTGTGGCTTTCAAATATCCTAGGAAGATACATGTTACTGTCGTTCCGTGCAGACTCGAGCGTCTTCCTCATCCAGTAGCACTCGTGCTGCATTCAACTCGCAATCCAGGACGCATGCCCAGCTTACCGTGTAGGCATCATAATCGAGTTTCCTCGGGGCCAATTTTTTCTGGGATGTTGTTCAAGAATTCTGTCGCTGACATCTGGATTAGGGAAGCTAAAAAATCTTTCAAAATAGGTGGACAGATCTGCATGTCGCTTGTAATCGAGACTGTGCAGCCTTCTAGCCACTTTCCTCACGGCCTCGTTGGGCTGATCAACCTTATTCGAATGTGTTCCGTACTCGGGTTTCCGGTGCATCAAACCTTTTCCCTGTGGCCCACCGTGCTTCAACAGCCAGGCGTAAGTAAAAATGACCTCATCACATGGAACATCGTTTTTGTGTTGCTCATTGAGTTCCTTTTTACCAGGGCCCTTTGTCTTGGCCTGTCCAAGCGCCGTTTTGATATTACCTGACACACGGTCCTCTATCGATCCGTCGGCATTAGGGTTCTTCATGTTATCCTTAACCGCGGTTTTCTCATCATAGATGAACGAAGCCCCGGACTTACTCTTCATCGACGACGCAAAGAATATCTGATTAGTGACCTGTAGGGCAGTCATGATTGATGGTCGCTTGTCCTGACCAAGCTTCCGGTTATCCTAGTCCTTGCGCATTATTATTATTTATTGTCATTTAAATGATGTTTATTGTCCATATCGAGCCCTAAATCTACCAGCAGCTAAACTGCGGCCTCTTGCCTATATGAGTTCTTTGGGCAAATTTCCTTCTGTAATCTCTCTGATCCTTTTCCTCGCCCTAAGCTGCCTGTGTGCGCAGGGCTTTTAAATCTCGAGAGAGTGCTCTTCTTGCGTTTTCGGAGCTGGTTCGGTGTAGTCTAGACTGACTGTCAGCATAGGCTACCCTCCTTGCTACCCTTCTCCTCTCCTACTTGCCGCCTCCAATGCTTCCAGTCCCGATTCCTCGTCTTCCTGGGCTTTACACCGCCTGCTGTAGATATTCCTGGTAGCACTGGGCTCGTTTAAAAGTCGTCTTTGTGGGTGCTCCTTTGCAGCAGTGGGTCTGATGACCCATCCGTCTCCAGATCCTGGTAGAGCTTGCTTCGTTGGTGTTGCCATTGCCGACATTCAAAGTGAAGATTATGTACTGTCTCCCTTGGCAACCTGCATCCTTGACAAGTTGCATCTCCACAGGCCTGAATCCGGTGTAGATATGTCCCAACGGCTGCATGCCTTGGTTTCAGTTGAAAATAAAGGTTGCCAGGTGCTTGGACTCATTGATAAAAAGCAACAAGCAAGGAATCTGATAAGAAGTGCATGCCCTACCACTAGTAAATTCATACTACAAAAAACCTGCACAAAAACCCGTTTCATTAGCCCTTCCCTCCGGCTTTATTTCCATAATACTTGTAGTTATTTCCCACCCTGCCTCGTCATCACTATTTAATATCCAAATATCGATGGCTTATGCATGAATATGAAGCATAAAAATCTACTTACAGAATTAAACATGAACATGAGGTGTATACAATCCGGGCATGCCTCATATGAGCTTCACATGACCTGTAGTACTTCCATTTCACAATACGTAGTAATTCAGTATCTTGATGGTTATAGGGAAATACCAATTTACCGACTAACCAAGGCATTAGTCAGGCCTCGTTTCATTCAATTCAACCGTGGACTGGCTTGTATAACAAAGACACGATAGAAAAAGTTACCCTCTGAGCTCACGCTTTGGAAAACCCCAGAAAACCCTGGTTGAGTACGGCATCACATTTCTGTCGATAAGTTGGCAGTCCGCCGATGTAGTTGAGGGCTTGAACTGGCTTGCCGGGGATATTAGCCCCCATATACCATGATTTAGCCTGGGGCAAAAGACTCGCGTTGGTCAACGCATTGACCTCATCGTTCCAAGCGCTCTCGGCCTCCTTGGTGGCGGTGATGGAGTCCAACTTCTCCTTCTCCATTTTGGCAATCATGGACACCATCCAGTTTCCTTGCAGCTCGATGATCGAATGTCCATTGGCGAAGGCCGTGGGAGCCTGCAGGCTATACGGGAGGAACATATTGGGAAATCCGCTGATAGCCATGCCCAGGTACGTGGATAAGCTATCCTTCCATCGCTCTGCGAGACCCACCCCGTCGACATCTTCTAGCCCCAGGCGCCTCAGGCCTCCAGTCATGGCATCAAACCCCGTGGCTATGGCAATAATATCCACCTCGTGGCATTTTCCATCAGCGGTCACGATGCCTTCGGGTCGCACTTGGATCACCGGATGGCGTTTGGTGTCTACAATGTGTACGTGGGATTGGCTGCACAGCTCGTAGAAGTTATGTTCTAGCGACGGACGCTTCGCTCCAAATGGGTGCGGCGGTTCCAATGGTGCTAGCAGGTCTTGTTTGACGGGATCGCTGATTCGAGCGCGCGTCTTCCGGGCCCAGAAATCGTATGCCGCACGATTAGCCGCGGCGTCAAGCAGCAGATCCTGATAATTGTGGAACCAGAACTTGAACCCACCATCTGCGTAAAGTTTTTCATAGAAGGCCTCGCGCTGCTCCGGCGTGTCATCGAACGTGTTCCGCGGAGTTGGCTCGTAATCCAGTCCTGCAAAGGTGGCAGCGCAGCGCGTGAACAAGTCATCATAACCAGGTTTTTCGATTGCCTGCTTGACCTCGCTCAATTGACGCTGACGCATCGGCAGACACAGGTTCGGCGTTCGCTGGAAGAGAAAGGTCTCGGCTGCCTCCTTGGCCCATTCCTGGGTGATCTGAATGCCGGTGGACCCCGTGCCAATAACAGCCACCTTCTTGCCCGTCACGTCGATTCCGTCCTTGGGCCAGTGGGCGGAATGGTGAATGGTGCCCTTGAACGAATCCAACCCAGGCCAGTCAGGCATGTATGAATTTGAGGCGAATCCTATGGCCACAATCAGATACTTGGCGTGGGCGATTTTCCCATCACGAGTCTGCACCATCCACCTGCTCGGCTCGGGGTCGAAGCGCGCCGAGTTGACTTCTGAGTGGAAGAGACAATCCTTGCGAATGTCTAGCACGCGGTCAATGTGATCGAAGTAGGACTTTAACTCCTTCTGCTCCGGGTACTTCTCTTTCCAGGTCCAGTCCTGCCACACTTTCGGCAGCGAGTAGGCATACATAGGAGCTGGGCAGTCCACTCGCGCTCCCGGGTAGCGGTTGGCATGCCAGGTGCCACCGATATCCGATCCTGATTCGAATATCTTGACCTTCATATGGAGCACATCACGAAGTTTGTGCAGGAGGTAGACGCCAGAGAACCCGCCACCGATGACTAGCGCATCTAGTTGCAACGGCGCGTTGGGATTTTCGTCTCCATTGCTCACAGAGAGGCCAATAGCCATGATGGATTGTGTTGAAGTTTGGAGATGGAATAGCGGGATGGTAATTCTAATTCGTTGTGACTTGAACTAAACATGAAATGAAAGAGCAGGAGGTTATGAAATGGACTACAATGCTCTCGGAATCCGCATCTTTTTATATGAAGCGTGGTTCTGGGAACCCCAGTGACATCTCATGTCATGATATTATTCAGAAAACAGAGTGTGGTAGTGGGGGATATCTGGTGGCGCATCATCCCCTTTGCAATGCGAGTCGCACCCGGGTTCCGAGGCTATACAAGCCGAATACGAGAAGATAATTAGGTTAACTCGCACCTTCAGCACCCAATACTCCCAAGCTGCATCTGATCGGCAAATGAAGCTTTGCCTCTTTTTACAGACGCTGTGACCTCTCGGGGTGTACTTCGCTACGGATGAATTGTGTCATGGAAGTTTCGATTCTTACCAGAAGATTACGCCGTATAGGAGCAAGATATACATAGGATACAGTATGATAGAATTAGAAGGAAGTACAGCGCACATTTTTTTTTAGATCTCCTTTGCGTACGACTTCAGTATAACAGGTGAAGGATATTCTAAGCCATCTGTGAAATCATCCATTGAGTTCCCGCAATCAGGTCACTGATAAACTCCTTGCTGACCTCGAGGCCGAAGAAGATCCAGAAGTAATGTGCCAACCCTGGATACTGCTGCAATTTGGTGCGAACACTGGAATGGAGTCAGAGATGACTTGAAACAAACAATTAGACGCAGATAGCGTACATACCCTGCTTTTGCAAGCGCCATTTCTATAATCCCGCCATCGTCACGCAGGGAATCCGCACCACAGGTACAGATATACGTGGGTGGAAAGCTCTTATGATGGCGAGACAATTCCCGTGAAGATGTTAGAGTCGTTTTGATCCGTATCGACAGCCGCTATAATAGTAACAGTAAGCATCACCACCATTATCACCCGACGAACAAAACAAAACCCATTGTAGAATGTTTCCATTGTGGCCTTGTCAATCATGGAAACATTCGCGGCGTTCTCATTGTACGACCGGTAAACCTCCTGTACTCGCTTGGCACGGTACTCCAGTGCAGGGCCACGGGGGTTATGGCCACAACGCCTTTGGTATATTTGGGGCCTTCAGGCTGTTGAGCAAAATGGTTGGCTACGGAGAACGCCAGCCCTCCGCCAACACTACCACCGATAGAGAAGAACTTGGCCAGATCGCTGCCGAACTGAGATGCATTGCACCACACTTGCTCCGGGAACCAGATATAACCAGATGGACGCTCTCTCAGGACCAGAAGATGTCATTTACCCAGCGATATACCGCTAGGGTATCCTCCAGCATACTCGGAATTGTACTGGGGTCCTAACCGATAGTCCTTGAGACAGAGACCGTCGGATCCAGACAGACAGGGCACTTGGAGAGGCACTGGTTAGTCAACTGGCTACGGGAAGGGGGAGGGGTTCACGGTGACGCATACAGCATGAACCACAAACACCTGCCACCCATTTGATGCCAACTCTGTCGCCAAGCTTGATATCGAATTCTCGCAGCCATGTCCCAGCTGGGCCACCTACCTGGCCGGCATGGATTGGATATGAAAGAACGTTCCACTGATCGTCAGTGGATTAGCATATGCGAGACCCCGGATGTTGGGTGAAATCAAAGACTCACCGAGTTGGTCATGATACCCAAGTTTGAATGGCATACACCCGTCTGGGTTCTAAAGCGGGCCGGTAAATACATGATCGAACCCATCCAAATAGATGAGAGAGAAAACACTCACAAGTCGACGAGAACCCCTCCAAATACGGGCTTTGGTGTATCAACCATCTTTATCTTTATGGAGGCATTACCCGGATTGTCGTAGACAGCCGCCTTGTGTTGACGAGGGATTTCAGTGGAGGGAGTTGTGGTAGTCATTGTGTGGTTTAGTCGATCTCGAGGACAAAATAATAGCAATTGGGTCTGGCATAGATGATATACTACTATCATGGCATTCGAATATAGATGTCTTGCTTGTCTGTCCGGGCTACGATTTGTATTTATACTGAGACTCTAATGCAACCCTCTTTGGTTATAGTAGTGTTAGTACTGCTTGGTGTGAGTATTATAGAGATCCTTGGGATGTATTGCCTCTCCTGGACCGACAATAGCAAGACGACCGGTCACTGTGCGACTCGCACAGCTGCCGGCGTGCCGATCCCGAGGCCGGAAAACGCGGGGCGAAACGCGGGGAAAACGCCGGAGGTAGGGACGCTCTTATCAGTACCACAGGTCACTCACAACATTCAACATTCATGCATCTCCTAGGAATATATTGACAACACGACCTGCAGAGAAAACATCGGGTACAATGGAAGTGCAAAATCCCTCCCTCGCAATGACCACACAAGCCGCATCAGTCAAGCCATGGTCGTCTGGCCGGGTGTTGACCACGTCGCAGAGGGAAGCCAAGCGCCGTAAAGACCGCATCACAAAGCGGGTACGAGCAGAGAGGCAGAATCATTCTCTCGAATACCTCCACAGCCAAATCGCCAATCTTCAAAATTTTGTTCAAACGCACATAGGTACCCCCATGAGCGTTCACTGTCATCATCCTGAGAGGGCCGTTCTAACATACTCCCATCATGCCAGCGTCCTGCCACGTTTCCTTTCCATCGGGTGACCTGCCGGTAGAAGACACATTACATCTTCCTGGTCCAGTGCAGTGCTTCCAGGATAGCGAATCGGCGATGGTGGCTCCCGCGCCACCGTCCTTGGGGAGACTCTCAGTCCCACCTGTGGACAAGCTGAGCCATGAGTACTCTCAGACCCCGCCATATTTGGATGATATCAAGAGCACTACTAGTATTCTAGAATTTGCCAACGACCTCTTCCACAAAGCCTGCGAGCTCAATGCTCACAAAGTCAGTTGGAATGACCAGCTCAACCAAGACGCGATCATTCGCGGTGTTCTCGAAGGTTGGCATATACTGCAAGGCCAAACACACTCTTGCCCACTGTGGAAGCTGCTGGAACAGATTGACAAGAGGGTATTTATCCAAGGTGGTGTTTTGACGCGTATTTCAATGTTACGCATGATCCATCGGATGTACCAAGTACGTCCTTGCTGTGGCTTACCATGATGGTGTCCTGGTGTGGTCCTTGCTGACATCAATCCCAGGCATTTCTTCATGTCGACGGTTTTAAAATGCTCCCAGCGTGGTACCGTCCCAGGTACGTGTGTTTATGCTGATCCCAGGGTCTATACGTGAAGCAATCTGACAGTAATTTTTTCTTTTTCTTTTTTTTTAAAAAAAGGCCTACCCAACTTAAATTTCCCCATCATATTACAGCTGACTACTTTGCCTGGTATTTAGTCATAGTCTTTTATGTGTGAATCCAGACCTCAGGAATTAATGTTTTCCACATCTGTTAGGCCCGGCTTCCGTGAACGCCTTGTGATCTCTAACTGCGAGATACTGACTGATCAATTCTTCAAATACTTCGCCTCGTGCTTCCGCTTGTGCTGGCCCTATTCGATCGGCGATGCCTACAGGGTTGACCCGGTCAGCAAACTATACTCATTTTCAGACACATTTGAGAAACATGTTTGGGATATTCGCATGTGGACCATGAGCCGCGAGTTTTTTGAGATTTTCCCTGATTTGCAGGATGATATGGCGCCAGAGACACCCATTGTGAACGCTCCTTTAGCTCCTCCTCTGAATGAAGACGCAGTGGCTATGACCACTCCTAATATTTTATGCACTCTGACACATTAGGCGAATGCTCAGTGTGCGGGATATGTTGCGATATTTTGTTTCTTGGAAAGCCGTCTGTTGTATATTAGGGGGTTTTTCCTTTTTTACTTCCAGCCATTGCTAGCATTGGTTGATTATGGGCGTTTTGGCGTGAGATATCTGTATTGTGACGGTCTGGTCACGTTGGCTGGCTATCACGTGAGATGCAGCTGTTTACTTTGTTGATAAATACGGCGTTACCTCCTTTCTTCCTTCCTCATGTTGATTATTCTCGTCGATAGCTACCTAGGTAGAACCCATGAGTTGGATGTTCCATTATCCTAGTAGAGCGCCGTGACATTTACAGACAATCTGGCGTCCACGATTCAGATCAGGAAAAGAATCATTGGGAATATAAAACAAATAGGCGAGGAGAATTAGAAACGCATAAACAACGTACACATTGGCCACACCAATCGGAATCTGTAGGCCCATCACTGTCACGGGCTCGGAATTGTAGATAATAACGAACTGAATTCCTATCTAAGCTATTGCAGCCATCGATGAGAATATCGAATCCGAAGAAAAGAAAAGAAGAGGAAAGCCTATTTACACGAAGAAAACTTATATGGTTGTGTGTGGCCTCGCTAAGAAGAATTATGATACGTACGACAGAGTTATGGCCTATCGTTTATGCGCGAGCTAAATGGTTTCTCTTTCTTGAAAGATCACTAAGAATACGAGCACGCCCAGATCATTGAAAACTTTACAAGCTACATAGTCTGCTCTTATGTTATCTTGCTCACTTTTAAATTTAGAACGTAGGAGGGCGATATGGTTGATTATTGACTCCAGAGCATTTTTGAGGACTGTGGACCAGCCAACTAGGAATTATGTATATGCCACTCGATCGTCTTCCGCAATCCATCTTGCAGTTGAACAACTGGCGCCCAGCCCAGCCTCAATTTAGCTAATGTAATATCTGGCCGCCGGACCCTGACATCGTCAACAGGCAGCGGATGATAGGTGATTGATACTCTACGCTGACCCGACATCTGGGAGACAAGCTCTGCCGTCATATCCGCCACTTCCTGGATGGTGATTTCGGCATCATTGCCGATATTAACAGGTCCATCGCCGTAATCGCTGTTCATAAGCATATACAGTCCTTCAACGCAATCCGAGACATATTGAAACGAGCGAGTTGCCGCACCATCGCCGGTAATCCTTAGGGCTTGACCTGCTAGCGCAGAAGATATGAAACTGGATATCACCCGGCCATCATCGGCTCTCATACGTGGCCCATAAGCGTTGAAGATGCGAGCGATCCTAATGTCCACTTGGGAATGCTCGCGATATGCGTAGCATAGAGCTTCTGCGGCGCGCTTTCCTTCGTCGTAACATGCGCGTGGACCAAACGGGTTGACATTTCCCCAGTAGCTCTCGGACTGAGGATGTACTTGAGGATCGCCATATACTTCTATATATGCCACATTGCATTAGGCCAATATAGTTCGCAATAAGGGTTATGCTATCACCTACCAGATGTGCTTGTATGTAGAATCCGAATACTTCTGGCCTTGGCTAGTTCCAGGAGATTGTCGGTGCCCAGAAAGCAAGTTTTCAAAGTTGATAATGGATCTTTTTGGTATTGTATCGGACTTGCCGGACATGCGAGGTTGTAGATTTGGTCGATTTTATCAAGAAATTCCAAGGGAAACTGGATATTATGGCTAATAATTATTGTTAGTCCTGTAGTCTCCTGCCCCCTGAGCTGCTTAGTACGTACTTGACCAGTGAGAACCTGGGGTGCTTCTCGAGGTGTTGTAAATTTTTGGGGGAGCCAGTTTGAAAGCAGTCCACTCCTATCACATGATAACCCTTCTCGAGAAGAAAATCGATTAGGTTTGATCCCAAGAATCCGGCACCCTAATCAACGATAAGTGATGAGCAGCTCCAGCCTGCAAACTTTAGGGAATTGAGGCTTACCCCAGTGACGAGGATGTTCTTAGAGCTGCGGATATCATTCATACTGCCGGAGTTCTAATGTAAATCAGGAGAAGAAAGAAATAGATGAACCTGGGACGATCGTATGTGATTTCGGCTCTCGCTAGTGTTGTAAAATGCGATTGGCAAACTGGTATAACTGCACACCATGTTTCCCCGCTTGAGATCCATTCTGAGCCGCAGTGGCTGGCTGAGCTGAATAGTGGGTATTTTGAGTTATGCTCCCACCACCATCGCCTATCAATTTCATGGCCATTTTCAGTTCAATTGCTCTGTCGCCGCCCCACCATTGCGTTCAACAATGCCCCCCCCCGCGGCGGCCGCACAAAACACGTCAGTGGGAAACCCCAGAGTCACAAAGCCCACGCGCGTCCCAACACAGACACTCACAATGATTCCAAATAATGTTCCTCCAGTCGCAGGGAAAGAACTCGAATATATTGCTCAACTCGTGAATGGAGGCACCCTCAGCGACGGCGGTGGCCGTTTCAGCCAACAGTGTCAATCATGGCTCGAAGAACGACTTGGCTGCCCGAGAGCTTTCCTGACACCATCATGCACTGCGGCTCTCGAACTCGCCGCACTGGTCCTTGAGATTCAGCCAGGTGACGAGGTTATTGTCCCGAGCTACACATATATCTCCACAGCAAATGCCTTCCTTCTACGTGGTGCCTCGCTCGTGTATGTGGATGTTGAGCCTGAAACGATGAATATTGATGCAAGCAAAGTCCGCGAGGCAATCTCACCGAAGACACGCGCCGTTGTTCCGGTACACTATGCTGGCATACCGTGTGATATGGAGGCCATCATGGAGGCCATCGGCGATCGCAAAGATATCTATGTCGTCGAAGATGCAGCGCAAGGACTCTTTTCTTCCTACAAGGATGGGAGGGCACTCGGCAGCATTGGGCACATAGGATGTATCAGCTTCCACGCGACCAAGAACGTCACGTCCGGCGGAGCAGGAGGGGCGATCATCATCAACGACCGGAAATTCATTGAGCGCACCGAAACGATTCGAGACAAAGGGACCAACCGACCCCAGTTTCTAAGGGGTGAAACGGACCATTATATATGGCAGCGAGCGGGAGCCAGTCATGTCCTAAGTGAGATGCAGGCTGCCTACCTCTGGGCCCAATTAGAGGCTGCAGATCAGATTCAAGCTCAGCGGCTCAAGCTGTGGGAGTTCTATCGGCAGAATCTGGCCGGGCTACGGACAAAGGGAATTGGGATCCCGTTGGAGTGCACTCGGGGCCAGCATAATGCGCATATTTTCTTCATCAAATTGCGGGACGAAAAAGAACGACGCCAGTTCACTCTCGCGATGCGAGATAAGGGGATTTCCGTTCTGGCTCATTATGGTCCCTTACATCGCACTCCTCCCGGTCTCCAGGGCCGGCATGTCCTGCACCCACAGGATTATGCATCTCAGGAAAGTACACGACTTGTCCGTCTGCCGCTATATTATGCTATGACGATAGACGAAGCAAAATATGTTGTTGATCAGGTCCAAAATTTTTTTGAGTAAAATTGCCAGGAAAATCGCCTTCATATCGTACTAGAGGTGTATCTGAGGACTTCGTTATCAGAAAGTAGCTTCCTAGAAATATAGCCTAAGCAATGTAATTTCTTCACGCAGTCAATTTCCTCTGTTATTACCTAGGCAGGTAGGATTTTAGCTCATCAAAATAGCCCCGCATTTCAGATCTTCGAGTTCTTCAGCTGCTGGACACCTTCAGTTCAACGAGTCATTCCTTCCACAGCGTAGTTACAACATACCAAGCGTTTCAACTTCAACAATCCGGACCCTACTGTTTAAGCCATGGTTTCTGCTGTCGTGTTTGCGTACCATAATGTGGGCGTTCGATGTTTGTCGGTTCTCCTGGCACACGGCATCCAAGTGAAGCTCGTTGTCACTCATTCAGACGACCAGGATGAAAATATCTGGTTTGATAGTGTGGCCAGTTTGGCCACATTACATGGAATCCCCGTCGTCTGCCCTAAAAGTCCGAACACGGAAAACCTTCTTTCGCAACTACAGCTACTCAAACCCGATTTTATTTTCTCCTTTTATTACCGCTCGATTCTCAGTGAAGAGGTGCTCAACACTGCATCCCGCGGACGTTACAACATGCACGGCTCTCTCCTGCCCAAATATCGCGGTCGCGTCCCCGTCAACTGGGCAGTTCTGCATGGTGAGACCCAGTCGGGAGCAACTCTCCATGAGATGGTCCAGAAACCCGATGCTGGAGCCATTGTGGGCCAGATGGCAGTGCCAATTCTTCCAAATGACACAGCCGCCGATGTCTTCTCCAAAGTGCTCGTCGCCGCCGAAATTGTCTTGGAAGAGACTTTGCCTGCGATAGTCGATGGGACTGTAGCACGGCAGACAATGGATATTACCCAGGGCTCTTACTTTGGGGGTCGCAAGCCCCAGGATGGTGTGATTGATTGGAAAACGCTGGGTGCGAGGCAGATTCACAACCTCGTGCGAGCGGTTTCACATCCTTACCCGGGGGCTTTCACTGATACCTCGAAAGGGAGGCTGGTTATCTGGCGTACAATACTTGCTGAAGATAGCAAAGAAAGTCACATATTTCCTGCAGAGCCCTGTCTTTGGCGAGAAGACAGCCAGGTGTTTGCGACTGCCTGTGATGGAGGGATCTTGCGCATCATTTCGGCAGAATTGGGGGGACGTATATTGGACCCTGCAGATTTGCCGGATATTGTTTAATTCCTTATTCCAAATTTGCTAGCCAAATCCGTTCAGCCTACGCATTTGACAATTGAAGTGAATGGGAGATGCATTTAATCCCACTGGATCTAACACGGCGGACGAGATGTCCCACATCCAGATGTCGGTCTGGCTGCCAGAATGCAATACTTCACATAGTAGATTCATGAGCAAAATTTGAATATAGTGATCGGTAGTGCACACTCATTATCATATCTAATGTAAACAATGGTTCTAATAGCATAAATAGGGAGAGCTATCCATGTCTTATGGTTTACATACTGCCTGGATTCTGCCACTTGTACCTATTGTTGAACAATGCCGATCACTTCCATATTCAGCGTCGATACTGACTTACCTGTAATAAATAATAGCATTCAGCCCCAGTGGGGTGGACCTGCTTCACAACCCCGCTACCTGACTTGATACCTTTATTTTTTGCGCTCATAAAGATAGTATTAGTCTGTTCAACGCCTCTTTTTCCCTATAAAAACAGACCGTTCTCCCCAGCCAAGCTCTAAAACTCCGTGGCCGTCACCATGAACGTACCCAACACAGAGAACCAGAACAAAATCCTTGTCACCGGAGGCACTGGACTTGTGGGTAGTGCTATTCAATGGGCTATACGCAATGTTCCAGGTACTTTTGGGAAGAAACAAAATGAGGAGTGGGTGTTTCTCAGCAGCGCAGATGCTGATCTAAGGTCAGGGCGACACCAACTTCAGGGAACCTCCAATCTGACCAGTTTAGGAACTATGACGAGACAAAATCAATTTTTGACAAACATAAGCCAGATTATGTCATTCATCTTTCCGCTCGCGTGGGTGGTGTTTTTGAGAATACATCACGAATGGCTGATTTTGTGCGCGATAATCTGTATATGGACCAGAATGTGTTGCGTGTTTGCCACGAATTGGGTGTAAGCTTTGATTTGGCTATGTGATGGTAACCTACTAAGTCGATTTATTACAGGTTGGAAAGGTGGTTTCTTGTCTCTCAACCTGCATCTTTCCTGACCGAACAACTTATCCGATTAGTGAAAGGATATTGCATGATGGACCCCCGCATCCATCAAACTATGGATATGCCTATGCAAAACGCATGCTGGACATCTCCAGTCGAGCATATCGGCAACAGTACGGCTGCAATTTCACATGTGTCATCCCTACGAACCTCTACGGACCCAATGACAACTTCAGTGAAGGCTGCCACTTCATTCCCGGGGTCATTAAACGAGTGGCTCAGGCCAAGCAGAGCAAGGCCTCGGTGATGGTGGTTCCAGGAAGTGGACGAGCCCTGCGCCAATTTCTTTACTCCCGAGACCTGGCCCGAGTCTTGATATGGGCACTTCGCAATTATGATGAAGCAGAACCCTTCATTATTTCTGTGGATCCTGATCAGGAGGTGTCGATCAAAGATGCCGTGGAAATGGTATCGGAGTACAGCGGATTCGAAGGCGTTATACAGTGGGATACAAGCGCAACAGATGGTCAGCTGAGAAAAACTGCAGACAACGCTAGAATGCGAGCTCTTCTTGAAAACTTCGAGTTTACAACCCTGGAGCAAGGTATGAATTTCCCTATTCCTGCCAAGCTAGTGCACCTACTGAAGAACATATATAGGATTGAAAGAGACCCTAGCCTGGTACAGTGCGAACCAAGGACACATCCGTGGAATGGACGCTCGAAAAGGTGGCCAAACGCCAAGAGGGTTGCTATAAGCATTTTTTCCATGGTCGGGTAGGATGTATCATGTTAAATAATACATCACAACTATAGCTTGCTCTCCATCCAGAATCTCGTGGGTTTCTCATGAATCAATGCTATGTCAGCCTCCACCATCTCCTTTACCAATTCCTTGAACGAAATTTCTGGTTTCCAATCAAGACTTGTAGCAGCTTTCTGCGCAGAGCCACGCAAATAAGAAACCTCTGCTGGTCGGTAGAGATCAGGGTCTACACGAACTCGAACCTGTCCAGTACGAGCATCGACACCAACCTCGTCAATTCCACTCCCACTCCATCTATACCCCGCAGATTAGCCCTGATATTTTTTTTTTTTTTTTTTTTTTTTTTTTTTTTTTTTTTGCTTTGGGCTATATATACTTACTCCAGCCGAATCCCCACAATTTGAAATGCAGTTACCACAAAGTCTCTGACTGATCGTGTCTTGCCAGTTGCTAGAACATAGTCGTCGGGCGCATCCTGCTTCATCATGCTGTAGGCACCTTGCATGTAGTCCCGGGCATGGCCCCAGTCTCGCCGCGCGTTCAAATTCCCAAGCATAATACAACTTCTCAAACCCAGATGAATCTGAGCTATAGCAAAGGTAATTTTTCGGGTCACGAAGCCAAGACCTGTTGAGATAGCGAGTTAGTTTGATTATTTGAACCCGATCTTTTGGGGACTCAAACCTCTCCTGGGAGATTCATGGTTGAATAAGATTCCATTCACAGCAAAGAGGCCGTGAGTGATTCGAGCGCTTGAGGTAATCCAGTAGGAAAAGGCTTTGGCCGCCGCGTAGGGAGATACAGGGCAAAGAGGAGTTGACTCATCTTGATAATCTTTCACTGTTTGGCCAAAAGTCTCAGATGAACATGCCTTTGGTGATTAGCATTGCAAATAAACCCAATAAGTTATGATGCAGCTCACATTATAAAACTTGGTTTTTTTTTCCAAGCCCAAGGTTAGGATTGTCTGTATCAGTCGAAGTGTCCCCAGTGCATTGACATCGCATGTATAGAGCTGAAGTTTAAAAGAAGTTCCCACATGGCTCTGAGCTGCGAGATGGTATACTTCATCAAAGCTATGTTCCCTGAAAAGACTTAAGAGGAAGTATGGGTCCATGATATCTCCGGAATGCAATACAAGCTTGTTTTCTAGAATTCCACATTAATGCTGAGTAGCTGAAGCTGAGGAGGTCCTGCCCTCCAAAAAGACCAGACGTACGATTTTTCTCTGCTGCAGCCAGTACATGGGATACAGCTACGGTAGTGTAGTCACTGGTTGTGCGATTTCGAATTATCCCATGGACTGTATACCCATTCTGGAGAAGAATCTCACAGAGATAGGAGCCATCTTGGCCACCAATACCTAGGTATTATAAGCCTAATCTGTTTTGAGTCGCGCAAGAAACAATTTTATGACCACAGACCTGTTACTAGTGCTTTTCGTTTATCCATTATATCCATAGCCTATTCTGAGTAGAATCTGGACGAGCGCGTTGGGAGGATATCAGGACAAATGCGTCTGAAATTAAAAGAGGAAAAAAAATTGTTTGAGCTCTGAGGCAGATATCCCACGCATTTTGAAATACATTAAGTTAAGTATGTACTAAGCCTAGAGTGTCACTCGGGGCGGGGTGGGGCGGGCTCTGGCAGGCGATGCCCCGCCCCAGCGGGCTTTGGGGCGGGGTGAGCAATGACCCTTCCTGCCCCAAGGCCCCGGTGGGTTGGGGTGGGTTTTGGCCCAAAACCCCGAGACTCTCAAAACTAAACCCAATCAGTCGATCGAATATCGCACTATTCCAACCATGGTTAGTTTGGGGCAGCTAACGGGGCGGGTTTCCCAGCCCACCCCGAATTCTCAGTATTTTTTGTATTCAGAACATGATTACTCGATAGTTTACGCAGCCATGTATAAT